ATAGGAAGAATAAACATTGTGAAAATGGCCATTCTCCCAAAACTGTTATACAGATTCAATGCAATCCCAATAAAAATACCATCAACATACGTTATAGATCTAGAAAAATCACTCCTAAGGTTCATCTGGAACCAGAAGAGACCTAGAATATCAAAGGCAATTCTAAGCAACAAAGGCAAGGCAGGAGGCATCACAATCCCTGACTTGAAGTTATACTACAAAGCAACAGTAGTAAAATCAACATGGTACTGGAATTAAAACAGAGCAGACGATCAATGGAATAGATTAGAAGATACAACCACAACTACAAACACATTCAACCACCTTATCTTTGATAAAGGAGCCACGCAGGTTCACTGGAAAAACGACAGTCTTTTTAATAAATGGTGTTGGAAAAACTGGCTCTACATTTGCCGAAAACTAAAACTCGACCCAAGCCTATCACCATGTACTAAATTAAAATCTAAATGGATCAAAGATCTGAATATTAAAACATAAACACTAAGTCTATTGGAAGACAAATTAGGTAGAAACCTTGAAGACATAGGGGTAGGTAGAGAATTCATGAACAGGTCTCAAACTGCATGGGAAATACTTTCCAGAATCAGTAACTGGGACCACCTCTTATTAAAAAGTTTCTGTAAGTCAAAAAAAAATCTCCAGCATAGTGAAAAGAAAACCCACAAATTGGGAAAAGATCTTAGTGAACGCCCCCTCAGACAAAGGACTTTTGTCTAAAACATATAAAGAATTAAAAAAAATCAGACCCCCAAAATTCAAAGACCCAATCCAAAAATGGGCATCTGAGATGAGTACACACTTCTCAGAGGAAGAAATACAAATGGCAAATAAATACATGAAAAAATGTTCATCATCATTGGTTATTAGGGAAATGCAAATTAAAACCACACTGAGATTTCATCTCACTCCTGAAAGGATGGCCAGGATCAAGAAAACCAACAACAAGTGCTGGAGAGGCTGTGGGGAAAAAGGAACCCTCCTACACTGTTGGTGGGAGTGTAGACTGGTACAACCTTTGTGGAGGTCAGTCTGGAGATTTCTCAAAAAGCTGGGATTGGAAGTCCCATTTGTTCCAGCTATTCCACTTCTAGGCATCTTCCCAGAAGAACTGAAAGCATCATACCACAGTGATATATGTGCACCTATGTTTATAGCAGCACAATTTGTAATTGCCAGATCTTGGAAACAACCCAAATGTCCATCAATTGAGGAATGGATAAAAAAGCTGTGGTATTTCTATACAATGGAGTACTACTCAGCTATAAAGAAGGATCACATTGAGGTATTTATCAATAAATGGGCGCAGCTTGGAACCATACTCATAAGTGAACTAAATCAAACTCGCATCTGTGAACACCAATAGTTTCCCTAGTGTAGGAAATAATTCAAATATATAAAAGGACGTGATAACCATGATTCCCCATTATGTGGCCTTGAAGCCTTATAAAATTTTCACTCATTAATTGGAATGGCTTTATTCTGGGCTGTTTGATATTATGGCCTGTGCAATGAATAGCTACTCTGAACAAAATAAGACATCATAATAGCTAGTGCTGATTTAATACCATCTTGTCTTAAAGCCGCACCAAACTATGGCTCTTCTGTCTCCATTGATTTTATCATTTTGTAACTTGCTGGATTTTATCGTATGCGGTAGTATAAACAAAAATTGTTATAGGCAAAGAGATAATATAGAAACCATTGATCATTTTTTTTCTGTTAGCTGGTTCTAAATACTCTACAATGCTTTCATCCACTTGAATGGTGTTACACAGTCTTGATATGTTTGTTGCTATAGCATATGAAGTTATATTCAAATATTTCAAAGAAAAAGACACTATGGTAACTACTATTAAGTCGGGTTATTTGGTGGTGAAGCACTAGGTTGCTGAAAGTGTCATGCTTTAACCTGTATTGTTATGTTGTTATGCCCCCTTTTATCTCATCCTCTCCCTTATTAATTAAAAAATTATTTAATTTTTTAAATTCCTTTTTTAAACTAAGGGGAAAAATCAAAAATCTAGCAGGATATATTATAGTAACTTTTTTGATTTCCTATCAACTTGAAGTCCTGTAATACCCCTGTTATCTTGTTTTGACTGATTAGACTCTATTCTGCTCTGTATGAAAGTATCAAGTATCAGAGTACAGGCAACTACTATAAAGGCAATAAGATTCACTATGATGCCCATTCTGGTTTGACTATTATCCTCTTTTGAGGTGCTGTAAGACTTACAAAGTTTAGGTTTTATTGGTCTTGTTCTCTACTGTTATATTTAACTCTATAATACCTAAAGAGATAGACAATTCGTCTTAAGGATACAAGAGGCATTATGGTAACCATTGCTGATAACCTTGTACTCTGTTTTTACGTCATGTGCTATGTCTATCCTTGGTTTTGACTGACAGCTTTGTTTTATCATGCTTGATTTTATTCTCTTACAAAAAAAAAGTAATAAGATCTAAGGGAGCAGTAAAGCCCAAAATGTGTAAATTGTGTTGTAATAAAGAGAGGGAAAGAAAAGTGCCCTGGAGGATACAACAGCAAAGGTGTTTAGGTGTGTTGCATAGAAGACCATATTAATAGTTTGGATTGGATTACTGAACACAACTGCTTACAGTCTCACTGTTTGAATGTTCGCTTTGTGTGCTTTGATCCTGTGACAAGAAACACCGTTTCTAAGATGATAGCGAGTAATCTATTAACTGGTGATAGCATACTGTTCTTTGTTTTTTTTGCTTTTCTGTAGTTCTGAATTACTTGTACCCTTACACTGTTTTGTTTTGTTCTGCTTTTTTTTTTCTTTTTCCTTTTAAATAAAATATTTTTTTAAAAAAAGAAAGAAACTAATCTCCAAAGAACAAATTCTTCATTATGTACAATCTTATTTGAAATCTGAATGTAGGAACAACATCAAATGATATACATTGGTAGAAGAGAAATTAGTAAAACAAACAAACACTCTAGGTGATATTTAGTATCAATTAATGGATTTATAAAATAATTCACTGATAAAAAATATTAAGCCAAATATGAAAACAAAGGTTTTTAAACTCTGTTGTCTGCCATATATCTTCAAGAATATGTGGCACACAGTGAGAATACAGTAAATATTTACTGAATGAAGAGCCTCTCCTCAGCAAAAGATATGTAAGTACCCTTATTTGAGTACGAAACTTTTCCTCACAATTTAACTAAAGGGAAAATGTGGGGTTTTTTCCAGAAAAGTTTTAAAGATTGTATTAGTATTATACCAAATGCAAATAAATAAAAATTTCAATGAAATTAGTTTAACAAATTTGAAATAAAGTAAAAAGGCAAACAGACAACATTTGCAACACATGACAAAGGCTTAAAGTCTTCATACATAAGGACTTCTTAAAACTCCATTTTTAGGTAGTAGGACAATAGCTCTTTCTAAAATGGGAAGGAGACTAAAAGATGCAGAGTGGGGATGGAAGAGAGAAAAAAATTTAAAATGGAATTCATGTCTATGTACATGTATCAACTGCATACAAGAAATGTAAACATGTACTGCAAACACACTAATAAAAATTTTAAATATTAAAAGCACAAAAGAAAAAGGATACAACATTAACCAAAAAATAAAAACATCAAATAATATATTTACTTATCTTACATATAATATTTACATTTTACAAAGATTTGCAAAATCAATAAAATACTTTTTAATCACTTAAAACAACAGTTACTAAAGGTGTTATTATCAGTTGTTGAGATGTAAATGGAAAAAGTCATTGAATCAGTTTAATAAACCAACACGATATATTTCTGAAGTATAACTATTAGGCCTTTGACAAAGAATTATATATACGCATTTTTGTTCCAGGCTACTGCCCAAACATAGAAATTTAGGAAAACAACTGGAGAAGTAAAGCATAAGGGGGAAAGAACATATATGTCTACAGCTATTTTAAAATATAACTGCAAAATTCAGTGACATTCATTCCATCAAGTGAAGTCCATTTCCTAATCCTGCTGAATCTGGAAAATAAGATCTATGACTATTTTAGTTAATGCAAGACATCAGAAATGACACTGATGTGAAGGTTAGTTATAAAAGCTGATTCCGTTTCTGCTTTATTCACTGGAATACACACGTGGTGCTCCAAGGTGTAGGTCCGTCTACTCAGTGCTCTGAGAAAGTCAAGCCTTCTGTGGAAGCACTGCAGTCAGCAATCCTGGTGGTCACATCCCTCCATCCCAGGCACTCAATAAGCAGATCAAGCACCTCTCCCCACCCCCTTTTCATTTCATCAACACATCCCAGTTGAGGCTGCTGACTCTAAAAGAGAGGCAAAGCCATCCCTGCTATGTTCTGACCAAAATTTATCACATGAGTATAAGAAACTCATTTTAATATGCCACAGTTGTTGGTGACAACAGTCAGTACAGATAACCCAAACAATATCCACACAGGACACAGGAGGTAAGCTATGGTGCAACTCACCAGTTCTTAAAAACACTACATAGGTATATATTCATTGATTCATTTTATACAATTATAATACGACCTTTTGGTTAAAACAATTGTTATCCTTCAGTAAATCCTTCCTTGCTTGAGGATACAATCCTGCTAAGCTAGTACATCCCATGTCCCATTATCTAGAACAATACTTGACATACATTACTGCCTCAAATAATGAGGCCGTATCAAAGGTAATGAAATTATAGACATTATTCTTGACCTTTATGAATCACTAGGGTGTTTAATTATCACATATGACTTATAATTTATTCTTGGAACATAAATTGTTTCCACCCAAAAAAACTGCCACATTGGAAGTTTGTTAGGAACATATGATAAAATGAAGGAACTGGTTTCTTTTACATAGAATTTAAAAGGGTTACACAGAGCCTTCTGTAGCATAATTCTGTAAGTTTTTTCAGGAAACTATCATAAAGTAAATACCTGCTAAAGTGATCTAATTCAGCTTTAGGAAAACCAGTAGTTTACCTGTTTGCTTTGCAGAGCTCGTTGGAAAAGCCGGAGAAAGGCAGCCAAACTAAAGCGGTACATGTTATTAATTTTGGACAGGTCAGAGATAATGAAGTACATCTTGCTGGCACTCTCTGCCAGAGGGAGATAGGCATCCCGCTGCTGTTTATAGGAGGAGTGGGAAACAAGTTAGTACATACTAGTGCTTTACTGCCACCTACAGACTACCACGTATATTTCTAGCCCTGGGTTCTCAGCACACAGCAAATCAAGTAACGAACTGAAAAATTTGTAACTAAAAAGAAAAACATAATTATTTTTATTAATCTGAGTACAATATATATTTTAGTCTGTTCAGGATACTACAATAAAGTATACTAAACTGTTTATGCTTTAAAAACAGAAATTTATTCCTCCCACTTCTGGAGGCTGAAAACTCAAAAACACTAAGGAATCAAAAGTTTGTTGTCTAATGAAGATCTGCTTTCTGGTTTATAGTCTTGTTTCTTGTTGTGTCCTTACACAGCAGAAAAGAAAAAGAAACTCCTGAAGCCCTCTTTTACAAAGACATTAATCCCATTTAGGAGGTTTCATATGCATGACCTAATTACTTTCAGAAGATCCTACCATTTTTAATACCAACCCATTGTGGGACAAATTTCTACACATGACTAGTGGGACAGGTATAAATATTCAGGCCCCCCAGTAGTACATTTTAAAGCATTTTCCATCCTTTGTAGATAAATCTGAAAATAGATCAAATTGGTCTTAATGAGGACCAAGAGTACAGATAGAATACACAATGAGTATATACATTCTATGCTTTGTAGAATGTACAAAGAGTAAGATAGAATATACAATGATGGTGAACCTAAGAGATGAGTACCCAATCTGCAAACCAAAGCCCACTTATCTATGCAAAATGCTAGCAATGGTTTTACTTCAGAGAAAAACAACTCTTACTTCAACATCTTTTGACTTAAAAGAAAAACACAATAACGCATGCCATAAGTTCACCGCCCACTGAAATATATGGTACTAAACAGTTGGGATCAGAAAATACATGATACAATTTTACATTTGAGAAAAGAACCAGTTTGGATAACTCAAGAGGGCATAATACTACTAGGCTATCCCTGAAGCAGAGGAAAGTTCAAATTTGAGAGAACTGGTACCAATAAGAACACTTTTAAAGGTAGAGAAGATATCTTTAACAGACATGAATTTTATAATAATAAAGTACCTAAAAGTGATTAAAGCAAGCAGAAAAAGAACTAATAATTATAGGGACTTTCATTTTAAGTGAAGGTAAAGAATAAGAGCAATGGGAATATCATAGGATCAAATGGCCTTAATGGCCTCTGAGAAGGTTCTCCATGTTATTATGATCAAAGCACTGGCATTACAATGATGGTAAAAAAAAATGGTAAAATTATGTATGTCATTCATCAGCACAGTTATATAAGAAAAGGCAAAAAAATTAAAATACTTTTAGCAGAAAATAATAATCATGACATATGCAAAGTTTAGCACTGAAGGGAAGGTGGGGTAAACATGTTGGAAATAGGGCATGCTCTTCCCAATTGAAGAAATTAGAGACAGATTGAGTAAAATTTGAAAAGAGATTGAAAAGCCTGGAAAAGTTGGAACGGTTACTAAGAATGGAGGTGAACTGAAAAATACTGTATCAATGAGAGATCGAGTCAAGTGCAAGGAAATTCATAGTAACATTAATTTTCTGGTTGTCTGAATTTTTTGAACAAAGGATAGTCACTGAATACATGGGTGGAAGAGATATACTGATTTAAAGTTGAAATCTTGCTAAAGGAAATATCAAAAACATAAAGTAAAAAGGAGTTAAAGTCATTTGCAAGAAAATCAGATCATCACATTAGTGGGATCCAGTACAACAGAAAAGAAAAATGTTTTTAATGCAAATGATGGCTTATAACCCTATTTGTGTTTCCAACACTTCTTAAAATTTTTCCAAAAATAGTATTATAGTTTGGATCTGAAATGTTCCCCAAAGGGTCATATGTTAAATAAAGGTCTAGTCCCCAAACCACGGTGTTATTAGAAAGTGGTGAAACCTTTATAAATGTTAAGAAGGATGACCTAGTGAAAAATCATGTATCACAGGGAGAGTGCCTTCAAACAGGCGATGTGGTATTGCCCTAAAACAAATGGACCAACTGACCATGTACCTAAATGCCCAAATCTTGAATCAAAACAAACTTTTCTTCTTTTGCAGGTTTGTTTATCTCAGGTATCTGCTTTAGTAATAGAAAGCTGACTATAACAATGGCAAAGAGGTTTTCTAACATTCATTTTCAATTTTAGTTAAAAATAAATTGTAGCTCTACCTGATATAATATTACATCAAGAAATCAGTAAAACTTACTAAGGTATACTGATCAGAAATCTTTATTTTCAATGTGCTCAAAATATTAGCAGCCTTAATAGAATCAGACCTGAGGCTCTAGTGCTTTTAAGTGGCCACTGCGGCCACCACTGTCACTTCCTCCTCCTTCCCCTTCTCATCTTCTTAGATATCATCTTTCCCCTAAGACTTCACCGTATTATCTTCTATCATACTGCCAAAAGCTCTTAGGAAGACCTGATGTAAAAAAATCATGGAGAAATAAATAATTACCTGATCAAGGGAAATCTGGAGTTTGTAGGATTCTCTAAGTGAGTCTTGAATAAGTGCACTACTTGCTTTGGTCTGATTCAGAGAGTCAATCAAATCTTTATTCTCCAAAATATTGCCTTGAGATGTGGCAAGTGTCTAGAATAAAGATTTACAAAATAACATAACTATTAACAAACATATTAAAATAAGCAAGTAAAGGAAATCAAAAATGACCATTTGATGACGGAAACTTACATTATTTTAGGATATTTTCAACATTTTTGGCCTTCCTATATATCAAATGATATAATATATAGTAAAGAAAATAATAATTAAAATTGTTTGTCTTAAATATAACTGGCTAAGATCTTATACTCAAATAGTTACCTACTTGGTTTAGATTTTATTATAGGCTGTTAGTAAGCCTTTAGGAAAAACTTTTTTGAAAATATTGTAGATTTTTAAAGAAATATACTGTTATTTATATTATTTTTTATATTAAAGAAAAATAATATGAAAAATATACTGTATAATAAATATACTGCATTAATTTTACCTCTAAAAGAGATTCTTCAAGCTTTGCTAATTGTATTTTCTTATCTTCTTCCTGTTGTAATAATTTTGTTTTCTGTTCCTCTAAATCAGGTTTCTCATGCTGAATGGTTAAAGCCAAAAGCTTAAAAAAAATAAAAAGTAAGTTAATTCTACCAATAGGCTTTAAAATAAAACATTCATGAGAATAGACCTTGTATTTGAGCAAATACTACAAGTCTTATAACACTGTTACCTCACTTAATTTTTTTAATTAGACAGAGACACCTTCACAATTATATCTCACAGAAGGAAATAAGCTGAAATGTTTTATAGGACAGCTATAAGAAGTTATATTATTTATTATGCCAATATGCAATATTTAATCTTAAATATATTTGAACTATAGCATTATTACCTATTGATAGGTATTCACATTCAAAATAAAAAGATATATTACTTAAAATATGTCATTGAACTCGGAATGAGGTATCACTTCAACGAGAACATTTACAATTCAAAAGACAGATAATAATAATGGACAAAGATACAGAAAAAGTAAAACACTCCTACATTGTTGATGGGAGAGTAAAGCAACACAGTCTCTTTGAAAAATTAGTCTCTCAAATCATTAAACATACAGTTACCACCAATTTCACTAAGAAAATATTATACACTTAGAACCAACAAACTGTATGGTACATGAATTCTATCTTTTAAAACTCTTAAGCTACCACATATGGCGGCACACACCTGTAATCCCAGCACTTGGGAAGCTGAGGCCGAGGACAGCCACAAATTTGAGGCCAGCCTGGACTACATACGGTATTCAAGGCTGCTCTAAACTACGTAAGACCTTGCCTCAAAAAAACTAGTAATTAAGTAAATAAATCTGTTAAACTGTCAAAAATGCTCTAATTGTAACTTTGAAATCCAAAATAGAAGATGACACTGGTATAAAATATATAACTTAGCACAGAGATATAGCTCAGTGGCACAGCAATTGCCTGGCAACCATGAGTTGTGAGTTCAATTCTTGGAACAAAGATGAATAAATAAATATATTTTTTCCCAAAATCTGCTGTATAAGCATCTTCCCATACTTCTTGTAAAGTAAGACCCACACAGCTCTTTTCAATAGTTACTGTGGAGAGCTTTTAGAAGAAAGGAGTGATTTTGCTAAGTGTTAAATGGCTATTACATTGTTTTATTTACAAAAGCCATAATCAAGTCAATCAAAAGATATCATTTATAAAATATATCCAGTGAATCCTAGTCCTATAGTATAGTAAGAAAACAATACTTAGAAGGAATAGTTTTAAAAATTACAGCAAATGTACGTTATCAAAACAGAAAAATATCTATTGTTAGATTAGCTAAAAAAATAATGACACTGACATAAAAGTCAACTGACATACTTCAAGAAGAAAAAATGACTAGATATACATGTAAAAGTCTGGACATAAAAAATGATTTTGAAATTAATGCAATAATATTAAACTGTAATGAGCTATATATACACCAATTAAAATTAAAGATGCACAGATTCTAGTGATTAAAACAAAATACCAGCACAGGAATCAAAGACTTTCAACTATCTAAATAAGTCAATCAACTGCAACTTTTACAAGCTTCTTTTCAAAATTAAAAAATAAAGCACAGATCTTATTGTTTATGAAAACTTTGTCTCTCAAATTCTAGCACAGCTGACAAAAATAAGGCTAAAAATTAGTCATATTAGAAGAAGCAACAATTTGATGCTAGGACCCAACACACGTATTTAACACAATGATAAAATAAGCCTGAACTGTTAATTCACAAGTACATTTTCAAACTCCCAAACATAAACAGTAATCAGTTTAACAAACTGTCTTTCAACTCAAAATGTCTAACAGGTATATGAAGCTAAAAAACATTCTAAATTAAATAAATTATGACTTTCTTTATATACCTGGCCTCGCAATCCACTTCTTGTTGTAGTAAAATTAACCTCAGTAACAATGGACGCTGCATCTGGTGGAATAAATGGATTTGGATTTCTTGTTGTTAAGAAAAGACGGAATTCTTCATTGTAATCAATAATTTTGTCACCTATTTGTACCACATAACGTGGCCCTATAAAAAAAAAGACAATTAGCCTGAATGTTTTTAATTTTGCTGCATAATGTTTAAAAATATAAGATTCAACTACTTATAAATATATTATAGGCTTTTTAAGATGGCCCAAAACACAGCAAAAGTTCAGTTATCGAATATATTAGAATGCTCTTATAAATCAGCACTTACATAAGCAAGAATAATAGTATTCATTAATATACGCAGGGATATTGAAGCAGTAAGGGAACGTCTAATTATATTCAGAATAGTTTTAATATCAGCTGTGCTTCATAGTCTAAATTTTTCTAAAACACTTGACTAGAGATGATAAAAATAGAAACTCAATTACATACTATTCTCTATTTCTAAATTCATCAAAAGATACATAAGATATAATACTTGAAACAAAATGACAAAACCTATGAATACATAATTGTAAAGATACCCATTATCAACAAAATGAAAGGTAACCTATGGACTGAAAAAAAAAATTCCAAGTCACTCATCAGATACCGTTAATATTCAAAATTTATTAAAAATTCTTACAACTCAATAGCACAGAAACAGCACATTTTTAAAAAATAAGAAAAAGATCATAAGAGACATTTCTCCACAGAAGATATTTTTAAAAATTACAACATTTAATGGTCTTTCCTGACAAAACCATTGACATTATATTGTATACCATTCAGGTATAACTAATTTTTCATAAATGATATGAAGGGAAATCTAAAACCCTGCCACACAAATGACCAAATGGACATTTCCCACAGAGCTATCCCACAGCTCATTTAAGGATAAATGTCTGTCTACTAAACCTGGAAATAGCTTCTTATCATGTTCACAAACATGGATTTGAATGGCAGCTTCTCCAAGCAGTAACTTTGGAAATAAGCTAAGCACTTGTAAATCAATCCTTGCTTTTGGTTCCTACATCTTTCAGGCATACAGAATTAAAGAGACCTATAAATAATGCCACAGATTGTCAAAGCCAATCCAATGCTATAATCATCTACCAAACACAACTAAAATTTCCAGCAATCTATATAGCATTGGATAGTTTGTACAATTAGCAGACTTCAAGTAGTGTTCTTGGCTATAAAGTATGCTACTCTGACACCAGTTGAAACATAGCTGTACAAAGATTCGTGGGTCAGAAATACTAAACTAACTTAGGGTGTCTAACCTCAGCGCTACTGACAATTTTTGTTGGAAAAATTGTATTTGTTGGAAGATACTACATCCCTTTAAGATAGGTCTGGAATAGATTCAAAAATCTCTCTAGACATTGGTAAACATTTCCAGAAGGTAAAATTGTTCCTGATGGAGAAGTAACTGCCTATCAATCTTCAAGCTATTGGGCCACTGAAACCCAACTGAATTAGCAAAGACATACTCCTATGGAGAACAACCTACTAAAAATACATACAACAATTAATCACAAATGTAACCTTCTCTTTTAACAAATGTAACCTTTACATACACCAATTCCTCAAAATGAAAGTAATACAATGTATTGCAACATATGCCAATAAAGAAGTAGAAAGATGTTGAGTAGAAAAACAAAACCAAAAAAATAGGTAGTCTGGCAACTCAAATGTTTACCTTGAGCAACTAGATCTCTCCTCAACAGTGGGTAAAGTACAGGCTCTACACCATCCATTTCTTGTATAATAAGGGTTTTCCCAAAACGTACTGCCAACTCAAGAGCTGTCATAAAGTTACTATCCTATGAGAATAAAAAAGACTACATATTAATTCCTCTATGACCTTAGTATTTTCAAAGAGCCTCAAAGATGATCAGTGAAAGTTTTAATAGGGATAGCATATTTAAATATAATATACATTTTAATAATTCAAATTATATTTGTGATTTTTTTCTAGCTGGAAGTACTTGGTGCTGAATTAACTGAAAACATAATCATTAAAATGTCATAACATAGATGTATAAAAACAAGAATTTTATAACATGTTTAATGTGGCAAAAAAGGAATCCAAATAATATGTACTCTCAGAGCCAATTTTTATGTGTAGATTACAGTATTATTAATTGTAATACTGTGGGCAGTGCATCTCTAGAACACTTTCATGTACATATAGAACCTCTATATCCACTGAATAACAACTCTTTATTTCTCCTACTATAAAAACCTTTAATTCTTCACTATAATGAAAAATAATAGAATAAAATATCAAATTTTACCTGAAATAAATTAGCAGGCATTAATAGGATTAGATTCTTATATAATAAGTGTTTTCCCAAATTTCCCTTATTATACAAGGATCTAATATGCTTACCTTCCAAATCAAACACTGAATAGAGGGGAAAAGGCAAGATGATGAATCCCAATAAGCTTTTCTTGGTGTGAGACTAGACAAAATTCTACACCATTAAAAATGTTGGGACTCTCTGGCCAGAGAGAGTGGTTTTAAATACTACTCCAGGCCTCCAACTAAAGTTTTAAAAATGAAAAGAGATTCAAGTACAGTCATGTGCTGCATTATAACATTTCACTCAACAATGAAATGCATATAAAATAGTGGTCTAATACTATTCTAACAAAGCTAAGAAATTTCTATTGATTAATGAAATTGTAATAGTAATATCATAGTACAATGTATTATTTTAGTGTTTGTGGTAATGGTGGTATAAATAAAACTACTAAGTTTTTCTTATTTTCTAATCTAAATTAATAACTTAATTAAATATCACTCTATATTTATATCCTTTATCATAACTTAAATAGTGTACTTATTTGTCTTTCTAACTTATAGTGCCATATTCTTAAGTGCAGAATCTGTGCCTTTATTCATTATTAAATTCCCAGGGGTTAGATTGCTATCTAGCACCAAATAAATGTTCTCATCTTTTAACAGTTGGAAAACTGAACCTAGGAGTTATATTTCTTTCCCCTGTAACCATACCAGTAAACTATAGGACTCAGTCTGGAATACATGCTTTATGATATAGATCTAGAGTTATTTTACTATAAAATACTATTTTTAGTTGAAATCTAAATTATAAGCACACATACTTGTTGATTAATAACTTCCAAACGTGAGTCTTTCAAATGTGTCTTTAGCCATTCCGTAGCTTGGGAAGAAGGATCTATAAGAAACGGGCACACTCGACTCTAGTTTAAGAAAAAGTAAAGTTATTTAAATGATTAAGTTTTCATTTAAAAGTAAATAAATTCATAAAAAGTATTAAAAATTATGAAATGAAGTTTTCTTTCTGGCTTTGGGCAACACAAAAAAATACAACCACAAGAAGGAAACAAAGATGGAGTTTATAGGGATCACAAACCACTTTAATACAGATGACTCATTTTTGTTTGCACCCAAGTAGGCTATGCCTACCATACCACTCTCATGTGACAGCACTTTATGACCTTTATACAGCAGCTGTGTCTAGAGGTTTCATGTGCTGTTCCATCAAATAAATGTATGATTCCTACCAAAATGATGTGGTTTGTTACTGTAAGTTTTCAGTCTAATTTTTTGCTAGTATTTAACAGTAAATGTTTCATAATTCTGCTAGATCTTGCCTATCAGAGTAATTATATTAAAATTTTAAAGAAGTTCTTACCCATGATTGCAAAGCAATGATCTGATGCAGTTTAAAAAAAAAGGAAAGAAAAAGATGGTAACGTTTCAAAATCCTATTTTTAGCAAAGAAATTATGCTTAACAAATTCAAAGAGTACTTACAAGTTTATGTTCATTTGATTTATACACTTCCAGAGATTTAGACAAAATTTCTAAGGTACAATTTTACCATCATGCTCCATGATTAAATGTAGTCAAATTTTACATTAAGCAAATTATAATAGATTCAGAATTGTTCAACTTTCATTCTCACATTAATTGAATCATAGGTTCATACTTGCATTCATTCATTCATTCATCATACATTAGATAAAATTAGGGTTACAGAAAGCAGAAAAACCTTGTCCTCAATAACTTCACATCCAATAAAGAAGCAAAAATGAAAATCCCATTATCATGAAGTATACAAGAAACTCCACGAAGATGACAGGTGGAATTGGCATAGACCACTAGAAAATTCAAGCCAAAAAACAGTAAAAGATTAGCTGAACAACAAAGTGAAATGGTATTTCAGGCAATACTATGTTTAAGAGAGAAATAAAAAAAGCTTGGCTCCTAGTAGTTTGACACAGCAGGATCAAAAAACATGGGCAAAAATGGTACATTTAAAACAGCAAAGTAATCTGAAGTCTGATCATGAAAAGCACTTATGTCATGCATAAAGATAATGAAATTTTTGTACTTCAGGCACTGAGAGGTTAATGAAATATATTAATTGAGGTAAAATCACGATCAAATTAATGACTCAGATCATTTCAACAGTAAAGGAACTGATGGTAGGGGCAGGTATACTGTATTTATCAAACTAAAAATAATAAAGGCAGAAATGAAGCCACCAGCATTATAGCTAAAGCAGAGACATTTTTTGAGATACGTGAGAAATACATTTAACAAGTCGAGATAAATAATAATTAACTACATAAAAAACTAAAAAGTGAGAACGATTGAGGTTATGTAGCTTGCACCACTAAATCAAGATGTGAGAGCTCCAGTGCTAAGAAATGAAAGAGAAACAGTTAAGAGGGAATAGGTTAGGAAGTGAGGAAGAGTTTTACAGTGAAAAGTTTCCCTTCCTGGCTGGTAGGTACCGCTCAAAGTATTTTGGGTTTTTGTTTGTTTGGTTTTGGGGAGTATTTTATTATTGTTGTTTGTCTTTGAGACAGGATCTCGCTATGAAGTGCAGGCTGGCCTTGAATGTGCCTATGTGGTCCAGGCTGGCCTTGAATGCATGGTGATCCTTCAGCCTCTGCCTCCCGAGTGCTGGGATTACAGGAGTACACCATCATACCTAGGCTTCAATGTACTTTTGATAAGAGTTATTGATCATCTACCATTGTGGGTACAAAAGAGCAAAAGATAAGCAGATGACCGACGCTAACTAAACAGAATCCTTCTGGCAGGCCGACATACATGACAGGAGTGGAAGGATGACACATCTTTAATCTCATAAGATAAACTCCTATGATGATAAACATGAGTCATCAATATCAGTAACCACTGTTAACGGAAGGTGAGAGAACCTATTTCAGAATGAATTCATCTGTCAATAGAGGGAGAGAGTGATGCACTGGTGATATTTGAATTCTGAAGGTAGCCTCAACCTTGCGGAAACCACAATTATTTTAAAGCATGAATAGTTGTCTGTTGTTGCTTTTGTTTGTTTGTTCATTCATTTGTTCTTGCTGCTGCTGCTGCTTAAATGTGCCATAATAGTCACAGAAAGATTCCTGACAAATAAAAGGCAAATTTAGTCAAAGGCAGATGAAGCTTTAGATGCCTACATAAAAACATCTAGTAATTAGCTGGAATTACAGGTCAAAAGAGAAGTCAAAAGCTAGAAATATAAAAAAGTACCTACTTTAATTTTCTCCTTGATGTTGAAGGATCACTGAGAACAGTTTTGAAAGAGGTAATTTTTTAAATATTTAAGACACTACAAGTTTTTTTCTACTTTTAGTATGTATACAGGGAATAAGAGCAAAATCATTTTACAAGTAAAACTAAAGCTGATCTTTTTATTAACTAAGGAGAGCTATAGTAACAAAAATAAAGTTAAACACACATGCATGAATACACATATTCCTATGATATGCAGTTTCAGAGCAAAAATTGGGGCCATCAGCCTATGTTGGAATTCTGGCTCTAATATTTGACAGTATTAATTCTGTGATTTGACTCTTCCATAATTCAATGTCCTTATGTGCAAAAAGGATAACAGATGTGAGTTAAGTGTGTTAAGTGTTTAAATTCTTTGCAATGTTAATTATTAACCAGGAATACATGCACAACATGTAAGCTGATTATTATTATCTAAGAATTAAAGAATTTTCCCTTTATGATTTACCTTAATATACTTTATATTATTATACTAATGGCAAATTAATTTGTATTTTCTCTAACATACACCAAACTGCAGAAGGAAAATATATTTTAGAAATTCTAAGTGGTCAAAAGAAAACCAATTTGACACTGAGTTGGCCATAAATGAGAAAATATATACCCAATAGATATATTCACAAAAAAATTTTATATAAAGTCTGAAATTGAAACTACTTTTCTTTTCCTTCTCCTTTCTGGATGCTTTTCACATATACCTTCCCCACAGTTTCTAACAGCTTTATACTCCCCATTATCCAGAGTTGTCCAATTTTTAAAAATCATGCTATTTATTACTCATACAAGAACACTTTGGAAAGTAAAAGGAAATTATCAATTATATCAGGCAAAGTGTAAAGAAACCATAGCCCAAGAAAGGCACAACATATGATCTTGATTGTCAAATTTTTCCCTGCTCCTCAGAGATGTAAGTTATATAATCTTTTTGCTAACATAAAATTAATTTTCCTTAGAAGGCAAAGTTTAAGGATGAGAACCTGGCTTATTACCAGGCTTTCCTCACCCAGGTAATACATGCACTTCAACGATTAGCTTAACCTAATTATAAAAATTTCAAGCATCTTTGGAGGAACAGTAAGGAAATGCTTTGAAACAGAAAAGGTTTTTCTAGATGTCAATAACACTGCATAACTCCAGGGCTTAAATCTAAGAAAGTTTCAGTATACTTACTGGAGAATTTTTATGAACCTTGGAATCAAAAGTACATCTTATTTATCATGTCTGCCATCTTCCCTCAGAGGAAGCTTCTCAGAAGCTCAGGGAGTATTTATTTAGCAATTTAATTTCACATGTAGCTCACAGTGTGTTGATGAGTAGATAGAATCAACATGTGTTATCCAATCACACTCTTAATTACAACAAATTATTTTAAAACTAGCCTACCTTAGAGATAAAATGTTGACATAATGGCAAATTCACTTTAACAAATTAACTAGCTACCCTAATAAATCTTTGCAAATAATTTTTATTGTCTCATATAATATATACATCAGTATCTAAAAGAAGCATGGTACTATTAAATACAAAGTAAACATAAATGTATTATTAATTTCAAAGGCAATTTCCCCATAACCATTATGTAGAAAATTCAAATCACAAAATTATTTTCAATTATTATCAGCAAAAAATATAAATTATTCTGATGAACACATATTTTTCTAAAGTTTAGCCCATAGTACTTTACAGAAAAAAATTCTTAACCTAGTATTTTTTTTAATTTATAAAAATTTCACTCTTATATTGAAATAGGAAGAAAAGGGGACTATGAAACCCTGTGAAAAGGATTACAAACATAGTAAAAATAGTTAACAATACAATGAATTTATTTACACACATATGTAGAGTGCCACGCTTATAGTTCTATTGAAAAAACAATGATGGAAAGTGGTCAAAAGCAAACTGAACATAAAGCAAAAATTAGATTAGTGTAAGACAAAGCTATCGAATTTGTTGTGAGCAACTTCTCTACTAATAAGACATCAAAGAAATGAGCCAACATTGGGCTAGCTATTTAATATGTCTAATAAAACGAAGTCAATTGTCCAATAATGAACAGGGCCCAAAACATAAATTTATGATTCAGTTTATCCTACCTGAAAAAAAAATTTAATATTTATCCCTTCTTTGAGACTATAGACTTACAGAACAAGGAAATGATGTGTGGACATAAATAAAGGTTACAGAGAGGAAAAACAATACTGACATTAACATGTGCAAACATTGAGATAGATAACAGAAATTCACTTTATCAAGGAGGATATATTGTCTTTCAAGTACTCTATCAGAATTCTGTCTATCAGAAGAATATCAGAAAGGACAGTCATGTTAAGGTTCAAATCAAATTTTACTCAAAGATTTATTTGTATACACAGTTTTGAATTTGGTTTTCACATTTACTACCAAGAAGATCAGAGTATGTTCAACTTTATGAAAACATACCACTGAGCATGTGGTGCATGCCTAAAATCTCAGCACTGGTGAGGCTAAGAAAAAAGGATCATTGTGATTTTTGAGGCCATGTAATTTTTGAGGCTATGTAATGAGTTCAGGACCAGCCTAAACTACATATCAAGGCACTGTCTCCCTACCAAAAAAGAGAAAAAAGAAAAAGTAAAAATATATAGAATATGAAATTTTCTGAAATATGCATATAGTCATCTCTAAATTATAACGCAAAATTTATGTTCACTTTGTATAATTTTGTCTTATACAAATAAAGGTAAGATTTTCTAAAATATGTATATAGTCATCTCTTAATTTATAACTCAAATTTTTCTAAAATATGCTTAGTCATCTCTAACTTGTAACTCAAAATTTATGTTCACTTTTAATAACTTTGTCTCATACAATATAAAGGTTAAGAAGTTATATATTAAAGAACACATACAACCAAATGGGCCAGGTACATCTAAAATACTATAATTATTATTAAAGAGAGTTGAATTTAGAATATTTTAAAATCAAAAAATGCCACTTTAGTTAATCTTTTTATTTTAACATGAAATAAAATATGCATTTACTAGCTGAATCATAAACATATTTCCATTAGCAAAATACTTTCACTTTTATGTAACTATGAAAAAAATAACAAAGTCTAAGAATTTAAAGAACAAAGTTCCTGCAACAAGCTTCAAAAATTTCTGGGAAAATTAAACTAATTACCTGTAATATAACAAGAGCGTTTTCTATGGAGAGGTCATCTGATGGAAGGCCTTCACTTTTCCAAATTAACTGCTCACTTTCAGTACAAAGAAATCTCCTCAGATCAAATTCTGAAAAGGTAAACATATCAATAATATCTTACTAAAATGATCTTACAATTGATGAAGAAAAGGAAATGAAACTATCTAAAATTTTCTAAAGCAAAAAGTCGATGACAACCCCTAATTTGAAACCCATTCTTCCACTCAAACCACCCAAACCTCAAGGGTAAAGGTTAAAAAAAATAAAATAAAAAAAGCAAGTTCAATGAGGCAGAACTCAGTTAAATCTTATTCACCCGCACTGCATGTTTTACCAACATAGTAATTCAATGAAAGTCAGAAAGTTCACAAGAAATTTTAGAATCAAATCTCATCATATTAAATTACTGTAAAATTACAATGTTCAGCTGCAGTATCAAAAAAATTGAGTCTCCTGTTTCTGACAGTAATTTAGAAATGCACATCTCTTACTTACAAAGCAACTTGCAAAAATGGGAAGCCTGGCAAATCTAAAGTAGTTATAGTATTCCTGTAAGTTACAGAAAATTTTTCCCATTTAAATAAAGTATAATAACATTGGTCAAGGGTACATTTTTAATACACTAAAATTTCTAATTCAAGAATAACTAACTTCCAAGACCAGCTGACTTGGTCCATTCTTCCAAACAGGTTTTCCTCAGGCACTCAGGAGCAGCAGAAAGATATGTAACAAATGCAGCAGCTAGTTGAGCTCTTTTAGGAAGAGTAGCTAACTCTTCTGCTATCTCTGCAACCTGGAAAAAGGGAGAGGGGTATATATGGATATACATGGAAGAAAACAAGTCAGAGTTTTGTTTATGGAGAAAAATATCAACTGTTGGTTCAGTAACTCCTTAGCCTGAGACAATGGTCAATATTTTAAAGGACCAAGACATTAGACTTTGCTGCGATGTTTTTAAGTATGAAATATTAATATATTTGCAAAAATAAACACATTGTCATTAAAGCTTCCTACTGACCATTGTGCATGCAAAGTTTTGATTCTGACCACAATTAAATGTTGTGCATTTGCTTCACTTTGTAAAATAAAACTAAAACATAGTATATGAACAAAGGCACAAAACAAACAAAAGGAGATTCATTTGTGAAAACTTTAGTAAAGGAAAAGCATAAGATTACACAGAAAGGGTGGTGATATAGGAGCAAAAAGAGAGAGAAGTAAAGTTGATTAGAGGCAGATTGTGAAAGAATTTCCATACTATTCAACAAATTTTCTCTTTTAACCTGCCTCGCAAGCCATTGACAGTATAAGCAGGCAGTGAGGAAAAACAGTCATCTGGGTTTTTAATTCAGTTGACACAAGAAGGATGGACTTATTTAAGGGTCAGGTGAGAGATGAGAATACTGCAGATAACATTATTGGGTTTGCAGATAAGAAAGAAGGAATCTGGCTTAAAAAATGGTGGAGGGGTAAATAAGACTAACAAAGGTAACTAATGAAAATTTCAAGAAATAAATGGACATCAGTTTTGAATCTTACAATTACTATCTTGATAAAGATCAACTGCTTTAAACACTCTAAGGAGTACCAAATTTCTACTAGATCATCTTCATTCCTGTCCTTTCTCTCAAAAACATAGGTAACTGAAAAGAGAATGAATTGGTGCTATCCTAAAATTCATCCATATAAAGATATATTACTTAAGAACTGATTCATTTACTGAACTTGTATCTAGAGCAATTGTCCAAAACCAGCTGCAAGGTAATTAGTATTTTCTCCTTTTAAAGAAACAAATACATTTCACCATAAGTTTCCTGTTTTAAAGGAACCCTTTCAATCAAACAAACCTGTGCATTCCATCTCCTGTGTTCTCGATCAAGCTGATTAATTAAGACTTCTGCTGCTTTGATTGTTTCCTGTGCTTTGCTGACTTCAGCTTCAAGTTTGGCAGCTTCTGAAGTCCTGCTCTGAAATCTAAGACATTAACATTTAATTAAAATTAAAATAAATTTCATATATGTTTAATGAAATTTTCACTCAGTAGGTAAGTATACTTTTTTTTTTACATCAATTTTTTTTTTGTCTTTTTCCTTTTTATCGATACCAGGGATTGAACTCACGACTGCCTGCTTTCAAGGCAGGCACTTATGCCGCTGAGCTAAATCCCCAGCCCCAGTAAGTATACTTTTATACCTAAATTTAATTAATGATAATCATAATGTTTGTGTACAAAATATCTCTCATTAAACACACAAATATACCAACATGAAAGTGTATCATTCTTTATCTCAAAAAGTTGAACAAGGGCCCCTTACCCTACTATATTATGTGCAAATTTCTCGTATGGAGGTCAAGGCTCTATTTCAAAACTGGTCCAAAACCAGACATGGTAGCACATGCCTGTAATCTCAATGCTCAAAAGGCTGAGGCAGGAGTACTGTGAGTTTGAGGCCAGCCTGGGCTACAAAGTGAATTCAAGACCAGCCTAAACTACATAGTGAGATCCTGTCTCAAAAAGACACACACAAAAAAAGACTGATCCATTCTACCCCTCTAATTTCATTTTTTATTCCAGTCCTATAAAAGTATATGTCAATATCTGAAAATTTTTATATTATTTAAAAATAACCTATTTTCTGTTCGTTTCCAACCACTCTCATCCATATTTACCTTACAGCCCAATCCTCTCAAACAGCAACATGCTCAAAATATAAATAAAATTTCAAAACTCACCTCAACTATCCAGTCCATTATACATAATCACCTATCCATGGCTCATTTGCCACAGCTCATATCTCTGTATTTAAATGTCTTCCTTCAAAATATTTGTACAATTATTTTATATATATACTTAAATGTATGAATGCATGCTTGTATACTTGTAAATTAATGTTGATAGAAAAATTCATACACACAATGTATATATATACAGCTTATATATATATATATATATATATATATAGCTTATATGTATACATGTATGATATAGCTATATATGAATGAAAGAAAAAAACAGAGATTTGTTTCCTGAAATTAGAGGTAACAAAGTCATAATGTTGGTCTGATAAATTCCTTCTTGATACAGTAATTATCTCTTCCATAACATCTAGGAAATACATCACTTCAAAAAAATTAGAAGCTCATGGAAATGTCTCCAAAAACTGATACAAATTATAACATACATATTACATTTAATTCTATATTCTTCAGCTTTTCAACTTTTCATACTTTCAAAGAAAATATTTCCAAATTAATAATAATTCCTTATCAATATATTTATGCTATATTAAGTAGTAACTGCAGACACCAACGATATATGAAAGACTTTAATACTAAATATCTTCACACATTATTGAACTTAAGTGTATTTACATGAAAAAAATTTCAACACTGTGCAGAAAAACAATTTGAAAGTATAGAAATTTTTCATCATTACAATATGCCCTTGGGAAGATTACAGAATATGTGGCAATAACATTATCTTATATAAAAGGAGTCTAAAATTAAATGTCAAAACTAAAATGAAAAGAAAATGGAATGTCCAATATGAACCCTCCCAGCATTAATTCATTATATTCAATTCATCTTGCTCAATTGTCTCAGTAGTTTTCAAGAATATATGTAGCGGGGCTGGGGATTTAGCTCAGCGGCATAAGCGCCTGCTTTGCAAGCAGGCAGTCGTGAGTTCAATCCCTGGTACTGATAAAAAGGAAAAAGACAAAAAAAAAAAAAAAAAAAAGAAAAGAAAAAGAAAAAGAGTATATGTAGCAATGACTAATAGATGGAGAAAAAAGACTTCTTATGAAAAAATTTATTTATAAAGCCATATATTCTATATTATTCTGTATGCTTCCAAACTTCAGAATGATATATCACAAAAAATAAAATAGTAATCAGAAAGATTTTCAAAATTAATCACTTTGGGTATAAGTTTCAAATATGGAAGTTACTTTTCAAACTTAACTTACTTTTCTTTTAGTTCAGAAACCTTTTGACCAACAGAATTAAGAAGCTCTTCAAGTTTCCTTTTTCTGTCTTCAGTTCTCTTCAAATTCCTAAGATATAATTCAGCATTATAAAACTCATATTATTTTTAAAAATATAATCTTGCAGTAAATATATGACAATGACATGAATGTCAGTAGTTCAAAATCATAACACTTTCGCTTCAAATTTAATTTGAGAATTAATGGTCAAATTAGAAGTGCCTCCTTTCATCTAACCATGACACTCCTAGGAATCCAAGTTTTAAAAAATTTGTGCATGTAGACTTCTAGATAAAATTGGCAGACTAAACCTATTCACTTATTCACTTGTATTCTTTCCTTCCCAAAATTATTAAAGTAAATCAAGAAAATGAAATATGTAAGAAGAACAAAAGAGAAAGATATAACAAAGTAAAAATTGCAATAAAATTTTTAAAAGTAATAACATACCAGAACATAAAAGCCAAAAGCTGCATGCCTGCAGGAAGATATACTAAAAGAATTTCAAAATGTTTAGAAAATGTGAACAGGTCTCTCTAAAGGTAACAATAAAGTCAAATACAAAGATCTGTTTAAAAGTTGATATTACGAAGTGTTTGACTTCAAAAGCCCTTCCCAGTAGAAGCAGACTTTGCTTTTGGACCAACCCAGAATGCAGTAAGCACATCGTATCCCCATCCGATGCCATCCACCTCTAAGCACATCCTACCCAGAAGACATGGGGATTACTTTAGAGCAAAATGAATGATGCTGCTCTCTAAAAATACTAAAATTATGAAGGGGTTGCTATCCAATGACCAGGCCATACTTAGCCAAAAACACTGGAAGTTAAACAGCCAATACCTAAATCTCACACTGGGAATCGCCACTTTCTATGTTACACTTTTGTATCTTGAACAACTATTTATAAGAGGACAATATGTAGTCATAACTAGTGTTTTCTTACTGTTTATTTTTTCTTTGGAAGTATGTATTATTTCTACCTGTTTACTGTTTTGTTTAGTGTTTCTTTAAAATAAATTTTTTTTAAAAATGTAAAACATAAGACAGACAACATGGAAAATAGGTCCACTGTGTGTATTACTGGGTACTACTTCATTGCATACTGGGAACACTTTTTCCCAGAAAAGATGGCTTTTTCTATCTTTCACAAGTTAGCAGAACTCTAAAATTATCACAGCAGATACAAAAGCACTTTAGAAGATTGGTCCAAGTATCCTAACAGAAGACTAATATGAATTTATGAAAAAAATAAAGCCAATATTTCCATCTGCCTACTCCAAACCAAGTTCTCATTCTATAATACTGACAGAACCACAGATTTGTTCCAGTGTGCATCCCTCCTTTATCTAGTTTGGGGACATAATGATTCACCCAATCATAACACATAAGAAGAAAATCAAGGTAGGTGAAGTCTTATAAAGATTTCATTGTTCTTAAAAAGATGTGCTTCCTTTTAAAAAAAAATGGCTCACAGTAAAGAAATAATCTTTGTTTCATTCCTATATTATCTTGTCTGAAAAGAACTTCAGCAACCTCCTTTGCCCAAAGAAGCTGCTAACTTGCACATAAATTGAGAATGTCAAAAATGAGGAAAAACTTATATCCTTGATATTATCATGGAAGTACATTATTAACCACCCTGGAAACAATCTAGTTTGGGCCTTACTGTTTATAATGTTGTTTAGTTTTTAAAAACCATTTTGAGGCGTGATTTTACTAGTCCATAGCCAAAAATATCCCAAATGATACAAAAGTACAGAAACAAACCATCAAAGGAATAATGTAATAACCCAGAATTGACATATAAATTTCTGAACTATATTATTAGGCATAAAAGATACCAAAATATTTTTCAGCCCTTTACGCTTTCTTAGGAAGCTTCTATGAAGGATATATTCCAGAAAAACAGAAGACAAACTAAGGAAAACATAAGAATTTATAATGAAAGGTCACAATAAAGAAAAGAAGGTATTCTTCAGAATAATGGTGAAGAGCAGGCTCTGAGTAACTACTATCGTCATTAGGCCTAAGGAGAAGCTAACCCAGCTCAGAACAGAATGATGAAAGAACTAATCCATGTCGGCACAGGAGGACGAAGCCTTTAAGACGAATAAAAGTTTAGAACTCTACCCAAATATATTTGAAAATTCTTCAAAGAAATGTAAAAAACTGCACAATCTACAGCATAACCTCTTTTTTGGATTTTGTGTGTGGTTTCTTTTGTAGTACTAGAGATTTCTTTTACTTTATTTTGATCTTGCTAAGTGGCCCAAGTTGATCTTTTATTTTCCATCCTCCTGCCTTAGCTCCTGAGCAGCTGGTATTATAGGCCTGAACTATCTACTATACCCAGCAGAAATTAGATCTTTTAATTTTTTTTTATTTTTACTAGTACATGTTTACAATACATACTGATTACATTCATTGTGGGGAGATACAGATAATACAGCTTAATTCTTTTTTTCAATCCCCTTCTTTCCCTCTCTCTCCCTCTATACCTTGGTCTACTTCCCTTTTGGAGGGAAATCTGTCTCCCTGTTTTGTACTATCTTTTATTTTGCGTTTAATTTACTTATATTTTGGGTTTCTCACATAAGAGAAATCATATGATATTTAAGTTTGTGTGTTTGATTTATTTCACTTAGTATTATGGTCTCAAGATGTATTCATTTTCCCACAAATAACTCAAATTTATCCTTCTTTATGACAGAGTAGCACTCCATTGTATATAAATAGCACATTTTCTTTAACTATCCATCTGTTGATTTAGTTATTATGAGCGTATTACAAAGCTACAGTAATAAAAAACAGCACTGTACCAGCAAACTAGATCTTTGAGCGTCAATAGTAATTGATGATATCTTTCTAACTGCCCAGATACCATTTTGCAAAAAAAAAAAAAGTACACATATCTAAAATTTAGATGGTGAAAATAAACATAAAAGCCTTAAATTCCAAAACTTTCTTTTTGCATTTTACTATTTTTCTTCATAAAACTTAGTCTTTATCAACTTATCCTTCCAACAACATTATAAAGGAATAAATAAATTGGCTCTGTCATCCAACTGATGGTGAGTCCTTTCATTTTTGCATATGTTTAATTTTTAATTTATATCATTTTATATTTTAATATTGGCAGTTCTTTCAAATACAAAAAATAAATACTGTACAGTACTAATAATATAACAAACTCATATTAATAAAAAATAAGTATTAGAGTTGCTTATATTTTGTATTGCACTTTGTATATTTTGTATTGCACTTACGATACTAATCCTGCCTGTTCAGTTTCCAAAGGCTGAATTCGTTCCAAGACATGGGAATACTGTACATTGGCTTTAACCCAGGCAGCCAAAGGTGCAGCTGCAGTACTGGCACGCTTGGCATTCTAAAAAAAACCAAAAGGAAGTATTCAGTCTCCTGACTTGATTTCAAATAAATGCAAAGTTAAATGCATTTTATTTAGGCTTTTATTAGAAAACATAATGCAAAAAATGAAATTTTGGGGTTACAACTAAAATAAAAATATAGTGAATTAGTCTGATTAAGAGAAATATATATGAACTCTATTTTGTTTTGATTTGTTTTTGTTTTTGCTTTCATTGTTGTTGTTGGTTTTGGGTATTATGAATCAAACTCAGGGCTTTGTGTTTGCCAGGCAGGCACTGTGCCACTGAGCTACATACCCAGTCCCATGAACTCTTATTGTTGGCTTAAAAAAATTAATTGTTTCAACCACACAGAATTTTTAACATGAAGATGTTACTTTATGGTTTACTACCATAATTATTCTATTGTCTCCACTTATAGATACACGTGCCATGTGTAACAATGTTCAAGAATGGATTCTTTTTATACATATAATATATTTTATGTAAGAGCAACTTTGAAATCATTATTATTGGTTTCAAATACAATAAATAAAACATTCTGAATAAAGGTTCTAAAAATAACAAAATTATAGAATTTAAAACTGTACACTAAAATTTGATACAATTATCTTAACACTGATATCTGTATATATGTTATTGCTTGACAAGTACACAAGAAAAACAGTTGAAAGTCAAAAAAAATGATAAATTATGGATTTAACATTGACAGAAGATCCTAAGATTCAAAACCTAACAGGACAATAAATTGCCTTCTGCTACTGGATTCTACTTTATTTAATTCTGTTAGTGAATGTTTTCTAAGTATAAAACCCAGACGGTCTTTGTTTTTTTTTTGTAATTTTCGGTGATTCTTAATTACTGATAAATTGAGTAGGCATCACAATCTGACAAGCAGAATAGAAAAAACATGGTATAAATGTTAAAAAAAATACCTTTGGATCAAAAGAGCCTTTATTTCTAAAAAGAAGTTCTTCAACACTCTCTCTTATTTCCTTTGGAATATTTCGTGCATCAAAAGTTGCAATGTCTTCCCTCACACCTCTTTTAGCAAGGAAACTAAAATTAAAATATTAATTCAAAGGAGGTCAAATAAAAGTATTTCTTGAAAAAATCAATTAAATTGATGTAGGTAATACTTTTAATATAACTGTGTTAGTTACTTAAATAATAGAACATTAAAGATATAAGTTTTTAGTAGTATCATTTTAATACACAAGAAAGACAACTGGAGAAAGATATAATAATCTAATCTAATAACATTGTTACTAGACTAGAACAAGAAGCGAAATGTTAGAATCAGTGTTGTTATTCCACTCACATCATTGTGAACTACTCTCACGTGGTCTAGAATATGAAAGAATACTTTCTGACATTTTACTAAGGTATTTTAAAGTGCTTTCTTACTCTAAATCTCCTCTCCTATCAGCAGATTTTTTAAAAATTCTTTACCAGCAACCTAAATCCCAACACAGAATTTAACATCAGTGCAGACCATAACACCAACATTACAACGAGAAGCCTGAAGCAGAATGTCTGTGTGTTAGTTACTACTCATGGATTTCTAGTTTACATGTCCCATATTATCTACGGCTGGCTCACTTCTCTCTGTCGCTCCCACCTCTGTATCTCCATCTTTCCTTGCTTTTTTCACCTCTCTCCTTTCTCCCCTTTTCTTCCCACCTCACCCTAAAAGTAGAATACTGTAGGGTGTGTAGTGATTATATTTTCTTTAACAACAAAATCAATGTTCTTACTACAAAAAAAGCAAATAAATTATTAAACTAAATGAAACATTCTGAAAGATTCTAATGCATTCCTTACCTCTTTTGACACTTTTAACAATCATTTATGGAAGACAAATATATATATCCGCATAAATGATTACATATAGTATCTTCAAAATTCAGGGCAACATGTGTAACTGTATTTATATAAAGGTCAGCTTGAGAAATACTAACAAAACAAATATTTAAAATTATAAAAGAAGGTGAATTTTTGCTGAAGTAATGTTCATCACAAATTCAAAAACTTGCCTTTTCATGCTCACCCAAGAAGTATCAAAAATGCCCATCAACCGTAAAACTCCTTCCAGAATGTCTCGGATTATATCGGGTGGCATACGCAGTGAGCGAATTTCTGAAAGAGACTCTGGCTTAATGTTTCCAACAGCAAGTTTAGCTTCATTAACTAAAGGCTGAAACAAAAAAAGGTCACTTTACTTTCAAACTATGTATTTTTAAAAATAAGTAACTATAAACATAATATAGTGTCTTTTATTCAAATAACTGCAGTTACTAAAATTGTCTTCAAATAGCAAAATCCTCAAATTGAGCAAGTCTTCCTGCCACTAACACTGCAACATGAGAGTCTAATTTGCCCTGAGATAATTGGTAGTTTTTGTTTTTCTTTTGAGACAAGGTCTCAGTTTGGAGTTCCTGCTGGCCTTGATCTCACTGTGTATCCCAGGCTGGCCTCAAACACCTGGTGATTCTGCCTCAGCCTCGGGAGTGCTGGCAGGACAGGTGGAGCCCCCACTCCTGGCTCAATTTGCCACCCTTAGCATTTACATTTTACCACCAGACAGAAATTTCAGTCAAGTCTGCAAAGAAGCTAATAGTTTGTCTATAATACATTTCTATTACTACAATCAAACAAGGATCACAGAAAACAGCGTATTTTCAGTTACCATCAGTTAATTAACTTCTTTTTCTAGCAAGTTTTCTTTCTTGCTTTTCTTCTTATAAGTAATATTCTGGTTGAAACTCACCTTTGATAATATTATAAGAAAATACCTTGAGCCACAAATAATGCTTACACTCCTACATTTAACTGGGAACCAAATCAATAAGTGGATTTTAATATATATTTTTTAACTTACCTGTACTTCTTTCAACTCATCATCAATTTTGCTTTTTCTTTCTTCAATTTTGTCAACTTCTTCTGCTATTTTATGCTTCAGTCTCTCAAGTTCTGTCTTTTGCTCACTCGCATCCTAGAGAAATATTTAAGTGGTATTTCAACAATTTTGATTCACCTAATATTTAAAAAGAATCCTACCAAAAATGCTATTTAAAATAACAATTTCCATTAATTTTTTTCTGATATAAATTTTGAATCTATGACATAAGAGCTTCTAAAGTACAGTAATTCTATCAGAAAGCTTGGTTTTCTTGTTTTAATTTTGTCCACCTAAAGCAGTAAATTCTTATTTTATAAATTTAGACAATTCAAAAAAAAATATATATATATATATATATATATATCTTGGAACAATCCAGGAACAGCAAAAGTAATTATTCAAATACAATAAAAACTAAAACCTTTTATAGATTACCAAATACTGACAACCTAAAAGTGGAATTCTGGATTCCACAATACATTTATGTTTAACTTTATAAAAAGTGTGAACTTTTGAAAAGAGGCCGTACCAGAGAGCCCCCAATGTTTCACATGTTTGCCACCACTCTGTACCCTCAGTCTTCTAATTTTACCCTCCTGGTAGAGGTCTAATGGCGTCTCACTGGAGTGTTACTTTACTTTTTCCTGATGACTAGCATATTTTCTTTCTGTCTTTCTTTCTTTTGTACCTGGGATTGAGCTCATGATTCCACACCTGCCAGGTAGGCACCTATGGCTCTGAGCTAAATCTCCATCCTGAGCAAATTTTTATAATACCAACCCTTCTTCTGTCTTCCTTATAAACAACCGATTCAAGTCCTTGACCATTGTTAAAATGGAATTTTTGTTTGACTACTATTGGGTTGTAACACCTCTTACATCGTGATACAATATAATCCTTTATTATATACACGTTTTGTATGTATTTTTCTCCAAGAGTGTGGTTTGCCTTTTTACTTCAGAATTTATTTAAAAGGGTAAGTTGTATTTTTTATTACTTTTCATTTTTTGTAGTACTGGTTATTGGACCTAGGGAATACTTCAGTGAGTTTCTTTGGGGTTTTTTGTCTGTTTCCAGAGTTTGTTTGGGGTTTGTTTTGAAACAGGATCTCACTAAATTGCCGCGTCATCCTCAAGCTAGCAACTAATAATTCTTCTCTTTAAACCTCCTGTTGGGATTATATATGTGTGCCATCATGACAGGTTAATTTTAAATTTTAATCAAATCTATTTTTGTTTTCTTTTCTTATTTTGGCATCACATGTAAAAAATTCTTTACCTCAGCTAATGCCACGAAGAGTTTCTTCCAAAGTTTTATAATTTAACATTGTATAATTACATCTATAATCCATAAAATGAAACAGTGTACAATTCCAAATTTTACAAAATTCAAGGCAAAAATCTGGAGTTTTGATCTACCTATGGACATCCAAATATCTTGCACCATTTCTAAAAAAACTTACCTTTTCCCAAATAATTGGCATTTTTATATAAAACCAATTGAACTTCAATGTGTAGGTCTACTTCTGGACTCTATAAGTATTCCAATAATCTCTATGCTGAACATTATACTAAAAGCAGACTATGTTAAATACTGTAGCATTCTAATTAAACTTTGATATCAACTTTGATATTTTTATAATTTTGTGCTATTTACTTTTTAATTGAGATTTATACATTTGTCTGATAATTAAAGTCAACTTTATACCTTAGTCTGATAATTAAAGCCAACTTTAGTAAAAGAAGTATTAGACTAGAAACTAGTGACTAGGTAATGTTTACCAACATAGATGAGGTAACTGCATTTAAGACATGTCCAAGAAGATGAAACTGACAAAATCGATTACATGTAAGAGATGACAAAACAGAACCATAATGTATAAATTCTTCCTTGAATAATTAACTAAACTATACTACCATAACCTGAAAGAAGAAATATAAAGGATGGAAATCATGAGTTCAGTTTCAAGCCCATTTCAAAGTATAATACCCATACCACTTCCAAAAAGGCATGTTTAAGTGATAATTGGATACATGAATTTGAAAGTCAAAGAAGGGGCTGAAGTCTGGCATGGTGGTGCACACACCTATAATTCCAGCACTTGGGAGAATGAGGAAGGAGGACTGTTTTGAGTTCAAGGCCAGCCTGGGCTACATAAGACAAGGCCAGCCTAAGCTACACAGATAGACCATGTCTCAAAAACTAAATAATCAATAAAATAAATAAATAAATGAAAGGGTTTGGTCTAAAGGAAGAAAAAGATAGAGGTGGTAATAGTTATATATTGGTGATAGCACCATGCAAGAGAATAGACAGAAGCATCCTGAGAAAGTAAGCAAACATAAAAGATGAGCTAAGTAAGATAGATGTTGAAATCTCCTTTGAAAATCTTTGGTGAAGGAAAAGTAATGGCTGGAGTCATGAAGCAGCTCAGCGGTAGAGCTCCTGCCTAACATGTACCAGGCCCAGTGCTTGAGCCCCAGCACCACACACACACACACACACACACACAAACACACACCCAGTAATGACTAAAAGGCTATATAACTAAAATATTACTAAAATTGTAATGCAATAATAAAGAATTTATTTACAAATCTTGAGAATATTACAAGTGGAAATTTTACAAAGAGTAAAAGAGAATTTTAAGAAAAAGGAAAGAAATACCAACTTTACTGGTAGAATATAAATAAAATCAGTTAACAGAAAGACACATACCAATTTGAAATATGGAAAGAATTTAGATAAATAAGAATGTGGTCAACTGAGAGAATTATGATCCTAAATAAAGTGAAAAGACATTATGCTCTTCCACAAAAGTTTAAATATACATTACTATCAATTTGTTTTAGGAGAGATGGGCAATATTTTTTTAAATGCATATAAATAAAGATGTCATTTTTTTCATTTTGTTTGACAACTTGACTTAAATGCTTTTTTTTTTTTTTTTGGCATTTTTGCATTCATTATAAACATTACCTGCATTGATACTGTGATCTCTTGAAGGGCAGCATCTGCTTCGTCTTGCTTAGTTTTAAGTAACACACTTTGCTCTCCAGCTCTTCTGTTCAGTTCATCCACAAGAGCTTTAGCTTCATTTAGTTTAGATACACCAGCCTACATCAACAAAATATTGATTAGCTAAATAAAAAGGTAACTACAGACACTCAGCCAAGTAAGAAAGAGAAGAATCAAGCAAACATATAATCAGTTACCTCCGGAACAGAAGCACGTATATGTAAGGTTTTTTGTTGCTAATTATTTTGTTGCTTTACTAAATGTTATTCCCTCTAAGATATAATGACAGACTCCATAAAGATTTTAAAGGAAAACAAATTTCAAAGCTAGATATTTAACATATATTTGATAGATAAAACATTGGATTAAACACTGTATTTTTTGTGTTGGATGAGAGAAAATAAAAAATGAAAAACTCAGTAAAACTTTTTCAGTTTTTAGTCTTACTGAGGAAAGACTCATTAGGACTCTTATTGAAGGTCACTCACTTATAGTGTACATGACTTGATTTTTTCTACCTCACTTATGCTTTTCACAGAGTAATATTCAAAATGCCTCAACTGCACTCTTTAAGTGGACATGTATGCAGCCGTAACCTGTCTATTATAGTATCTAATCACATTTTCCATGACTAATCCAAGGAATGGACGGGGGGGAAAAAAACCTTCTCTTGTATGGTTTAAGTTACATTTCTGTCACTTAACAAATCAAAAAATTTTGATAAAGAATCATGATTTAAAAGGGATGTAACAAATATTTACTGAGTACCTAACATAAAAGACAGGTTTCAAGTGAGTTTCTTCACGTAGGAATTTTATCTAATAAACCCATATATACAACTACCATTAACTCAATTAAGCTGAAACTCAGCAAGTTTAAGTAATTTACTCAAAACACCATCAAGAATTAAATTAGGAAATTAACTCTCCCAAACTCATGTGTAGTTAGCAATTTAAAATAAATGAAAATGTATCAAATTAGGATAAAATTATGTCAATTAAGAGGGATTCTAGTTTATCCTATGAAAGAGAAGCTAGAACTTAAGAAAGGAAATGCCAACAATTTCAGAGGCTGGCATTCTAATATCACACTTAAGTTAAGCACCGTATTTAGAAAAATACAGAAATAAACTGCAGAGAAGCTATTAAGGGAAGTGACATTGATAAGAGCACTACTTCATAAAATATAATTTTAGTGTCAGATATAATAGCCAATTTTATTTTAAAATAGATTTTCAATTTTATAACATCTAAGATTATGCCTTTTTTTTTTTTAGAGACAGGGTCTCTTTAAGTCACTAAATTACCCATCCTGGACTCAAACTTGCAATCCTAATGCCTCAGCCTCCCAGAGTGCTGGGAATACAGACATGTGCCACCATGCCCACCAATTAAATTTTCTACTAACCTTTAAAAGAATTTCTCAATTTCTAAAAATGCTTTTATATGAAAAAAATTCTTAATATAAGCTATCCAAAGCACATAAATACTATCTAGTAAACAAAATAGTAGTTACTGAATTTTAAAAATACAAACCACTACTATAATCTAGAGAAGTAGAGAAGTAGAGGTAGAAAAGTAGAGAACTGTTTGCTGAACTTTTTAATACAGTACATTATTTACTTATATATATATACCCCAGTTAACATTATGATTTATGTAGTCCTTATTTCCAATAAATAATAAAATAATTCAATATAATTTAAAAGTTAAAAGTAAAGATAAAATCATCAAGTTTATCAATATTGTACCTGCAAATGACTTTGTCTTTTTAATAATTCATTTTTCTTGCTGCTACTAATTGAAGAATACACCTGTAAAAAGGTCATATATCGGCTTGGTGTAGCACCATATGCTTTACAAGACTCATGGATTAATAAAAATGATTTCAGGAAGTCAGGATCAACTAGAAAATAATAAGAAATAAAAATGACATACGCATAATATATAAAGATTTAGAAAAATAATCTTAAATATATTTTATATTAGCTATTTCCTTTGCAATTATATCTTTGCTTTAAAATTCACAGGTATTCCTAAGCATCTATTCACAGCTCCTAGCTTCCTTAAGAATTTGGTATCATCTAATTCTCTGCCTTTCCACTGTTTCTATTTCTCCTGAACATTTTGACTGCTGCAAGATGGAGTTACAATAACATAAATTAAGACTACATAATACATGTAATCAAAAAGTGAACTCAAAAAAAAAGCATTCAAATAAATAAGGGATACCAAACCAAATAATACTCATCTACTCCCATTTGATACAAAGGAAAACAAAATTTCCAAAACAAAAAGTTAAATTTACCTTAAGACTCACTACATCCATGATCTAACACATTACCTCTCACTGACTCAATTTCATTCTATATCCTGCTGTAATGAATGAAATCAACATCTAATGAAATTCTCAAGACATCCCTCAACTCTTTCTTTGTACTTGTATGCCACAGCATAACCTAATTTGGTCCCAGTTAGATTACCTTCTAATATCCCCGAGTCCCCTCTGTCCTCTCTATTACTTTTTCCCGAATTCAGTACTTTCTCACATCTCTCTTAGGATTCCTGCAGTGGACTTGTAAAGTGATCCAATTGTGTTCAGTCTCCCCCTAAACCAATCTATTTTACAATAACCAAAGAAAAAGGTGGAACAGAGATTGCTACTTGTAAATAAGAATCTGTCTGGCTATACTTCCATTAAACTCTGCCAATAACTTCAGATCACATATGAGTTAGGATCCAAGCTCAACAAAATGTGGAAGACTCATTAGTACATGACTCTGACAATCTTTTCCTCTCCATTTAGTATTCTACCATTTATACATTCTATGCTTTAGCAACTGATGTTATTTACAGTTCCTTAAAAAGGCCTGTATTACTTCAAGCCTTTGCCATGCTACTCGTTCTGACCACAATGTCTTTCTAGATCTGCCCATCTGGGAAATTCTAATTCCTATACTATCTGCCAGTTAAAAGTTCTACTTTCAAATCCACTTCATATACACTTCTACCATCACTTATCTTGCTATGTCAGAGCTTTACACATATTTATAGTTCTTTGTTATTCATAGCCTATGACCTGCTGCAGATTTTAAAGAAAAAAAAAAAAAACGAAAAGAAAAACAAAAAAACAAGAGACAAACAAACAACCACAAAAGTGGTTTAAACTTTATAGGCTTTTAAAACAAGATGACCGGAATTTAACAATGGTTGTTATATCGCATATTGTAATCTTCAAAAAGTTGCTTAGATTACCAGATACAGCCTATGACCTGATAAATCATCACTACTATGCAGCCCTGTACTCAGTATAAAACAAGGTTAATAAATATTTAATGCTTAGATGGTGAGATTCATAAAATAAGCAATGCTACAAAGCAATATAAATACCACATTCAAAATTAAGTTGAAGATGGAAAAAATAATGAGAATATTACAGTTAAGAAAATATCTCTACTAGAAAAATACATAAAACTTTTCTGTATTAGAAATGAGTTCTATGACATATTTAAGCAATTAGCTAATATGGAAAACTTAGGCTGTTAGACAAAGACTCCAACAATATTATTAGGACTTTAAGATCACCCAATAAGAAAAATAATATTTTAATTTCTTAAATTCAAACTACAGGTATTCTGTTTTATTTTATAATAAATCACATATGCATTAATTAAAATAAAGAAGGGTTCAAAACTTGGTTTGAATAAGAAATTTAACTTTCTTATAGTTATTCATTATACCATTAGAAAAATAGAAATGATTTCAAAAAATCAGATAAAATTGATTTCACCAAATACTACCTGAATTATTTTTCTTTTCTTCTTTTCTCCTTTTATCAGTATATTTGTCTTCACCATCTGTTTCACCAAATAACATTTCAGGTATCTATAACACAGAGACATTTATTTAAAACTCAAATCTGGGTTGAGAGTACAGCTCAGTGCGAGCTTCAATGCATGAAGACCTATATTTAATACCCAGCATCACCCAAAAAAGAATTAACCTTAAATCAGTATTAAAAAATTCAAATATATCCAATATCAAGTTAACAACTTTCAGCAATGCTAAAACATCCAGTATCAATTCAATTTTCTTCTTTCCAGATTAAGAGAAAAAAGCATACTAATTTAAAGTACATTATTTACTAGATATTAGATATATAGCAATCATTAATTGATTACACATTAATGGTATGGATGAAAAAGCTCTAACATCTCACTTAAAATTATTAAATGATATGAAATGAAAGGTATTAATATTTGGATTGAATAGAAAATATCATTTAGATTATACAGCTGATAATAAAATTTTTCATTTGACATTGAACAAAATACTTTAAGGGCAGGGGAACAACAATTCCTAGCTTTTTAAAATAAGAAATAACTAAAATTAAAGAAAAATAATTTCATAAATGATACTACATAAGTTCATAATTGGGAATTCTAAAATTGTTTTTTAGCTGTAACTCAGTTTTTGCCACTATAAAAATCAAATAATGTTTTCCAAACAGCTAGCTTATCATCAAAGAAAACATGATAACTTTATAAGAATATCACATGGGGGCTGGGGATTTAGCTCAGTGGCATAAGCGCCTGCCTTGCAAGCACATGGTCATGAGTTTGATCCTTGGTACCGGTAAAAAAAAAAAAAAAAGAATATTACATGGAGATATACAAAAGAAAACAAATTTTCTGTAGAAAAATTAAAATCAAGCCAAATAATAGCCTATTCTTTCACTAATACTGCTAACATTAATAGCAAGAAGAAATACAAATAATTCAGATAACTAGGAAAAAACAATTTATTAAAATTTTTCAGACAGAATAAAATTTAACTCAAGAGACCCCTTAACATCCACAAAATTTGAAAGGTGTCATTGTTCTGAAACCAGAGATTGTATTTTTTTCTCTACTACCTTCATTGATAAAAGAGCTGCCACTGTGAGAATATTTTAAATTCACATTTTGGAATCAGTGAAAATTTGTCTCTTTGCAAACTCACTTCTTTAAAACAACCTATTCCTAACTATCCTATACTAGCAAAATTTCCCTACTCAGATTTACCTACATACGTGCTTTGCCTCCATTTTCCCTTCTCTGAGATCAAAATGATACTTTATAAAAATTATACAGATACATTAACTTTATCAATTAACATTTCTGTCCAGTACCTATGTTGTTATATCAAATACTGACTGGATCCTATGAACCCTTTCAAAATAACTCTCAAGTGCTCCCAGTTTTTAATCAATAAAATTCAAAGCCACAGCACTTCCTAGCTTCCTTCATCAGTTGCCAACCTGGTTTTCATTATATCTCCCACATGCAATGTGCTGCATACTCCGTGCAGCAGCCACATGAATCCCATGCCATCCAAGCATTCCATACAACATCGTGTCTTTCAACTAAGGCATGCATGATGAGGCAGTATCCTCCAGACCTCATCTTTATTTCAAAACCATCCTCACTAAATTACCCAATTTAAATTCCCATATGATCAAACTACAGCAATCATTAACCCTCTTTGTTCCAGGCATTTACCAGTCTAATGATTTTTGATTCCTAAAATTATTTTAACTCTTGTCCCACTGTCACTATCTACAAAATAATTCCCATCTTTTTTCTTAACAATGTCAATATTCATTAGTCATAATCCCTTCAACAATCCTCACTTCTCAACTCCTTAAACTTCTCTCCTTCTACGTACTACCTCGTGGTGATCCACTGAGACTCAGGGTTACATCCTGAGATTTGGCTCATCATCATTCAACTCACTACTTACTCCAGGTTGGCATCCATGAATGCACACATGGTTGAGGAAAAACACACTACTATGCTGACTGGACTCAAATGAACTCAGGATCACTAATCTCAAATTAATTTTAATTTTACCTGTCTAGCATACTCTCTTCTACTAGCCCCTTTTACTCTTTTTCTCTCATAAACAACTATTTTGTATATCTGTCTTCTTGTATCTGTTCAAGCTCCGAAAATCTCTGTCATCACTTCTCTAAACTGATTACCCTACTTCTGATTTCACTGAGGAAACAGAAAAGAGCATCCAAACTTTCTCAGTGCTGCATCTTTCCACCTCTCCAGACCTGTGAACCTCCATCCAGTTATCTTTCTGTTTAAACTTCCAAGTCACCTATTTGTGCGCTAGATGCATTCACTATCCATTACTTGATGATACTGCTTCTCTAACAATTTCCTCCAGCCTTTCTGTATCATATATATTTGGCTTCCCTGCTAAATAATTCCCAAATCCATACACACATGCTATAGTTTGTCCTATCTTTAAAAAAAAAAAAATCTTTCATTTACTTTCTTCAATTACTGATCCATTTCTCTTTCCCTGTAAACAAATGTCTTCAAAAAGTATCCATATAATTCTAATTTTTTTAATTTTTTATTTTTTTAGTAGCACTGGGTACTGAATCCAGGACCTGAACTGAGTTATTTCCCCAGCCTTTTTTTGGCTAAGGTGGTAGGGTTCTCACTAAGTTACTAAGTTGCCAAGGCTGGGCTCAAATTCACAATCCTACTGCCTCAGCCTCCCAGTAATGGGTTACAGGCATGCACCATATGAAAAACATCAATAAATAAAAAGTAAAATAAAGGTAGGAGACAAAAGTATAGATTAAAAACAGGAAAGGAACTCAAAGGGTAGGAGAAATTGTCAGGGGAACGGGTAAAGGGACAAAAAATGATCAAGATGTATTATATATGTGTAACAATTTCCTAAAACTATTTTGTACTGCAAAAATACATTAATAAAAAGTTTAAATATAAAAAAGTTGCCTATATCCAGTGTCTCAAATCATACATTGTAAAAGGTTTTTTTCAGTCCCAACTTAAACTGCATATTGTAATGGTTTTTTCACTCCGACTTTAAATTTAAATTACTCTCCATCAATTTCTAGTCCTCATCTGGGTTTTCATATAGCATGTTCCAATATCCCTTTCTTCAAAGCAAGCATATCCTTTCTCCTCTGAAATGATGTCTTCCCGTGGCTTCTACACTACCACCCTCTCTCTGGTTTCACTTCACATTTCCCTAGACGCTCCTCTCGAGCCTCTGATGGTTCATTCCTCCTCTTCATTCTCCCAACTTCTTAAGGTTGAAATGCCTCAGTGTCCAGCTGTTGGATCACTATTCTCTTTTGTGTACACTCACTCTCTTATTCCTAGTCATTCTCATAGCCTTAGATGCCAATACAATCTGATAATTCTGATACGTTTGTTTATGGGCACTTGTTTCCAGAAATCCAGACCCATACATTCTCAACTTCATAATTTGGATGTACTCCATATTTTTACACATCTAAATCTGAAAGCCTTATATTTTTCTTCTCAATATGTTCATATCAGCTGATGGTTATTCAATCCTTCTGGCCACGTACAGGCAAAATCTTTGATTCATTTTCACTTACACTTTATTATAATGTCAGCAAATTGTGTTGCTCCACTGCAAAACATATCTAGAATCCAAGTGCTTACAAGCACCTTCCCACTAGAAATCTACAGTTTAAATCATCACTGTTTTCTCTCAGCTAGATTATTGCAGTACTTTTTAACTGCTTCTACCCTTGCCTCTTAATCTACTTTCAACCTTAAAACCGGAGTAATCTCATTAAAATGTGAGTCAAAACATTTTTTGTTCAAAAGCCTAAAGAAGTAAGTCCTCAGGAAAAAGTTAAGATCTTATAATGGCTTACAAACCCATACCCTAACTAGTCGTGGCTTATATCTCTGACCACATCTACTACTCTCCCCATCCATCACTCTGCTCCTGGTGAAGGAGTTTCTTGCCAAGTCTAAAAATCATCAGACATGTTCTCACCTCAGAATCTTTACTTAACAAGCTTTCCCTCACTTCTCCGTGACAAGATGTAAAAATCTATGAAGGTAGGATCTTTGTTTTGTTAGCCTCCACATTATCTCTTCAATATATAGAAAAGTGGTAGGTGTTACAAATCAAATAATCACCTTTCATCAATGAATGCCTCTTTTTCTGGAGTCTCCTCAGACTAAAATACTTCTATCTACTTAATGAAATCTAACTAAAATAGTCTCAATTGCAAAGCTATGTCTATTATCTCAAATTATACTCCTTTCTCTGAATCATAACAGCTACTTGTCTGCATTTCTACCACAAATAGTGACATGAATGGTTGTACATATGAATATCATTTAAGGGACAATGCTGGAAATTATTATTTATTTAAATAAAACAAAGAGGCTCATAGTGTTGAATTCACATTTCAAACTTATTCTCTTCTGAACATAAAGTATGGCAATTATAAGCTGAAAAAAAGATTTTAAAATTTTTAATTGGAAATGTTATTGCTATGAGTTTTTAAATTATTGGGTAACTTATAATAGGCTAGAAAATTAAAGGCATAAAATTTTAAAGTATGATAATTATCTCATTGGTCCTGAATTAAGAATATAATCCTCAACCTAAAATTCTATACTTGTCAACAAGAAAAAAAAAAAGGTAACAGACATTTTCAATCAGGAGAGAGATGTTAAGTGTCACAATTAGGTAATTTTAAAATTAACACCAAAGAGAAGATGTAAAAATCAATAAACTTGAAATATAAAATATGATTTTTTTTATGACTTTCATATCTAAATGTAAACTTACTTTCTTCATACTGCTATCTGACCAGCCTTCCATCCACAGCACCTGGCATTTCTTATGTAAAGCTGGATTACTTTCACAGTTTATTATGAAGTTTAAATTTGAAGAATCCATTATTAAAACAATATGAAGGTTTTGCTGAATTCCTAAAAAATATAAGAAAATTATAATCACGAATAATTATAATAATAATGGAATCAGAACATCTATATATTATTTGGTTTTATGAGATTAAAATGTCCTGAAATAGAATATTAAGAGCCATTTATTAAAAAGAACAAATTATGAAATATAGGATACAATATTTATAAATGTATATAGGTACACTGTGTATGAATTCTAAAAAAGATTCAGAAGACTATCCATGAATGGCATAAGTACAGCAATGCCTTAGTATGATTATTCTCTCATTTTTAAAATTTATTTCAATTTTAAATTTTAATCACACATAACTGTATTAATAAAGGTTATTCAGTTTAATAAAATAATAAAATTCATTGCAATCTAAACAGTTCAGTAACTCTTTAAAAAGAGAGCAGATACAAAAGTAGCACAAATTCATCACATGAAAATAAAGGGCACAGTGTACATATTCCACATTTGCACCACTGCCCTTTGCTAAAATTTTGCTAAGGTATTTTTATCACAATCTAGCCTATAGGCTGTCTGTTATCTTCTAAAAGTTCCAGGAAATAAAAAGAGAGTGAGAGGGCTGGAGATTTAGCTCAGCGGCATAAGCGCCTGCCTTGTAAGCAGGTAGTCATGAGTTCGATCCCTGGTACCGATAAAAACGAAAAAGACAAAAAAAAAAGAGAGAGTGAGAAAGGTATAGGATAATATTTATTTTACCTGAATGAGAGATTGTACTGATTAATAAATTGTATGTCACTTACTATATGTGAAATAATTGAAGACTGGCCCAAAAAAACCATCCTGTGAAGCTTGATCTTTAAGAGGCAACAGCAAGGGCTCTAGTTCTTCCAGGGCATAGAGACCAGGGACTTCACCTACACAAGAACATGACCTTGCTTTTTAATTTTGACTGTAATGTACTGACCTAAAAACACACACACACACTTTTCAATTTTCACATTAATTTGCTTCTAAAAAACACAAACCCTACTGTGTGACTACAAATCTGCATCTACACTCCCAAGCAAGTCATTCAATAACATTTATAATCTAGCCATCTATGTACCCTTGTAAGTTTTTTTCCTCCACTTTTTCCCATATAGCCCTGTTTCTAGCCTTGATGAACTTGTGTTCCATAAATATAACAAACTATTCTCTTTCTTGGAACGTAGGCCTAAGCCTTTGCTCCTTACCATTCCCATACTGTTCATCCTTTAAAACACTGCTTCTCCAATTGTTGTGCCCTAATGAACTACACATTAAGAAAAGCACTCTTTTTCACTTAGCCTCCAAACATATCGCTGCTTCACATTTCTCACAGTAATAATGAATTACTTCCCTCTCCTGCCCAAATGGATTCTGAACATACAAAGGACCTGAGCATGGTGGCATAAATCTGTTCTGTATCCAAAAACTCTTGGAGGCTAAGGTAGGCAAGCAAGCCACACGTTTGAGCCCAGTCAGGACAACTTAGTAATTTAGTAAAACCGTATTTCAATGTGAAAAATCAAAGAGGGTCAGGGAGTAGGTCGGCACAAAGGCCCTGTATCAAATAGGGGCTTAATGATTAAAATCTCTTTTCCACACTCCAGAGAGTCTGATTTAGAGATTTGAGGAAGGCAAGAAAGAATTCGTTTTTCAGTCTTTAATTCTCCAGAAAATTCTAATTGCAATTAGACCTTTTTAAATGATACAGAATAAAAATGGATATAGTGCCTATTATTTTATCTTACAAGCAACAGCCAAACATAAAAATCTTGAGAAAATAAAGGAATAATTATTTCTATAACCCAGATCCATAATCATATACAGAAGGTCCACTTGTTAAATTTTTAAAAAGTATTTAATGTAGTCTTCTTTCCAATGACATTTTTCTGTTAAGCAGATGCATATTTATAGCGGTTTTTGTTGTTTGTTTAGTTGAGTCAAGGTCTTGTTACACAGTGCAGGCTGGCCTTGAATTCTCTATGTAGCCCAGGGTAGCCTTGAACTCACAGAGATACAACTGCTTCAGCCACCCTCATGCTAGGATTATACGTGTGCACCACTATGCCCAACACAGTTCCTTTTTCCTTAAAAATAATTTTAATTTCTTCTTTAAAAAAGTGAAATTACTTTAGTAAGTAGTAAATTTATTCAATTCAATTAAAGAAATAATATATGCATTACACCAGGTTTATATATTGTTCAGACATACATGAAATCTGGGCCCTAACATGCAGAATAGATTGCTGAAATATATCTGTATTTATATATCCACACTAAGGCCATACCATAATCACTTAATAATTTCATTAATGACAGAAGTTGTATCAAACTTTTTGTGATTAGAAATTATACTAGATTTTCCTGTATATATTAGTTCTTTTATATCTATGGGTTAAATTCCTATAGATAATTAAATGCTACATCAAAATGTATGATAGATTTTTCTTCATGAGTATTACTGGGAAACTTTCCAAAAGGTAGAGCAGAGAATAGCCTGCTAAAAAATATATAAGAATAACAATTTTCCTGTACATTTACTAATATTTCAATACTATCAGTAATATTTAAATAGTTTCTAAATTATTAGTTTTATAAAAATAGTTTCTCAATTCTCTAACCAAAAGTACATTTAATTCTCTATGACCTTGCTAATAACTGTGTCAAAAATTCTCTGAAACACAGGTAAATTTTATGCAACTTAACATGAATAATTTTATAGTATTAGTTTCATTTTCACTTGCCTGAAGACAAAAGGCTATTGATCATCTCCAGAAACGTAGGGTGTATAAACTGGTAATCCTCCAGAAGTAAAACCACCTGCTGTGCTTCAATTCCTGCAAGATGAAGCACCTGCAAAATAAGAAAGCGTTTTCAGTGCTTTTTTGTATTTTTGATACAGTAGAAAACTTTCATTCTCTATGTAAGTATGTCATTAAGATGTATTTGTTTACATTTGAATAATTAATATTAAATTCAGTTTTGTCAATGTTGGAGAGTAAATCAAACCCTTCAGTAAGTACCAGTTGAGGGAAATTTTAATTATTTTAAAGGTAAGACATTAAAATAAAAATAGAAGATCATTTTTATAAATATGTATATTTCCCATATAAATTACATCCTCTTGTTTACCATTTATATTCATCAAATATTCCATAACTGGAGCACCTGAGACCTAGAAATCTTACAAATTCTTTCCTATGAAACACAATTTTTAATAATTATGGGACAGATAATCATCAAAATTAATTATGTTCTATATGATGCATAAAGATCTTAAAATTCATTTAAATTAATGTTATTTAAAGTCAAATAAAGCCAAAGACTATGAGCAACTCACGTGTTTGAGATCATTTTTGAACTGCTTCAGTTCATATCCCCTGGAAATCTTTGGAGAAAACAGGATTGCTCCATGCATATGGCTGACTAGAGAAGTTATGGTCCGACGACCTACACCACTGCGCCCTGCTAAAAGAAGTGAACCTCCAGGGAAGCTAAGGACTCTGTCTATCCTAGACATATACTCCAGAACTTCTTGGAAAAGTAAAATATCTAGATTCCGGTTATCTCGTCCATAATGAATAAGACCCTTTGAAAAGGTAACAAAGAATATTTTATAAGTAATATAACCACTAATTATATAATTAACATGTTATCTAGATTAAAATACAATTTTGATACATTTAGGAAAAAAGGACAAAATAACTTCTTCATATCCAACATTTTACTTATCTAATAATATAGTTTATAAGCACTCTAAGGAAAATCTCATACAATGCCAAACAAGTTCCAAGGGTCCACAAGTATCAGTCGCATTGGACGTTAATATATTGGCAAACAGCAGAAGTAGTAGCATTAATAGTAAGATAGTAGCTTAATTCAAAAACTTTAAAAGCACTCCAGTTTTATGAGTTATTATAAGTCAACAAGCATAAACTATAAAACAATCTCAAAACTCTAGAAACCCAATGTTTAAGAAATCTCATGTGAATGCTTCTTTTGCATTGCTTGGGAAAGATTGAAAATCCCATATATGCACCACACACTACCAGGGACTATGTGATGAAGTACAGGAAGAGAGAAAAGACAAATAGGATTCACATAGTTAAAAATGTTTCAAAGCTTTCCAAATTGCAATAGCCATTCATAAGAGTCATAACTAGAGCATAAAAAAAATTGTGACACAAAATGTATACTAACTTTCATTATAAATAGTAATTGTAAAACAATCTTAGGAATTTTTTTACAACAAAACTGAAAGAAAAAGATTCAAAGAAAGAAAAACAAGAAAGAAAACAAAGGAAAAAAAGAAAGGACATAATGTCTGGAAGACAGTGGACAAGGAAGATGACCATCATTTGAGAGCCTGTTAGAACTGTAAACTCTCCAGGCGTTGCCTAGTGAGTCTGACAGTAGGCAGATAGGAACCAGAAATCTGTCCATTTTCTACTTCTCTAAGTGATTCTGACGCTCACTAAAGTCTAATAATCACGCTTTAGGATGATTTCCCCATTTTTGGCTTCATTAATATTTTCAACAAATGTCATCTACTAAAGTGTATCTTGACAGCGTATGTGCATCTACTTATGGATGCCACACTGGACCCAACTCCAAAACAACAAAAGTACCTTTGTCTATCCTATGATCATCCATCCCTATGGTCTCAAAATGTTTCCAATAGATGTATTTTACATAATCACACCTAAATCTTAACACAAATTCATGGCTCATCTTATACCTTTTTAATGACATCCTTGAGATCTGCAGAGCTCAGCTTTCCAAGCGGTTTTCCGTGTGGAGCCAATGGCTGCCCTGGGCCTGGTCTTGTACCTGCATTATGTCGAGCTCCCCAGGTAACATAGAAACTACCTGTGGAAATGAAAGATGAAGGAAAGAATCAGTAAGTACACTGTTTAAAAAATTACTTTTAAGCAGCCCAAATTAGATTATCTTCAGAAAGAGAAGGAAAAATTACATTAAATTCATAGACACCATCCCTGGGAAGATCAGTCAAGTCAGTTAACATCAGACTGTGACAGAGAGCTGGCTGACCATCACATCCCTATTGACTCTCCCCAGATGAAATGGCTTCCTAACGCTTCCCTGCTAATCCCTCTGTCTACACTCAGTGTGCTCCATTTTCCTTCTCCAGAACCTCTCAAAGAGATTTGTATACTAAAAACAGCATGTATAAAATTGACATAAAACAAATTCTCTTGAGAAAGAACACAGAGTTAGCAATACATTCAAGAGCCTAACTTCTAAAATAGAAGAAAAATTTTAATTAGAAAACCAAAACCATCCAAATTTCTCTTAAATTTGTCTATAGCAGTGTTTGTGTTATCATATAAGGAAAATCCACTCCCTATTCATTGAATGTTTTTCTTCCCTGCTATTCTGGGAGATTATCCCAGGAAGGGTCCTGCTGCATTCCCAATTCTACCATCTCCTAAAATAAGAACCACTTACCTTCCTAAACACAGGTTATTCCATGGTCCACTCCTTTCCTACACTGTCATATTTCTCATTTTTCTCTCTCTATAAACTCCACCTATACCAGAATTCTTATTAGGGAATAATAATGAAGCTCTAATATCTGAATTCAAGTCTTCTGTGCAATCGTTACGCCAAAATAAACCTCTCTGCTCACTTTGTGAAACCTTTTTCTTGGATTTATGTGACCATCCACATTAACTCATAAACCACACTTTTTTGGTTTTCTGCTTAGCTTTTATATATTTAAGTGACCCAGAATCTAAATTTAACCTTCTAGGCTTTCAATTTTGAAGAGTTCTGTTTATCAGTTTCTATGGATTAAACAACAGTCATTCACTACTTTTTTCCATGCGGGTCTCCAAAGCTCTGCCAATTCTCATACTTCTCATATTTGCAATTCCTAACTGACATATGAGTCACATTCATTCACTCAACCAATTATCTATTGAGAATTCCAATTTAAGTATTGTATTTTCTACTAGATTTAACTAATGAATAAGAAAAACATGATTCCTACCTCATGGGTGACCAACTCTAGGCACAGTTCCAAAACTCCCAAAGTTTGAAAATATTCAAACATGTGTATAATAAATATTTTAAACTATAAATGTTATAATAACTACATATCTCATTTCTCACATGGACTACGTCAGTAGTCTCCTACTTGACAGTCCTCCAAAAGTCTTTGCGCCATAAGCACATCCTCACTACCAGTAGATCAACACGGAGAAATAAAATAAAACTAACTGCATCATATGAGTCCAACAGTATAAACAGTAATGAAGTAGATAGATATTCAAGCTTTCAATAAAGAATTTCTGGTCTACTCTAGTGAATGCTTTACTGTCCTGTCTCCTTCTATTACACTAGTAATACCACCTCTATTACATTAATACTATTACTAGTAGTATTTTATAAAGCTAGTATACTAGCTTTCTCAAGTCTTTGCTTTTTTTATATTCTTTATCCTCCATCCAGAACACCCTTACCCTATTCTTTATTCAATATAGTTATACTTTAAAACACAGCATGAACATTTATAATTTATAACTAAAAAATAATAAAGATTTAAATTGAAATCTATTAAAACATATACAGAACTTGTATGCTGAAAACTTCATAGTATTGATGAGAAAAAAGCAAGTAAGAGCTAAGAAAAAGAAGAAACATATCATGTTCATGAACTGGAAGACTTGACATACTAAAGATCCAATCTGACAACAGTAAAATACAAATTTAATGCAATACTATTAAAATCTCAGCAACATATTTATAGATGTAGACAATACTCTAAAATTTACATGAAAAAGCAAAAGAACTGAACTGAACTAGCTAAAAGAACTTTGAGGAAGAAGTATAAAGTAAGAGTAGTGCCAATATAAAGATTTATTATTTGGTAGCTACAGCAATCAAAATATTGTGATTATTGGGAAAAAGACAGACAGCATGTATCAGTGGAATAAAGAACCCAGGAACAGACTAATAATTTTTGACAAAAATGCAAAAATAGTTGAAGCAGAAAGACATTTCAATAAATGATGCTATAGAAAGTGGGCATTCATATGTTAAAAAAATTAACTCAAATAGGCCACTAATTTAAAGTTTGAAACATAAATATATACGATAAAAACACAAAAGAATATTATCAGGATCCAGGACTGGACAAAAACAACTTAAACTTGACAACCAAATATCCTTAAGGAAAAACTGACAAGTTAGACCGAATAAAATTAAGACACTTATAAGAGGATGTAGACAAGTTACAGACTAGAGGAATATATTTGCACACCACATGTTTAACAAAAGACTACCAGCAAGAATATATCAATATTTTAAAAACCTAATAGTAAAAACCAAACAATTTAATCAAAAACAGGTGAAAAATACATATGAAGATATATTTCAGCAATAAGATATACAGTTAGCAAATAAGCATATGAAAAACGTTCTACTTCACTAGCCTCTGATGGAAATGTCAATGTCCTAGTTGTATATTTTACTATAATTTGGTCACATGTTACCACTGGAAGACACCTGGGTGAAAGTGATGTGTGTTCTCCCTATATTATTACAATTGCATGTGAATTGACAATATCTCAGTTTTTAAATTTAAAACTGCTTCAATGTAACTTCCTAAAAAAAGTCTCTATCTCTTCTATGACCATAAAATTTACCCTCTATCCCAAACATGTTTATAAACTTAATTAATTAAAATATTTAATACTTTACTATTATTGCCAGTTTAATCATCTACTTTCAATGACTTTCATGGCATCTAAACACACTAGCAGAAGTCTCAACTAGATGTTTTATATTTGTTTGTGCCATTAGACTACAAGTTTTATAGGACAAAAAGTATGATATAGGACAAAAATATATGGTGAAATGTTCAAATTAAAAAATTACCTGCCATATTCTCCAACACATCTGAGCCCCAATCTCCTTGAAACACTGACGCTAAAATATTGTCAAACAAATGAAGTTCCTTTGCACCAACAATTTTGTCACGAAATAAGCGCCGTGCTTCATATGCAACAATTTCTAACACATAATCTAATGGGTGATTTGAGGAGCCTGAAAGGGCAAAATTTTCTTTAATTGTAATAAAATTCAAATTACTTTAAAATATTTTGTTTAATATAATTTTAAAATAGTAAGAATCTACATACCATAATTTTGGCATCAGATAAATAGAAAAAAAGAAAAAAGGTTTAAATTTATTTTGTTACTGAACTAGTACATTTTTATTATTAAAGGCTACATTAAATGTTATTACCCCTAATCGTTCATTAAAAATATTGATTCCAAAAAACATATTAAACACCTTTGTCTAAAGAGAATAATTTCAATTTTTTCTATGATCAAGATTTAATACTTGATAACAATACATTGATAACAATGAAGTTTACACAAAGAAATACATATCACTTAATAGAGATACTTAAAAGGTATTTTGACATTTAAATTTAATATTAGTAGTATCATTTTTAAAATATAATTGCACTCACAATGCTGATCTATTACAAATACAATTTAAAATATAATTACACTCACAATACTGACCTATTACAAATACATAAATAAGCATAAATGCACTCACAAATATACACAGATTAACACAAATAACAGAAAAATTTACCTCCTTCTAAATCATATCTGAATAAGCCAAGAACCCACTGTGTAAGAATGCAAGGAGTAAATAGATAATGACTATATTCATCAACTGTAAATTTGGCCCGCACCTAAAAAAGAAAATACAGTAAACAATCTACTTTCTTAGATATATAATCAAGCTCTAAATTTTTCAATCACCTTCAACTCATAAGAATAAGCCTTTTTTATTTTTTTTTTTTTTTTTAACAGAGTGTTACTATGTATTCCAGGCTGGCCATGAACTCACAAGGATACTGCCTAAGACTCCCGTGCTGGGATTACAGGTGTGCATCACCATACCTGGCCATGAATGATAAGCTCTTCTTGGTGGGATTTTAGCAGAACTGATTTTTTTAAGTTACCCTATTTCAATCCTATGCACTTTAAAACAATATTCTAAAAGGGGTTCATGGTTTCAACATACTGGCAAAGACTGCCCATGGCAGGAAAAAAGAAAAAAAAAAAAAAAAAACAGAAAAAAGTTTAAGTAGGTGAGGTAAAGCAATTTTAAAAAGTTAACCTAAGCTTTATAAAATTCTGCTTCTGATTGCAAGGTACTCTTGGAGCCATTTACTAACATTCAATAAGTTTCTGAGCAAATCAAAATGCCTATCCTCAAAAAGTCTGTCCTTCAGCCATTATCTTTTGATCTCAACCACATAACGTGAATTAGTGTCAGCCCCTACCCATATATACTCATACATATGCATCTATACACATATATACATATATCTTTTAAAGAGTAACTTGTTGCTAACCTTTTTTCACTCCTACTCTGATACGATAAAAAGCATCTTCCACAAATACTTCCCTAATATCACATGCTGTTCCCTTTACTTAAAAATACCTTTCATCTCTAATCACTGCATTTCTATTCACTTTCCATACCACACATAAAATTTTACCTCCTTTCCATACAAAGCAACAACATTCACTCTCTCCACTGAACTACCTCTGTAAGTTAAGCACGTTACTATTACATTTCTCACATTGTATTAATAGCTTATTTCTATAATTCAGTACTTCATTAGACAAAACTTTCAGAGAAGGGAAACTCATTCATTTTGTATACTTAGGACTATTGCGGTCAAGAGAAAGTACTCAATAACTCTTCTGCGTCCTCTCTGCCTACTTTTAAATATTCTTTCCTAATGATACTTTAGACTTTTTGTGTCAGGTAGCAGGAAAGAAACAAACATCAAATGCTACTCTCAAGTTTGAAGCCTGGCAGAAAAAAAAACCTGACAGAATCAGAAGAAAGAACTGGCTTTGGAAAGAAGATCATTCCATTCTGAATAGGTTAAACATGAGCTGATAACAGAATAGGTAATTCAACAATTCATTCATCCAAAAAATATTTGTTAGTGCTTAATAGAAACTGGGCTTCGGATACAATCATCTATAAGGCATAAATAGTCCCTTCCCTGAAAAAGCCCACTCTCAAGTAGGGAAGTTTAATAAACAACAGGAAAATAAAGCCTGTTGGTTAGTATTAAAGACAGAGCTTTGACAATGACACCAATAGACATGAAAACTACAGTACAAATGCATACATACCTGTTCATACACTTGTACCATAGATCCTGCTAAGATATAAATTTTTGATGAAGAACCCCAAATAGAATGATTCTTCAGATTTTTATGTAGAACTGCTTCCAAATATGCTCCATAAATTGTTTGTAATTGCTCTCTTTCTGGGTAACTAAAAAGAGACAGATAAGCAAAAAGAAAGCTGAAATCAACATTCTACATTACTGCATGAATAAGTTACAGGACTGGTCGAATTATGCTTGGGACAGGGACTAGGGCTAGGCTTACAGTGCTCGTTCTCATTTCAACCACACCACCTCCTTACGTTTCTACTGTCAAATACTGAAGTACTAGTAGAGGATTCCAACAAAATTATTAAACACCTAACCATTCCAAAAAACGATTTTTAGAAAGGAACAAAAGAAAAATTTCATTTAAGAAAATGTATTTTTAGGTTACTCAGAGCCTATAGAAAGGTTAGTAATCTACCTGAGAACTTTAAAAGTAGGACTCATACAACGAGTAAAATCAATTTGTTTCTACTAAACCAAAGGATATTTCATGAAGCTTAAACAGTGTTGGTGACACTTCAGTAAAAAAAAAAAAAAAAAAAAAATCAATGATCAGTAAGGTGCAATTAGCATGAAAACACAAAGGTAAAATTTAGCAGGAAACCACAAGGGCAAAGTCTAGTAAGGCAAAAATAGAATAGAGCGGGTAATGCCATAATCAGAAAATCCAGGAGTCCATGCAACAATTTTGGACCACAGGGATGGCTAGATATATCAGCATTGGTATCATCAATCATTAAAATGATCTAATTCTATCTTACCCAGATTTAAATATTTTAATTTGCTTCATAAAATTTACCACACTTTTTGTTTTATGAAACATGTAAAACTTCTAAATCTACAATTGACTTATGTATTCAAAGGAAGTAAAAATCAGTATGAGAAAAGACATCTGCACAAGCATATTCACTGCAGCACTATTCGCAATAACCAAAAAATGGAAACAACCCAACTATTCATCAGTCAGTGAATGGATAAGGAAAATATGGTACACAATGAAATTCTGTTATTTGCAACATGGATGGAACCTGAGACCACCTCATTAGGGAAATAAATGAGGCACAGAAAGATAAATACTGCAATCTCTTTCATATGTGGAAACGCAGTTGAGAGTAGAATGGTGGTTACCAGAGGCTGGGGAGATGAGTTGCCAGTGAGGGATAGGGAAACGTCAATCAATGGACACTGAGTTTGGCTAGACAGTAGCAAGCAGTTCTGGTGTGCGACTGCATACTCGCATGATCACATAACAGCAATGTGCTATCCATTTCAGAAAGCTAGAAGGATTTTCCAACTTTTCACCATTAAGAAATGTAACTGTTTGGTGAGACAGACATGCTTAACCTGATGTAAACATCATCCAATGAAAATATGTATGAAAACAATACAAGGTGCTGGGCGTGATGGCATTTGCCTATAATCGTAGCCCTTGGGAGACTGAGGTAGGAAAATCGCTGCAAGTTCAAGGCCAGCTAGGGCTACATAGTGAGTTCAAAGCTGGCCTCACCTACTTAGTGAGACCCCGACTCAAAACAAAGTAAAAATCAAAACAGTACATAGTACCTGTTATATATATAATTTTGTTTTTATGCATCAGTTATAAAATTTAAATTCAAAAAAATTAAAATTCATCATTTTGGGAACATAGCTCAGCAGCACAGCACCTGCCTGGCAAGTACAAGGTCATAAATTTGACTACCAGTACCAAAAAGTAAAGTTCATCTTTTTTTTTTTTTTTTTTTTTTTTGTCTTTTTCCTTTTTTATCGGTACCGGGGATCGAACTCATGACTGCCTGCTTGCAAGGCAGGCGCTTATGCCGCTGAGCTAAATCCCCAGCCCAAGTTCATCATTTTGATTTCTGATTCTAACATTTTAAAACAAAAACTGTACAAAACATGTGTTCTATTTCCTTAAATGTTTCTGATTAATTTAGCCTTTTTGATCCTAAATTATTACCTGTTTTTGGAAGGTTAGGAAAAATGTATCAGATTTTAAATTTGACCACTTTTTTTCTTTTTGAGACAGGCTCTTCCACATGTGGTTCAGACTGGCCTTAAACCCATGATTTACCTCAGACCAACCTCAAACTTATGGAAATCCTCCTGCCTCAGCCTTCCAAATAACTGCTGCATTTACATAGCATATGCCATCACACCTGTGTGTTTGACTACTTAAACAGTCTACATTTTGGAAAAGTATTACTAATGGACCTCTTTAATGAGATACAATTAAGTATTATCACTCCAAGTTTAAAAAAAATTTAAATATTAAGATACTTACTCTACAGCACAGAGTCGAACAATGGAAGTAAATCGGGTAGTAAGCTTGTGTCTTCCCAATCTTCCTCCAGCTGACATAGAAGCTACAATTTGAATATTTTCTAGACCAACCCATTCCAAATTTTCATCATAAAATCCTTGATAAGTCAATACCTATTGAAAAATACATTTTAAATGTTTTATACTTTAACTTTGCTAATAATACTATACATAAATTTTAATTATATCTGAATGCAATCATTTCCTCTACATAACAGTTTAAGATTAAAATGTATTGGGGCTGGGGATTTAGCTCAGCGGCATAAGGGTCTGCCTTGCAAGCAGGCAGTCATGAGTTCGATCCCTGGTACCAATAAAAAGGAAAAAGACAACAACAACAATAAAAAAAGATTGAAATATATTTTAAATTATTGGACTATTGAAAAGGAATACTGTTCAAATCTGTTGTCAGTTAATGTTTACTAAATTGTCCTTATTTTTAAAATATTTTCTCTCAAGTAAACAAAAAGTCCAAATATTATAGCAGCAATTACCAAAAAAAAAACAGTATCAGAAGTCAGGAAAATATTTTGATTCTTTTCTATAAGTATTCTATCATATTCTGCTATTTTAGCTAAAATAGGCCTAAATAGTCATTAAAAAAACTTTGAGATTTTAGAGATTTAAATGTGATATAAATATATAAATGGAGAAAATCTTCTGTACTGAATAAGAATGTGTGGTTCTGAATCCTTACATAGACAAAATGAAAGACTAATAGATGAAAGAGCCAGAGTGTGGCATGATTGACTGTAACTGCTGGTAGATGAATGTGAACCTAAAAAAAAAAAATCAAAAATTACCCCAACTCTAGCATGATTTCTAGCTTCTGCTTTCCTCATTTAAAAAAAAAAATGTGGTACAAGTTACCACATGTACACTTCAGGTTTTTATTCTTCCTCATATTATCTTAATGTAATACTAACATCTAACAGGGAGATTAAACAACGTGACTTAGAACAAAACGGAAATGTTTCAGCAATTTAATTTTCATGATACATGCTACATAACACTGTATTCAAAGAAGGAAAGCAGATACTCTATATATAAGCAAAATAAGTAGAATTAAATTATATCAAATTTTACCAAAACACATCAAGCAATAAGGCTTACCTGCTGTAGGAAAGCTACCAAAGTACTTGTCCCCCATTTATCAAGGTTGGGTAGGTTGATATCCTTTAAGTATAAAACAAGTCTTTCACAGTCTTTTGGCCTGTATACTCGTCCTGTGTTTGTACTGATTACCATGCACGTCTGGCTCAACTTCTGCAGAAGATGCTGAGAAGTAGTTTGAGCACTACAGTGGACTGTAGCAATCTGAGTGGACCGCAGTTGAGAAAAAGCATACCTGAGCAGCATCCTAGGAAAGATGTATGACATCTAATTTTAAAATCATAACCAGCAAAATACTTTTAATGTTCAATATAAAATGTCTATCTTATAAATAACTTTAATTTACAAATTATATGGTAAGCATGGATATGGTTTCCATAACATCAAGGTAACTTTCTAATTTTTAGAGGGGAAAACAATAAATATATGTTTCCTGGTATTCATGGAGCTCTTTTCAGCCAAAAAACTTCAAAGTTCTCAAAAGTAATTTCACTTAATAAAGTATATACAAAATATATCTCTGTTTCCACAGAGTTAAAGCAAAAATTTTAAATTCTCCTAGGTAAAAAGATAATAATTCATGACTTCTTTGTTCCAAAAGCATTAAAAATAGGTGAGTTCTACCAAATTAGAAGCTAAATAGGATGGCAAATTAAACATTTAAATTTTATAACTAAAGCACAAGACAATTTATGAGTATATCTAAGGTATTCATTTTTTGTTGTGATTGAAACGTATCATCTTTGAAAGTATCTTCTCAGATGCTCTCTTTCCATTAAATTCATATAACTTGGCAGACATCAGGATACATTCTTCTCAGAAGTTACAATTTTTACAACTAGTGAGAATAAAAAGAATCCTACATGAAACTGAAAATGCTACGCAAATCATTGCGGAAGAGGGGCATAAATGTACAAATGCACTTCTGTCAGCATGTTCCTTACCCTTTGCCACATCCTTCTGGACCTATGAGAATGAATGGCTGTTGAGTATGAGAACTTAACCAAGGTTTGAAATAATCTAGACTCCGTTGCATGTCAGGAGTCTGAATAACTGGAAGTGCCTGGCCATTACTGAATTCATCAGCAGTCAAGTTTTCTGGCTTCTTCAGCACGTAAGATGCTAGCTGCCCTCTATCTGAGTCATAGTAGGTGTTCATTGGTTTGTGAGGGTCTGGAGGAGATTCTCGCGCCCAGTTAAAAACCTTAGGAGGAAAAGTTGTGAGAAGTTTTTACATGGTCCAAATGCAGTGTGTCAAATTTTTTAATTCTTCACAGTACAAGTCCTCAGTGTGAATTCTCTTAGGTTTTTTTTTTAAAATTCGTATACATAATACCTACTTATAAGCAAATTATAAATACAGTAGTATTTCACCTTAAAAATTTTTCTCTAAACAATAATTTAAGAAAATAAAAGTATATACAGAAAAAATCAAATCAGTAGGTATTTATACACCAGTTTATATCTATTTTTAACTTTTAATGGAGTTGTTAAAGGCACTAATTCACAACTTACAGCGTGTAGGAATTTTAAGCCATTCATTTCCATACATCCTAGTACTGCCCATTCTACCGCACTCAATGTGCTACTCTTTTCTTTCATATTAAAAGCTGTACTATAAATATAAAGCTGAGTTTTCCCTCAAGCTATTTTTCCACACATTTATTCTGAACTTTCATGAGAGTTTCTGCTTCAAAGAAGCACACTGAATGGCACTGAGTGGTAACAATAAGAAGCATCTAACAGAAATAGAATGAAGAAAGCAACAAATAACGCTAGTGACAAAGCAAAATGGGGAAAAAAGCTGGAACATAAAATTGACACCTAATCAGTGGAAAACATGTACCATTATTTCAGTAGAGAACAACAGGTAGAAAACCCCTTCCGATAGGAAATTCAGCTCTATGACAATTCGATAAAATACAACCTTTCAAAATATTAAAGACTATTTATCCATCCTAGTATTGTTCATTTGCTAGTAACTTTCTGTTTAAAAGGATGATAGAAAATGTTATTCTAAGATTAAAAATTCTAATATTAAATTCATATATACTCATATATATTCGTAAGTATCTTCACAAATGTCTAACATTTCTACATTCAGAATTTTAACCTATTAAAAAATTATTTTATGTTTTTAATAATATCAAAGATCATAAATTAGATCAAAGGAGAAACTACACATGCACACATACAAATGCACTATTGCTTCTTGAAGTATATAATTTCAAAACTTAATAGTTCTCTACCTTATAATTACAAATCATTGATTTTGTCAGTTAAGCATCAAAAAAGTGAAAGAATAGACTGATTAGGATTTAAATAGCATTACCTCTTTGGTGAATTCCATACGTGATTTCATATTCAGATTTCCACCAAGTCCTCTTATGAGATTAATAATAAATTGGTCATGATCTTTGCATCCATGTAGATGGGACAAGCCATTCATTACAGTCCCCACCAAACTTGTTTCTACCACATAGTCATTCTGTTGATTAAAATCCATAGTATGGACAAACAAAAAATATGTATTAACCACTTTACTTAAACTCACACTGATGCTCATATGTCTTTTCAGACAATCACCTTTAAATTCAGCCATCTCATTAATAGCTGTAGAAAGTCTGGATTTTATTCAGTTATATATAAAAATAATTTGAGCTAAAAAAATAATAATTTGAGCTGTAAATGCTAGTGTTTACAAGATTACTTTCTAAATCTGAAAATATAAAAGAAAAATGAACACAGTACAAAAAGAATAGCTGCCCATTTTCTCTTGCCAATAATAAAAGAAAACAGATACAAGAGCCTAGGTTAATGGCTCTCAGACAAAGAGGGCAATTAAAAGCTCATTCACATGACAAATAACTTAGAGATTTCTCCAAAGGCAGAATTTTAAAATGAAACCTCTGGACTGAGGTGATACACATGGTTTTGATCTACAGATATCTGGGGCCTCTGGTAAATGCCAGAGAGTTCAGATGAAAAATCACCCTTGTTTTCAGAAATATTTATTGAGAACCAACCATGCATCAGGATCTATACGTGATATATTTTTTAAAAAGTAGATTACACTTAGTCTATACCTTCAAGGAACATAAACACGGAAGAAGAAATGGTTATCAATTGTAGTAGGAGCTAGAGAGTAGCACAGTAGAGTTTGTGAGAGTGCCTCATATTGAAGTTTCAAGGTCTCTTTGTAAAGGGTGACATTTAAGTTAACATCTAAAAAATAAAATTATGTGGTCATGCAGAGAATACAGCAAACGCAAAGGAAAATGATGCATTTAAGACACTGAAAGAACTTATAGGAAGCAAGAAATCAGTGGTTTAAATCAGAGAAGCAGAAGAGAGGCCAAAGGCAGAATTTATAGACCATGAAAAGGAATTAAAATTTTAGTTTCATTGTTTTTACACTGTTTCTAATGACAGTAAAATGAACCACTTTACATTACAAAAGACCATTCTGTTTATATAATTATTTTGGAAGAAAAGAGAAATAGGAAAAAGAGTAAGAAGAAGAAAGGGGGAAAGAAATCCAGCTGGTTAGCTCAAAATTTAGAGTTCTAGGTTGCAACCTACATATTTACTTTGCTAGATTCTTTTATTTGCTCACTTAATACAAGAAAACACAGTATAAGTAAAATTTTACCACTTGACTAGAGTATCTATTATATCTCATAATATGAACATCAAAAACAAAGGAAAAGAAAAAAAGAAATCTCAACACATTAAAAGAATCAGCTTATTTTCTAAATGAATCATTGATATCCACTTTGGTTTAAAGCATCCTGTCACAGAACTATAGTCAAACCCCTATATACACATAAAAATATTCCAGCTACTGTTACGTCCCTCTATCTAACATTCTCATGGCAGGCAAAGTATTTACAGAGATCACGGTTAAGCTTTTTATGCTTTTTTCAGTAATGACATATCTACTGAACAGGTAGTATAAAAGAGAAAGGAGTATTTAATTAAGTATATGCATTATTATTCACTCACTACTCTGCTAATACTTTATGTGGTTCCAAAGATACATAAGGAATGAGACACTCTCAAGGTGTTTACAATTTAATATAAATAGGTTATTATATAACTAGTTGGCAAATGTTGTACTGCTATAGCATTTAGGATGTAGGTTAGTCAGACTGAGGACTGGTGGAATAGTCCTTCCGTGAAGCCCCCAGAGAAACCTATTTCTTCATAAATCCCTATTCCTTCAACTTCCCTGAGAAAAGAAAAAAGTTAAGAAAATTACTGCTAAATCTCCCTGTCCATGCATTTAGTTCAATCTCAAAGTACAGACGACTAATTCAGTCAGATTAATAATCACATACTTTCAAAATACACTGCTATTTATTTCTTCTCTTTTGTATATGTTTAAGTTTTTCATAAAAGCCGTAACATACACAGCACCTGTCTGGCAAGTGCAAGGTCCTGAGTTTGATTCCTGGTACAGGAAAAAAAAACAAGCAATAACTTAAAAGCAAAGCCAAGAAAAGTTGAAAAATTCATGGAATATTAATCTTTTATTCATTCTTCAAATTCAAAATCAAATATGATCTTTTATAGCTTCTTAAAGACAGCAATTACTTTTTATCCTGTTATATTATGATTATCTGTTAATGTGGCATTTTCCTTAATTAGATCAACCCTTTTCAAGGAAAGGGCCTACTGTGCTGTCAGCTCTCAAAATTTCTATAGTATTATGATTGACGTACATTACTCAATTACTTTTCCCTGAATAAACAAATGTTTCCTAAACTATTTTATATAAATCTTCATACTTTTTCTACTTTACATTAGCTTAAAATTACCATGATATATATATGTATTATCGACATAGTAAAATGAAACATAAGGTAAAAGTTTTATTAGTGAAAACTTAAAGATATTCCCAATTCAAGATTTTTAGGTAATCTATGAAAGTATTGTAGATAGGAAAATTAAAATGATTTAAAACTAATGTATTAAGAAGCTATGCTTGGACTGGGGATTTAGCTCAGCGGCATAAGCGCCCACCTTGCAAGTTGCGGTTGTGAGTTCGATCCCCGGTACCAAAAAAAAAAAGAAAAAGAAACTATGCCAGAAGACACTTAGAGACACCAATTAAGATGACTGTCACTTAAACTCAACCCCAGGTTCCAGTCCAGCTCTATCTGAGGAAGCAAAATATAAGCATTATTATAGATTATTATACTGCTTACCCGGGTGATTAATTATGAAATATTATGGTCAACGTACCTGTTTCAGAACCCATTGTAAAGCCTTTTCAAAATAATCTGCAATCCAGTTTTCAAGATTATTTCTATATTTAATAGGCTGATTCCTCAACCAACACTTTATAAGAGAATTAACATCTGTCTCTTCATCACTAAAACAAATTAACATAAAAAATATAAGAAATTATTCAGAAATCACAAATTTCCTTTCAAATAAATTTCTGCTCTAAAATGAATCATTACACACAAGTATTTTATCTTCTAGTATGCAAGAGTTAGTTTGGTTACTTTTGTATGTGTGTTCCACTATTAAAAGGCCCCTATTGAGCATGTCACACTGAAAATACTCAAATCTAACTATAAACTTAACTTTTACTCTAATTTTCCCACATGATTATAAGAATACACTGCATAAGTGGTAAATTCTTTACATATGCTGCTATGCAACTATAAATTCAGTTACAGTATTTTCAATAGCTCATATTAACTGAAGTTCATAACTAATTTACTTCCACAATATTGTTAAAGAAATAAGCAATTTTAAAACACAATCTGAACCTAACTGATTATACTGTCATGTGTCTCACTATCTTTGTTTCAAATGGCCCCAAGAAGTAAACACCTTATATGAGGTGATAAATAACAAGTTCTAAAACATAAAATCAAACAAGAAAATAAAACTTCCTTATTTATAACAAACATTTTGGGAAATGAAACTAGTTCAAATGTCCATGCTCTGATATGTGACTACCACATATGATATTAATTCACTTTTTGCTCTTTAAGCTTCTTCCAAATACACTGAAGAAGAAAATATTAAAGCAGTTTTCAGTTTGTAAAAGAAAACACTGGACAACAGTACCTATCAAACTAAACTAGTCCTATCATTCTATAAATGCAAGATGATAATTAAAATACTGCTGCTGAGCGTTAAAGCATCAGCTCCTACTTCTTCATTAGTACATTCGCTTCTCTGGACTCAATTACATTTAAATAAACAGAAAAAAAAAACAAAATATTTTCTTCTTCCTTAAATAAACAAAAATATTATTATTATTTAGTAATTACAATACAATCAAAACTGCTGAAATTCAATTGCAATATAACAATTCTGAATGAATTAAACCTTCACAAAAAAGAAGTTAATTGACAAAATAAATATATATTTTTATACTTAACTTCCTATAAAACAAAGTGATAAAGAACAATCTAATATAATATATGTCAATTCTCTATGGCTTACCTAAGAAATATCATTCCCATTCTAGATATTGTGGCTGGTGAGGCACAGCTTAAATCATGAGTTTCAAATACAAAGTTAACATTTGGGCCAAACTGGATCCTTTCTCCACTAGGCATAGTGAGTAGTCGATTATCATCCAGAACAGAATTCAGAGATTCTATCCACTCAGGGTCAATATCACCATCACAAATTATCCATGAGCTGACATCTGTTTCCCAACCATAACAGAGGAGATCATTAACATGTATTGTGTATATGCAGTTATAATTAAAAATAAGGAATAATCTTTATTCAAAAATGATATGCATAGGCATTATTTGTATTATTAAACCTGAACATCAGAAACAAAAAGTTGATCAAGCTGAAATTTCTCATATCAATTTGTACTACACATCTGCTAAAAAAGAAAAAAAAGAACAAAAACACCACAGGTCACGCTGTCTCAGCAGGCCATGTTACCTACCATGTGAAAATGCTTTATTTATCTATAAATACACAGAATGGAAACACCTCCCCTCCCAAAAAAATAGCATAGAAGACAAATTTTTTTCCTCCCATCAGATACCTATAAAGTATTCTTCAAACAACTGTTTTCTTCCATGATATGAGAATATATGTAAATGCTTGCTAATTTGGTATCTTTTTCAGAAAATATAGAACACTCAATTTCCAGTATCCTAGATGAGAAATAATTGACTACTCACTATTTTTTTTATATATTGAAAGATAACTTCAAAGGGAAAAAGTAATGAAGGTTGTATGCACAGCCTTCAGGAACATTTTATAGCCTTCTAAAAGTGGAAGCAGTTCAAGATGTACTTAAAAATATGTAAAAATTGAAAGGAAAACATGATCAATAAAAACATGAGAAATGTGCAAGTAATGTAGTATCTGATCATTATTTAATGTGATACGTAGAAATGAAGAGACTACACTGAAAATCTCTTCCAAAATCTTAGAATTTCATTGTCTTTCAATTTCACTAAGTGCCTTAGGAAAATAACTATTAATTAAATAATGATCTAGCAAAATTGGAGTCTCCTCTGATTCTGATAAAAAAAATTCTCTTAAACAGTAAGTGGAAAAAATTTAGACCAAGAAATCTGCTTACTACTTAAAATTTCAAAATTATTCAAAAACAATCTACTCAAACTGACAATAAGTGTTCAAACACACACCGATTATATGACACTATGACATCAACTCAGCAATCAAAAATGTTAATTTCTTTACCAAATTAGTCTAGTTTACAATTTACACAAGTTACTCTGAGTCTTGACTATATAGTACTAAAGTTATAAGAGAGTATTATGTCAAAATTATAGCATGTCTTAATAAAATGTCAAAAACATATCATTGTAAGATATTTTACATTAATGTCTAAGTCTTGACAAGAACATTATAGGTCAGTTCTATCATTCTCTAAGAATTATTATGTATGCCAGGCATGGTGGCGATGCCTATAATCCCAGCACTTGGGAAGCTGAGGGAAAAGAATCATTGAGAGTTTGAGATCAGCCTGAGCTACAAAGTGAGTTCAAGGTCAGCCATAACTACATAGTAAGACCCTGTTTCAAAAAAGAATTATTACGTAAATCAACTACACATTACACATCAGAATTACACATTAGAAACTAACCTTGTGGTTCCCGAACTACTTGACGAGCACTATTTGTCAAAACACCATCAGACCATTCTCTTGTATCCATGTCAATATGGCCTAATAGCTGATGCCTAGGCATAGCTTTTGGGTTCATAGTATACTGCTTTACTACTCTGCCAATTTTACAGAGTGATGCCCTTAACATTCTCCAAAGAGTTGATTTGCCAGAGCCACTTGGACCAACGATAACGACTCCCATTCTCTGGCACAACTGTTCATACAATTCCAAAGCCTTCTTGATCTAGCAGAAATAGAAAAGACTTATGTTCATATATCATTTATAATATTAAATCATGCTTAGTTTTTATTTCATTCTACATAACTGGTCTATTTCAAACATGTAAATTGAGTCTTCAGTTTCTTCAGTGGAAGATAAAACCTTAGGCAGAACAATGGCTAAACAAATTTAAAAATAATTACAACAAAATCTTCAAATTCAGTATGTTTAAAATAAATATACTTCCCATATATTTAACAATGTAATATGCTATTATTTTTCTTTAATCATTCTTACATAAAAATACAACATACTCATTATTTTATTCACTTATTCAGTCATCCATTTTTTATATCTCTCAAATATTAAGGAAAAAAGTATTCACTTTAAATAATTATTTACGCTATATAAATAGACTCACTAAAAAGAGTGTCTTCAAGGAAATTATCAAAATGAAACTAAATCATGTAAAATCAATTATCAAAAAATATATGATGGATTTATTACATGCCAGATAATAGATAGAGATATTACCTTCCATAAAAACTATTATCTGGTGACACAGAATCAATATTAACCATATATGAAAATAACAAAGATGTACAAAGAGCATATTTTCTTTTTACACTAGAATGGAACTCAAGGTGCTCTACCTCTGAACTATATATATACCTATCCCTTTTTATTATTTTTTTATTTTGAGACAGTGTTTCCTTAAGTCACTCTGGTGAGACGTGAACTTGGAATCTTCCTATCACGGCCTCTAACGGGTAATGAACACACGTAGCAAAAGGCTATAGTCCAGACTTTAAGACTGAAGAAGGCTTGCTTCCCTGAGGAAGCAAGCTGAAAGCTGAGAGAGGAAAGATAACTTCCATAACGTATGATAAGGATAATTATTACCCAGGAAAATGTAATAAAATATTCTTGATAGTTTACCTGATTGGGTATGATTTCATAATTAGCCTCTTCAAAGACTTGCTTTAATGCAGTAGTTAGTTCATCATATTCTACTTCTTTAAAGTCAACTCCAGGAAAGACATCTTTAATCAGTGCGTCAAATCGGGTGCAATCAGCGAATGTAAACTTTGACATTGTATTAAGTCTCAATGCTTGTACCACAACACGACTTTCATTAGCTAGAGAAAAAGGTTCATCTTAAAATCTTGCTATCAACTTAATGACCTCAGAGTTTTTAAGGTTATTTTACTGGCTTCATAAGCATTATAATTGATTAAATGATGCACAAGAAACATTTAAAGACATTAAATCTTACAAACTGGCAAATACAGTATCTAGTAACTACTGAAAAAATGAGGATTACTAGGTGGTTAGGAACCCCTTTCCACAGGATTTGAATTCTAGTAAACCCAGACTTTAGTAATGAAAACCATTATCACTCATATTTGTATAACACTCATATATTGTATGACGTACTTTTGTAACAACTCTATAGACAAGAAAGAATTACTGTTATTATTCTAGTTTTACATATGAGAATATAAAGTCTCTAACAGTTTAAATATCTTGCCTGAGAAGGCACAGTACTAAGGCTGGTATTCAAATCTAAGTAAACCAATTCTAGGTTTGACTATCCTTTCAAATACGATAATATTACCTCCAAGAAAATTTCTGTCCTAAACCTGAAGATAACAAGCAGCAATCTTTGGTCAATCCCATCTCTTCTTAGACCAAATGTATATATTAACATCACTATCTAACTATTATTTTCAAAGATACTAGCTGGTGATTTATGACACACACTAAGGAAAATACATACATGTATATTTAGCTTGGAATTTTTCTCTATAATTACTTGATATTGGTAAAATATACCATATTTGGAGAAAGATTTGGCTACTCTGAAGTTCATTTCAAGCACTGAGTTCACAAGCCATCTTAGTTTATTACAGGTATTATTTCAGTATGTCTTTAAAAATCACGAAAGACAACAGGAAAATAGTTATTTAAGTACTTCACAAAACAGCTATTTCTACCTTTGCATATGTCTACCTAATTAAGAGCATTAATATAGCTTCTTTTTATAATATGTATATACACTTGATCTTTTAAAAATTCCAAACATGTAATTTCATGTAGTTCTTTTTGTTATGTTGTTCTTTCACAACATCTTAACCTCAGTTTTTCATAGAAACTTCAAGGGGCTGAACATTCAACCTTTCATTACACATACATCTGTTGACAAAGGGAAATCATTTATCCTGAGTGCCAAATCAATTATTTTACATGAGTGAAGTATAATAAGAATATGCATGAGTCTTTACTGATAAATAACACATATAAAAATGAAAACCATTATCACTTAAGACAACTCTTTACTGAACCATTCCAAATAATAATGCAGATATTACACTTCTAAGGGACACAGCTTAATACTTGCCTCCTTACTTTTAGAGCATACTAGTTTGGGGGAATTTTTTCTGGTTTTGCTTTTAGTTTTCGGATTTTTTTTTTTTTTTTTTTTTGTACCAGGAATCGAATTGTCAGGCAGGCACTTATGCTGCTGAGCCATATCCCCAACCCAAGTATGCCAGATTTTTTAACATGCTCCAAAACATCACATAGGGAACAGGGAAAATATGACTTTATAATGGAGAGACTGGCAAATACTAAGTCAGCCAAGTGATAAAAGAAAAAACAGTCAGTGATTATCATGTTGTTAATATATACTCATTAATACAGAGTGATAAATAGAGCTTTCCACATCATATTCTTTCAAAGGTTCATAATCCAAATTAATCATGGAATATTGTCTTTTGAAAGAGAAAATCTTTCATGTGTTTCTAAAGTTTCTGTTCTTATTAAGACTAGTCACGTGGGCTGTATTCCATACCTCCTTTATCAAGAACTTTGATAGTGAGGTTCAACAAACTCCAGTTTATCAAGCCACCAGGTGATTCTGATGGACACTAAAGTACAAGTAGATTAAAGTATTTCTTTAGAGATAACAACTATTTAATACTTGATATACATGTCAAAGTTCTTATAGAAGGGATTGAGGGTATAACTAGTCATAGACTGCACTGTCAGGTTTCAATCTCCAGTACCCTCACCCCAAACAAATTATAGGGCATCAGATTAAAAACCAAAGTAAAAAATATAGTTAATAAAAAAACATACAAAAATTAGCCAATTAGTTGTGACAAAGGTACTCTCATAAGGTTAAGATTTTAACATTAGGCAAAACTGGGGCAGAGTATACAGAAAATATCTGCACTGAACCTGTAACTTTTCTGTGAATATAAAGCTATTCCAAACTAAAGCTTGTTTTTAAAAATAAGCTACTATAATTGGAATAATCAATCATACCATTCTGTTCAGCACCGCTTTTCTTTAGCTGTCTAAGAAGATTTCCACTTCCTCTCAGAACTGTCTTCAAAGCTCTTAAACCCCAATCATAATGTTGCTGAGGTGTCAAAAGTTCCCTGAAAAATGTGAAAAGACTAAATCATCAAGCAGCTATAAGAAATCTTTCCATCACAGCCAAAGAATTATAAAACTGCCAACAGACAGAAATGAAGACTGTTTTCTTTTAATTTATATAAGAAGCCAATCACAAAAAAATGATCACTCAAGTAAGCTATTCAAAGCAGATCGTCCTCAAAGATTAGGATTAACCTTTTATAAACCCACTATCTTAATAAAAAAGCTAAATAACAACAACCTGTTACTTTTATTCTTAAAGAATTTAATCAACCCTTCTTGCTCTCCATCTCTGGCACTGTCTTATTCCCTACTATCTCTTTAAGTGATATAAAACAGAACTTTAGGTTGTGCCAAAGAAGCTAAGAGTCAACCTTTACTAGAAAACCTCAGTAAAAAATGTGAAAGATTCTCTGCAAAGATCAGATTTTGAGTTGTCAGGTGGTAAATTAGTTCATTAGCTAGTGTTCCAATATAAATATTTGAAGGAAAAATATTAACTAAGTTTTCAGAAAAAAATGAGTAGTTTGGAGCCTCATATTTTTACTCTTCAAACTACAATCTTCCAGGCCAGCCATGGTAGTGCACATTTAAAATCCCACTACTTGAAGGATGAGACAGGAAGATCACCAGGAGTTCAAGGCCAGCCTGAGCTACACAGTGAGTTCAAAGCCAGCCTCAACTATACAGTAAGAACTAGTCTGAAACAAACAACAAAAAAGTAAAATTTTTCCATCAGGTAAGGTGGTAAATACTTGTAATCCCAGTATTCTGGGAGGCTGAAGAATAAAGATCATAGGTTTCTGCCTAGCCTAGGCAATTGACAATGTCAGTAAGATCCTGTCTCAAACTGTTTGAAAAAGGGTAGGAATGTAGCTCACTGTGAGGTCCAAGATTCAACCCTTGGTACAAAAAAAAAAAAGCTAATAACCATAAATATTCATCAGTAATACAAGGTATAAAAATATTTAAAGAAGAAAACTCACCTAGATAGGTTGAAAATAGCTACCAGTTTTCTGCCCAGTACTTTAGCATCCTTAAATCCTTCTGAATAGAGAATAACTTCTGCAATAAGCTCATTGTCTGGATGAGACATAGCTACTGGCCTGAAAAGCTGTTTAAGATTATCAGGCAGTTTTTGTCTTCCTCCATAACCTTTTCCAGCAGGATTCATCGTGATAAAAATTCCAGAATTAGAATCCAAAGCTACCTGAAATATTAATTTAGAAATTTGAAATTATAAATATACATATTGCCAAATGAAATCTTATAACATTTCTCTATAGAAATCTTACATCTTAGCCAAAAGCAACCTCCAATAGGCTAGCCATCTCCTCACTAAACATAAAATAAACTCCTTAGAAATGTACTGCTATATACAGGCTTTTCCCTGAAGTGCCTAAAACTGAAAGTTTAAGAAAAGGTAACTAATTTGAATGCCACTCACTCATTCAACTTGTGTTTAATAAAAGCCTTCTTTGCACTAGTACACAGAGACAACTCTGCACTAAAGTTAATCATGGCCTATGCTTTTCTGAAACATACACACAGCCTATCTAGTATTGCACAGAAGCAATCATAGTAGGATAAATGTTAGGACATAAAGAGTAGAATGTTCTGGGAGCAGCTGTCAGTAGCATTTTCAATGCGACTAAGATTAAAAGTTAAATTACAACATGTAAATAACGTAGAAACAATTGCTAAGCAAAAACACCTAGAATAACAAAGAAAAAAATCTGTCTACAAAAGAAAAAAAAAAGGCAGATGTTATAAGAGAAGATAAATTCAGGAAAGATTTGTTTATGCTTTAAGTATCATTAAGATGAAAAAGACTGATTACACTTGAAGGCCAATAAGGCATCAGTAGAAGAGGGAAGACTGAAGCTCTAGCACAGGAGGAAACCAAAAGGTCTCTGAAAAATAGATTCCAAAATACAGATGGCGAGATTAGTACTGTTCAGGAAAAAGAACTATTCTTTCTTTTTTTTTTTTTTTTTTTTTGTCTTTTTCCTTTTTATCAGTACCAGGGATCAAACTCACGACTGCCTGCTTGCAAGGCAGGCGCTTATGCCGCTGAGCTAAACCCCCCAGCCCCAGGAACTACTCTTTCTAAGAGGAAGAAAAACCTAAATGTGGAAGAAGGTAATTTTTGACAGGAGAGAGGTAATTTTTTCTTCTCTTAAATTTGTGAAGAATTTAAGCACCATGTAAATAACACATTAACAAGGTAGGACTGATCTTACTTTCTTGGGATACCCAGACAAATCCATGTTGTGAAAAGGTTATTATGGATAACAGGGTAATTTCACAGTTCCTATGACTTCTGGTGAGCTCAGCATTATGCATGTATTGAAGATGTTTACATCTTCTATACAAGTAAGTTTACATTCTACTGACATGAATGAACATTTCCTACAGGGAAAGTGATGAAAAGCATAGCTGAGCGCTTACTGTTTTAACATTCACATACACAATGGTTAAAAACATGTGCTGTAGAAGTAGACAGATTCAAATCCCAGCTCTACTGCTAGCACCATCATGTTCTAATTTCATCTATAAAGTAGAAAAAAGTACCTCCATCAAAAGATTACAGTATTATAGACAGTACACTACCATGTTATGCACAGTGTCCACACACATATACAGTCCACACTGAAGGTTTAAAGATGAATGGTCAAAGTGGGACCAAAAAGGACAGGAGAACTCAAGAGATACTTGTAGATAAAAAGCTTAGCATACTGGTCACAGATCAGAAACAAGAATAGAAGAGAAACAGAGACAAAATAATTCCTAAGTATAACTAATGCCAAGTCTTACAAAATATTCCAGTTCTTTAAATTTCCAATGTATTCTTTACCTCCTTGCCAAGCAGTTCACACGCAGTTCTGTGATTCTTCAGAGCATCTTGAATTGTCTGGATCTGCATGGACACTGCTGACAGAACAGATTCTTCCAGTCTGTTGAATTCATCGAAACAACCCCAGGCCCCACATTTTACCAAACCAACAAATATTCGCCCCATTGACTTCACATCGATGCCCTTAAAAATGATAATGAAAATGTTTATTAAAAATAATTGAAAATCTAATAATATTTCATGTCATTCATTGATAATCATTTCACCTATCTATGTCTCCTTTGCTTCTTTTAAAACAGGGATTAGCCAGGCACAGCAGCACATGCCCATAATCCCAACAGTCAGGAAGCTGAGGCAAGAAGGTTGCCATGAGTTCTAGGCCAGCCTGGGAAACATAAGCAAATTCAAGGCCAGCCTGCACTACACAGTGAGACTGTGTCTCAAAAATAAATAAAATAATTAATAATAAAAATAAAAAATAAATTAGGGATTAAGTAGCCTCTCTTTCAAACTTCAGAGTAGTTTGAAGGAATAAAATAATGCATGGGGAAAATGTTCTGAAAATTATATAGAATTAAGTATGAGATTTTGTTTCAGATATTCTTTAAGTTGAAATACAAATCTTATATAAAATATTGTGAAAACAGTAATTTTAAATGAACTTAAGACTTTTCTTCTATAGGAGGAGGGGAGAGCTGGTGTGCTAGAGTTTTTTTCCCTACCATTCAATATTTTCCTTGCTAAAAAGTATTTTAAAAGTAGAAAATAAATTACTTCCTAAATAAGTAAATGAAAACTAAACATATTTAACACACTATCATGTATTTTAATAATTATTTATTGTACCTCATCACAATTAAAAACTAAAACTTGTCTTCCAAGAAGTCCACCTAATGCCTTCACTGATTCGGTTTTTCCAGTTCCAGCAGGCCCATAAGGGTTGCCTCCAAGTCCCATCTTCATGGCTTGAGTGAGCGTCAGGTAGCACTTATCCGTCAGTGGAGTATAGACCAGCTTAGGAGCATTACCCTACCCAAAGGAAGCATGTCAAGATATTCATATTCTGCTCGACATTTACAAATATTTATACAGGAGGAGATTTTACATAAAAAGCTAAAACATCACAAACAAGTTAAAGTTTTTTAAATTTTTCCTAGTGAAATAAATATTCTATAGGACAACAGAATGTTTATTTCACTAAGAAAAACACTTCATATTTTTAAATGTATGTAAATAATTTCTTAGACTTATGATCAACAAGAATCACAACATTGAGAGTCAAAGTACAATTAATTCAATTTTTTTCATAAAAGTAGTAACTTCTCAATCAAAAATTTTACTAAATTATAGAGAAAACAGATTGTACCCTCAGCTGTTATTTATAGGACTTTTCCTCAATTTAGGTACACAGATTTGGGTGTCAAAATAAAATTCCTTTTGGAAAGAGTCAAACTCTACATAAATATCAATGACAGACTTCAGTACAAGCCTAGCAATATTTCAAATTTTTGTAAGAATTATATTTTGTTATATAATACCTTTAAATTCTCATAAGAAAACAATAATACAAAAAATTATTCAAAACTACAATAGAAATAAACATATTACTTCCTATGTAAATTTTCTTTAAATAACTTCTATCTAGAAAAATAAACCATTTCTGCCAAAAGTCATACCTGATATTCATAGGTGTACTGAAGTTCAGAATCCACCATTTGAACATAACATGTGTGATCATTTTTCATATAAAATCTAACTTGCTTTTTCCAAGTCCAGTCGTCAGTTGTATGAACTTGAACGTGGTTTAACTGCTTCACCACATCAATATTATGAATAATGTCAAGAATTAGTGCTTTAAGTTTAAGTTCCAGAATGCCTACTTCTACACACAAATAAACATAACAGGAAAACACATTAGCCAGTGACTTAGTATGTACACAGTGATTTTTTAATCAATTTAAATGGTAATACCACAATACATTTGAATAGTACAGTAATATAAATTGTATAAGACAAAAAATGTCAGCAAGAAATAATAAAAAGTATCAAAAAATTAGGTCATCAAATTTCAATAAAAAAAGAGTTCTGGTTCCTTATTCAAAGGAGTAAGCATACTCTACTTTCTTTGTACATGTAAATGTAGGTTAAACAACTGGACATATATCGATCTGCTATTTTAAGTCTCTGAAAAGTAAAAAAAAAAAAAAAGGTAGGCATATTGGGAGATTAAAATTAGGAATACCACAAAACTAATTGGCAAATGTACCTCTTTATTTGCCCTCCTTTGACATTCCCATTTCTATACCCAATATGGTAAAAAAAAAAAAAAAAACTCAGATTGACATAAACAAAGAGTACCAGGAAAGAGTATGCCATCGTTCTTGACACTTTCCAAAGCAGTTCTGGAAATCCTCTTTTATATTTTTATGAGGTATAATAAAAAAATAGAGTGAATATTGCTGCTTAACTAACACTCAGCAGAAAAGTAAGCTCCTAAAAACACTGTGAAGGGTCCTTACTCATTCCATTCACCAGGTCTAGAACCATGCCACTTTTGGCTCTTTTCCAAACTGAAAACGATCATGAAAGGTTTATCCTGAATAGAGCAAGGATACCGAGGCACCCATGACAGCACAACTAAAGATAGTTCTCACTAAATTAATTGACAAAACAGCAAGGAGGATAGGATATGCATGCTCAATGTGAGGGGGAGTATTTTTGAAAGTGATTAATGGTAGTGTGTCTTTTATTGTGAAAACAGTTTTTCAAATATAAACATTTATCCATATTTTTTATCACAACATGTAAAAAAAATCAGTGAAGGACATTCTTTGGACAGAAGGAAAATAACAGAAATCAGAATATTCAGGAATGAAGAAGGGCAACAGAAATGGTAAACATATTAGCATATACAATAGATTATTTTTCTCTTGAATCTTTTAAAAATACTTGGGGTTAAAAGCAAAAAATAAAACAATTTCACAGACATGTCAATGTATGTAGATGTAATAGTTGAATACAACAAAAAAAGGCAAGGATAAAGACATCTATATTGGGTAGTTTCTACATTCTATTTAAAGAAGTACATTTGTTGGACTAAGTACAATATAAAAATTTTAAAAATATAGTAAATCACAGAGTAATTACCAAATGAATGGTTGTATAGAAGAATGGATACACAATCCAGGTTTAAAAATTTGAATAACCCAAAAGCAGGAGGGAAAAAAAAAGCAACACTTTTTTCCATACCAGTATTTCCAGGATCCTCAGAACTTGTATCAATGTTGGTGTAGTGTTCCAATTTATTCACCAACTGTGTTTCAATCTGATGAAGACTATGATCTCTAATGGCATTTTCTACATCTTCAGTGAACTTAATCTGCTCTGCCAAGCATAGTATCTATGGAATAAAGAACAAATTAGCTTAAAAGGTGAATTTTCTTAGAAATATTTTATAAATTTAAGGAAAAATACCATTTTCTGAATTGTCAACTGTGTATTAAATAGTTCACCTGAATGTCATACTGCCACCTCAACTACTGACTGTGCAATATTGTAATAGAAAAACCACTGCATGAACCCTACTTCTTAGAACTCCTCTCTTACTATACTCTGCTCCATGTCTATTTTTTGATCCTAAAATCCACCAAGTTATTATACCCTAAGGGCTTTGGACTTACAGACACTGATTCTCCTTTTACCCTTTTTCAACCACCAAGATGCAGAGATATCAGAATGCGATGTATGCTACTTAATAAAAAACAAAAACCTAACATTTCAAAATAATCTTTCAGTATACTGCTAAAAATATCCTAATTTTCTTAAAGATGTGTCAGCCTTTCAATCTAATATCCATAAACAAAAATCTTTATAGAAAACTGAAAATACTAACACTATTTAAGAAGATTTCTATAATAGTACAGTATGGCAAGGCTATTGATAAGGCACATCATATACTGAAAGACCAGCCTTTGCAACTTATATCAAGACACTTTGATAAACTTATTAGATGAACAAATAAAAACCAATATCCTTCTTTAAACTACAGATATTAACTATCATCTTATAAAAGCTCTACACTTCTTGACAGTTTTCTACTTAACGAAGTTTTTTGCCACATACCTTTCATTATCCAGATATCATCCAACCCCTATATTAATTGAGTTATCCATACATATATTTTATATTATAGTTAGCTAAGCTTCTGTCTTATTCTAATTTACTCTATAAATATCATATTAATATTACTTTATAGAAGATAAAGCCAATTAATAATTCGTTCCTGGGTAAAGTTATCTCACTATATCAGGTGGTACAAATTCACCTGCTACTTCAATCAGGTTGTAGAGTTAAGCATTTAATCAAATCCAAATGCAGGTTTGAAAAAGACTTGGCTCTTTAATTGAAACATGCTATTTCCAAGCCTAATACATAAACATTTAGATGCTTTCATCTAGTATTTCTTATTTCCAAAATGAACATCAATGATCTCAATTTTTAACAGTCTACTACACAATATCTGTGAGACATTAACAGAAGTGAAAGTCAAGACCAGTATTGTATTCTCAAGTCACATTATCAATAAGATATTTAGACAGGCAGTAATACTACTAACACATAAAATATAACAATCACTTTGGGTTCTGTAAATATTTTATAAACAACCTTCAAAATAATTTGGTAATACAAGTGCTATTATAGTATGTGTGACACATAACTATGTGTCAAAACGTATTATTCAGAGAATAACTGAAAAATAAGCCATCACCTATGGAATATTTTTCAACTTCACCAGGTTGCCTCCTTTCTAGATCAGACCTTCTCTACATCACTTCAGGCCCGTATAAAAAAGTAACTGAATCATCAGCACATAATTACCTATACCAAGCATTTATGTAACTAGTTACACTATTTCATCATTTCACACAAATACTCAAGATACATTGTTAAGGGAATTGAAATCTAATTAACTGAAATCCTCTGTTAAGATACACAAGACCTATTTACATTCTTAAGAATTTGTATCTTTTAAAATAAAAAAAAAAAACGAATTTGCATTATTACTTGACTGTTCAAGAACCTAGAGGTAACTTTCAGGCTGAAATCTGGAACTTCCTTCTGCCTAATTTTCTTAATATATCTTTAAATGCAACTGTCATTTTCCTAACTCAATTATTAGTCAATTCTTGCTTTTATGGATTTCTTACATTTTGTCTTTTATTGTAAGTCAATTTAAGCCCTATCTAAAAGCTACAGAAGGGGCAGGGGTTTAGCTCAGTGGCATAAGTGCCTACTTGGCAAACGCAAAGTTGTGAGTTCGATCCCTGGTACCAAAAAATGAAAAATAAAAGCTGACAGAATACAAGCAAGCATTTTCAGAGATAATAAAAGAGCTTAAATCTAAATCTGTAATGCTGCTGGTTAAATACTTTTAAAATACATTTTAGTTTGCTTCAAAATATAAAAAGATACTACTGACAAAAAGTTCAGAATCTAAAATGTTCCATACTTTCTATTAACTTCCCATACTTTAAGAGAATCAACATAAAAACCTGTTTCAATAGGTAATAATTTTCTTAATCAAAAAGTAAGTAACTTTGAAAGCTGTTTGGAAGATTTTAATGTGAAAATCCTCAATGCCTACCTCCAGCTCTAAGGACAAAGCTAATAATGCTCTATGCTGAGAGCATTAATGGGCCCACATCCTGAACAGGGCAAAACTGGTAGCACAAGTCTTATTAGTGCTATACTTTGATAAGACCTGGAACAAGTTGTGTAAGTTACATATCGAGTATCCAATGTCTCAGGAATGAGCTGCTGTTATTACTGAGCTATAGCATGTCTGTGTCCCACCATGTGACCAATTCCCTGCCAATACTCCAGTACAGTGTTGTGATTATATTTCAGATCTAAATTAACACCCGACCACATTCCTTCCAGCTCCCTACTCTTAGATGGTCCCATGCAAGGAGTGGTGGCATAGGGGCAACAATGTTATGAATCCTGTGTGTCTCCATCAATAATGGCCTAAATATCTGGAACTAGGAAGCTATTATGTGGCTGATTCCCTTCCCCATTCTATTCGTCACTGACTTGCGTTACTTAGATCACAAAATGCCCCCTGTTTGAAGTAGAGCAAAGTAATGGAGCCAGAAGATAATTTCATTACCACAAAGTTCATCCTTTACATTCTACAGCTGAAGGACCCAATGCAGAAGCTGAGTCATCTGTTCACATTAGCTCTAGATAAAAAGAACTTTCATCCTTGGGAACCGAAGGCAGACACTGAGATGTTGAGTTCTCATGGGAAAAAAATCTACAATAGTTATTTGCTTTTTAGATTAACAATTTAGCAGTGATTGAAACCAGTCATTTTGCTTCTCTTAAAATGTGAAAGGTTAAATATTAAGTATTCCACTTGTCTGAGCCTCCTAGAATCTATGTAAAGGATACTTCCACAATTCCATGCTTACGTACATTCCAGACATAAGCACTTTACCTGTGAAGGAAACAGAGATGGATCAACAGCACCTTGTGAACTCTGCCCAATAGTAACACATTCCTTCAACAATTGTTTCAAAGTTTGCTTCATTTCCAAGGCCAAATCATTCAACCAACCCTGAAAATACAATTAGAAAATAATATACACTAGTCATAACACAAACATATGATCTACTGATTGACATTATTTATATAATTGCATGTAACAGTGTAACACAGCATATAATTCTCCACTGTGTTATAAATGGCTCAAATAATTTGAAAAAAGTATTTTCACCTTTTGGTATAATAGTGAGTATTAAAGCTCACATTTGGGGATAGCTGTATCATAACTAGTATGTCTACAAAAACCAGTATAATATGAACATTTGAAAAGCTGCCCATCCTTTTTATCATTATGACAAACAAGCTAGATAGATAAGCCAGTTATTCAGCTGCAATGATTGTACAATCTCCTGGTCCATGCCATCACAGTTATCAGAGACTCAGAGAGGGGCACTCACAGGAAGAGATTGTGGCATTAGGCTTAACCTAATGTCACAGAGGCAGCACAGGGAAAGATGGGTGTTAGATTGCCTTGATAAACAAACAACATACTTCAAAATCAAAAAAATACATTTTTCTACTTAATGATAAATAAAATTTGACTGCAGTTAAGTGAATAATGATTGATAAAAAATAACAAAGACTATCTACCACTACTTTCAAAGTATCACTGGAAAAGAACTATAAAGGTAAAAACTATAATCTTAGTTTTTCATCATCTAATTAAGTTCTAGATTTATTTTTAATTTATACAGCACACTGCATGAACTTCTGCCTATGTTAAAAGCCACTGAAGCTAGAGTAAGAATCTGTTTTTCAGCCAACGGAGATAACTGTTCTGCTAATCACAAAAGCTTCCTATGCATCAGCTTCTCCTTTGCTGGCATAATAAATGCTGTTGCCCAGTTACTAAAACTTCAATTTTTCCTCTCTGTGTTGTGCCAGTAAATCAAGGAATGAAAGCAATAATAAAATTCTCAAACATGGGAACTACTTAAGAATACTATAACATTTTAATTACCTGATTTACATATTCAACATCCAATAAAATATTGAGACCTAGCCAAGAAAAGGTATTTTGCTGGCCTGTATATATACACACATCCTCAGGCATGGCCCCTGGCTTCCACTGAAAGATTACTTTGGAACCTGAAAATTTTAATGTGATGTAAATTACTGTTGACTGGTTTAAGCTGTATGTCTATAATAGACCTTTGATTAGGTTACGTCCAGTCCTGGAGCACTAATCAGTGACTGTTTTATTAATGCAATAGTTTCCAGTTTACTTGTTCACCTAAATAATCTCATACAATTCAGTATTTTAATGAATAAAGAGAAAACAGGAATTATTTAGCATTTATTTAAAGTACTTATGTTCCAAGGAATCAAAGTCTAACTGAAGGCAACGATCTCATTTAATTTTCAACTGAAAATTTTTGCAACAGATATGAAGATTTCCCTTTTACTGATAAGAGCACTGAGACATTAAGTCACAAAGCTAATAACTTGTGGAGCCCAGGTCACTATCCAGTACTTTTTTTTTACTCCAAAATCAAAATTATTTGCATAATTACATGCTACACTTCAGACCCTTTTTTTAATATTAAAATACTCTGAGCCTAACAAAATAAAGCATTCCTGAAGATATGAGTTTCTTAAAACACATAAATTAAGTAACTCTATCCTACAAATTGACTAAATTATTTTTGATACAGATTTCATAGGCTAATTTTTTTATTTTCATACTTGAAAAAGAATTACATACCTCTACATTATTTGATAGAAGGACTTTATTTTTTAAAGGTACAACTTCTCCCTCTAACGATTTCATTGCAGTTATATGTTTTAACTCCTCATCAAAGCACACACTGTTAATTCCTGTTATAGGGAAGCAATGATTTAATTACAAAAGGATATACAACTGGATGGTGAATCACCATGTTAAGCAAAGAAATGCGAAAACACAAATCAGAGCACAAAAATACATATTGGTGATTTATATGTTCTAGAAATAAGAAAAACTAATATAAAGTGGTAAAACCAGGTAAGCGATAAGAATAAAGGGTTAGGAGTAACAGTGACATAAGGGAACTGTTGGTGGATGGAAATGTTTTTTGCTAAGCTGAAGTAGTGGTTACACAGGTGTATATATTTGTAAAAACTCATCAAATTATGTATTTAAAGTATAAACAGTATAATGTATATAAATTACTATTGTAATCCAAATATTGTAAATTGTAGTCCAAATATTATAAATCCCTTTTCCAGTCCACCTCATAATCCAGAAAGCTATATTTGTAATACCATAGAAACGTTACTGGAATTCCAGAGAGTTAATTTTAATCTACCACCAATGCAACTCACGATAGAAGTAAGACACTAAGACATATTTAAAGTTATTGGCAGCCAAGAGGTCCTAAGTCTGATTCAAGTGAGGATATATGAACAAAGGCCCAATTACAAGGTCTCTCCCAGAATTTATTCTCATGAAAAAGGGAGTGGCTGAAGGATGAGTGACAGTGAGGATGGTGGGAATTATGTGAGTAAGGTGAGATGAGCCAGCCAAGTGGAGAGCACGCACCTCTGTAATAATATGTAAGGAAAAAGATATGCAGAAAGACCAACCTGCATAACTCAATTGAGAGAGCATATGAATGAATTTAGGAGACTGTTGCATCAGTTTCTGATATGTAAACTTTTGTGCCCTGGGATGTCATAGTCTCTTATTTTGAGGCTCATACCACTTGACATCACACTGTATTTCACTGTTTTACAGGGACCATGATACAAGGAAACAGAAAATTGTTGGCTGATCCTAAGGACTATATACCAGTATCTCAGCTGGCCTTATTTGCATTGCTTAAAGCCAACTGCAGATAGAAGAAAATAGCACAGCCAGTGTTAAAGCTGTTGATGCTGAATACACGAGCAAGGAGGTGGCATGGCTGGGTCATGGCTGAACTGAAAACAAAGCGACACCTCAAAGGGTGAGATAGGCCACAGCTGAGGACACCTGGCTCCAACACCAATTAAGATAGAGATTGTAGCTTCAGGCATTTCACTCCTGTAGTGAGTCAACCTGGAGACTTTCTTCTAGGATAGTTCTCCTCAATTAACATAGACTGTTATTTGGAGGGGTCTTTGAACCTTTCCCAAGGTCCTGCTCAGGTTTCTTGCATTTTCCACTCTAACTCCTTCCTTGTGTCAATACTAAATAAATACGGGCCACAAAGAGACATTCCTTGTCTTAGCTCAGAGTCTTGAACTCTGCAGAAGGTTTTGATCCTCCTGGAACCCTAAAAATTATACCACTTGTCTCATTTATTTAAGCCTTTGCCATACACTCATTTGGGACATTGGGGATCTTGACCAGGTCCCCATTAAGCCAGCTCTGTACATATCAGTACATGGAAATAAGACTCACTATAACTAACGCTGAAGCAATTGTTCTGCATTCAAGGAGAGATGCCCAGGTTGTTTTATACAAATTATGTATCAATAAAATGTATTTTAGGATACTAAAATCTAGGTGAGTTATAAAAGTAATGATTGTAAATAGTATTTAAAAATGAAACAAAAGAGAATTGAGATGGTAAATCTCAAATTAACACATTACCTATAAAGTAAGTGAACATGTGATCTCATTTTGATCTTCAAAAAGTTATTATTTGTAATATAAAGAAGAAAATTCAATTTCAGAGAAGTAAATAACTATTAGAGAAAGAGCTTAAATATGACCTCTGATGCCAATAGCTCTACTACCTTCTACAGCCCATATAACAGATTATATAAACAGCATAAAACTTCAGGAACACAGAGTTGGCAATATTTGTATAGGACCAAAAAGTAAATATTTTAAGTTGTATGGGTCACAGAATTTCTGTGTCCAATATTCAGCTCTAGAATTATAACACAAAAGCATCTGTGGATAATGCATAAAACAAAAGAGTATGACTATGATCCTATAAAACTTTATTTAAACTTCTTTTAAAAAGCAACAGAAGACTGATTTAGCCCATAGGATGTAACTGCTAATTGCTGCTTGTAAATGAAGACAAGAATTGTTTATTTTTTTATTTCTCCTGGTACTGAAGATTGAACCTAGGGTCTTAGCACTGAGCTACATCCCCAGCCTTCTTTCCTTTCTTCTCTTGTCTTCCTTTCTTTCTTTCAAGGCAAGGTTCCATTAAACCATGAAGTTGCCAAGGCTGGGTTTTAACTTACCAATCCCCTTGCCTCAGTCTAGAATTCTTTGTTCTTTAAAGTTATTCTGAAAACTACAGCTCTTTTCCAAAGAAATGAAATACTGTGAAAAAATAACCATCATTGTTGAATATTTCTACTTGGCTGTCTTTCACTGCTAAGACTTTAAACTCAACAATGAAAAGGCATATTCTCCTTCACTTTGAGGCCTTTACACAGCCTGTCCTCTCTTACTGACCACCCTGCTTTTAAGGCCTATATATTCATCAGACCTTACCTTACATGTTATATTCTCCATGATGTTGCACAACTGTACTAAATCCTCGCATATGTACAGCTATAGTACATACATAAACCATAAAAACTGTCACAATGTATTTATTTATAGTTGTCGATTTACTACCTTGGCTCCAGGATTAAACTCTGAGTATATTAATTATATTTTACTCAAGTGCCTAGCAGATAGTTAAAACAAAATAAGTATCTGCTGAATAAATAGTGAATCTTACCAGCAAACAGCTTCTTAAGATGAGACTGAATCACAGACGGGTTAGTAGACTGGCCCAGTATTTCTAACAAATCATCATCACCAATAAAATAAAATCTTGGGAATGCTGAGCGTTTTTCCTAATAAAAAAATTTTAAATAGTTTTCTTTTAAAATAATTAAGATACTAAATACTCTACAATTTATTACATTTAGATTGCTTTAAAAATAAACATGCCTCCAAAAATTCATTTAATGATTTCTGACATCTTTGAAGCTGATCAAGTATTGTTAGTAGAGAGTTTCTGATTCCTGCACGAGTAGTTAATGTTGTGACTCTATTGTCTTTCTTGATGTCAGTCATTATTGATCTACAAAAGAAAAATTATTTTCACATGTATTAACAGTTTTATAACTGAAAGAGATTAAGATATTTTTATCTGCTTCGAATACATTGAGAAACCATTAACACTTTTAATAGATTATGCTAAACATTAATGTCTCATTATGATCTTCTCTTTTCACATTACAATTTCTTTTATACCATTCATTCATGAAACACCATTAAGTCCTAGCTCAGAAAATGCTATGATGACAGAGAAAGACATTAAATAATTTTTTAAGTATTTAAATAAAGCTAGGCAGGGTGGAGCACCCATATAATCCCAGCTGCTGAGGAAATTGAGGCAGGAGGATTGCACATTCAATACCAGCCTGGAAGAGTTAGTGACCCACCATCTCAAAATAAAAATTTTAAAACAGTGGAGATACAGCTTGGTGACTGAACACTTCCCTAACACATGTAATGTTCTGGGTACAATCCCCAATACCCCACACACAGAAGAGAAAGAGGGACAGAGAGAATATGTATGTGTTACGAAGACAGAGTACAAAGTTTTGTTAGAGGATAATAAAACACAACTTATAACTTCTTTAAATGCCTGAATTAAAAACAGAGAGAGAGAGCTTCTCAGAAGGTCCAAAGAAAAGAGACTGAGTACAGAGATTAACAAACACTTCACAATATGACTAAAATGCTGGCACACATGTCAAGATTTTATGTACTTGTACCAACCTAAAATCTTCATCAACTCTGCTGAAGCGTGTCTGTTCTTTTGGCAAAGCTCCACGGCCAAAAATGGGCTCCAAATACACCCACTTTCTCTGAATATGATTTAAATTTTGCAAGTACTCATCTAACTCTGCAAGTTTTCTTTCCCAAATTGACACTTTATCTTCAAATCCTTTATAATATGGAGAGTCCTTTAACGATTGAAGAAGGCATCTGTTATCCCCAACCTGGTTTACTATATCTTTCCAGTCTTTAATCAGCTTGATACTTCGACTTTGGCTGTCTTCATAGTCAATCAATGTAAACACTGCTCCAACTCCCCAAAGATCAAGTTCACGCAAAGCTTCTCTGATTGTAACTTCACCTTGTGCTCGACAATTTAAATCCTATTTAACATAAAATTCCACATTTACTATTTCAAACTTATTGTCATATAAATTATAAAAATATACTATATAAGAATATACTTTTGTACAAATTTTTATCATAAGGCAAAAACAATAAAGTGAATATATTTTACATGTAATCCTCCCCCCCAATGATATGCTATCATATGAAGGCATATCAGGTATTAAGCATTCACATTCATGTGATTCACACAAATCTATGCTTTTTACATCTACAAAAGAAAAACAAAATTCAAGAGGAAACTAGTCTGGTTTATCAAAGTTTTAGAGACAAAAAAGCCAATATTTGAGAAAATACAACTACAGAAATGTCACTGTAATCTGTCAACCCTGATTTACCTAAAAGGTTTAACAGCTAACCCTTACAATTTCTCACGATTGTGAAACATGTTCCAGGATTACTGACAAACATACAGGTTTACCTTTTAGATAGAAAATAAAACAATATGATAGAATGAGTCATATTTTCATAATAAGTGGCCAGATACAACACTATCTGCCATTTAAGCAACTATTGTGACAAGTTTCACAATTACCTACAGCCTTTAGTAAATATGATTAATAAACAAGTTAATAACTTGGTGCTCTAGATTTTGTTCCCTGTACCTTCAACTTGTAACATATCATAAGATTTAAATGCATTAGGTAAAAATGTTTGTTAAGTTTTTTATTGTAGCTGACATCCTTCTGAAAAGAAAATTTTTATTGCATTATTTTGTCTCTCACAAAGAATGGTTTACAGTATATTATTGTTTCCATAAACCCATTAACAGTGCTAGATTGATTCAGATGCATTAGTAATGAAAGAATCAAATAATACATTATTACAATTTTAAGAGAAGAAAAAGTCTGACTTCACTTAACAAAATATCAACAAAAACTATATCAAAAAAGGTCAGCATTAAGGGATATTTATAAGAATATTCTTACTTTAAGGTCTGAAGCTTTGACTACAATGGTATCTGCTACTCTGAGCAAATCACCAAACAGTAATTTCTCTAGACTAGTCCCTCTAGGAAGTCCAAGCAGGCGAAAAAGGTCAAGCCAGTGATCTGGAGAAAGATGCTCCCCTCTCACGTATTTCAAGATGGGAATTACAATCTGTTTAAAGAAGAAGAAAAAGGTATTATGTTCACATATGCAAACTATAAATTATAATTTTATGATTATTAGCACTCAAAATTTTGCACTATTACCTTATTTAACAATCTTGAAATCACATTCTTAGAATTGTATGAAAGTTTATATACTTATTTCCTCTTGTACTTTAATATATTTTAAAACATAAAAAGAATATTTCTACTTTAGGATATAATGCATGTAGACCAGGATCTAAATACTCTATAATATTATCCATAAACTTCTTAGTTATAATTTCTTTCCAGTGAATCTATAATACTTTCATCTATAATTTCTATGACTTACTTTATATTTATGACTTTTTAAATGAAATAATTTTTTTGGTTGTTTGTTTTTGACACAAGGTCTTATTAGCCAGTTCAGCCTGGCCTTAAACTCACTATATAGCCCTGGCTGGCTTCAGACTCACAGTTTGCCCTCACTTCCCAAGTGCTGAGGTTACAGGCATGCACCATTATACCCGGCTTATAATGGAATAATTTAACTGGAAAATGTATAAATTAAAACTGTGGTTCAGGGCTGGGGATTTAGCTCAGCGGCATAAGCGCCTACCTTGCAAGCAGGCAGTCGTGAGTTCAATCCCTGGTACCGATAAAAACGAAAAAGACCATGGTTGAGTTACTAAGAAAAAGATCAGTGAAAGCTCCAAATAGCACTTTTTTCCAGGGCAGGGGGGCGGGGGGAGTTGGTACCAAGGATTTGAACTCACGACCTCACATTTGCCAAGCAGGTACTTATGCCGCTGAGCTAAATCCCCAGACCCTAAATAGGATTTTAATTAATAGAATAAATTAAAACAATCTTACTTTATATTTGTCAACTTCTGATTGCAATTTCACTGTCATAACTGAATGCTCTTCAATCTTCCTTAATTTTTCATGCCAATTCATCAAAAACTCCTCAAATAGATAAGTCTTAGTCCTATAAAATACAAAAACACAACTTAAAGTTCACATACAAATAAATATCAAATTATATGAATCTACATGTTAATATTGTTTTTGAATCAAACCGAAAAGTAATCCAATCTTCATTGGCCATTTCCTGAAATCCTTGTTGAAACTCTTCATAAAGCGCCCAAATTTGTGCACATTTCTCAATGTCTTTAGAGATGGTAGATGCTAGAGAGAAGTTAGGTTCCTCTAGTCCAAAATGATGACAATCATCACTACCAAAACAAATATTAAAATATTTATAATTGTGAAAAGAACTGATAAATATTAAGTTACTTAAATTTTGAGTATATATATTTGCATGAATATAAGCATTCACATGTGTATATAACTAGTAGAGATACAGCAGAAGAGAATTTTAGATGACTTAAAATAATAGACATTTTTTCAAAAGGAACCAACATGGAGTTGGTAAAGCATACATGGATATAATTGTATATGTAATATATATAAATGTTCATGATTCTAATAAATCTATGAATTAATCTGAAAAGAGAATAGCCTCAGTCAAATATAAGATATTCTTCACTTAATTATTATAATACCATTTAATAAGTATAGTATTAAAATCTCCACTCACCTACGAAAGCAATTATTTTACTGATATAGTCACCTGATTAGATCAAACCTAAAATACTTCTCAAATCTAGTATCTTATGTTATTATAAATCAACAACCCCTTTTTTCACTGGAGGTCTTATTACTTGTTTTCCCATATTCATTTTTCTCGAAGAGGCATTAAAAATATATTCCCTAAATGTTTTATATATTCCATTTTTAAACAGAAAGCGATCATGAAACATATCCCAACCTCTCAACACAACCTATGTATAAACTTAATTTTCAAATTTTAAAGCCTTCCTTGAAATTTGCTCTAATATCCCAAACACAACTCCTAAGAGAGTAGTAATGTGGACATATGCATGTATTATTTGTATTTTAAAACTACTAAAATTTGTGAAGGAAGGTATCAAGACAGCAGAGATAAGAAAATTACTGGCTTAATATAAACAAAATTTATTTCTCAAAATAAACTAACAATTTTAAAGAAAAAACATACACTAGCTTTTTTCTTAGGACTTCAAGATCATCAAATTCAATTTTTTTCTCTTTTATTAACTTTGCATTTTTTTCAAGAGAATTATGCTGGCTAGTTTCAATAATATCATCACCAGGTTTCAGTTGGTCCCAACGAGCTTTAAATTTTTCCAGTTCTTGATAATACATCTGAAGACGTGATTTCACATTTCCTTTCATTACTTCAATCTACAAGCCAATAAAGTTTAAATAATTTAACGCAGAGTAAAGTTGCATTTAATTTTCATTTCTAATGTTTTCTGTTTAAAAGTAAAAAAAAAAATGACATGAACTTTTCAAAGGTTTACATTTTTATTACTGATTTAATCATATTAAGTTAGATGATAAATTAACAATTATCACCATTAAACAAGCCATTTTTGTGATTAACAGCACCCATGACAACTGTGGACAAAAGTATATAGTTTAAAAATTAATAAAAGACTGCTGGTTGTTTTATGTCATAGACTAACTTCTGGTTATCCGAATATGAGCACAAATCTCCAGGCTGTATCTTAAAAGACAGACTGTTCCCCTTTCTCTTTCCTCTCTCCCTCCCCTCTAAGATAAGAAGTGAATGTGGTAATAAACCCATGTGGGGCAATACCCTAGAGACACTGCGAAGTTAAACTGAAGAAATTTGGGCCCCAGACAAAGTTATGGAATGAAGGTATTATTTCAGCTTGCAATCTAACTTGTTGATACTTTTTTTTTTTTTTGTCTTTTTCATTTTTATTGGTACCAGGGATCAAACTCACGACCGCCTGCTTGCAAGACAGGTGCTTATGCCGCTGAGCTAAATTCCCAGCCCCTGCAATATAACTTGAAAAAGAAACTTGAGCTTTAAATTTTGGAGTCTCCATTTGAATAGTCAAACAGATGGTTTAATAAATGCAATAATTAAAAAAAAAAAGAACATGAGTTTCAGATCACCTTAAGACATATAAATAAATTAATTCATAATACTGAAAATAAAATTATATGTTAAAGGGACTATTTTCTTCTTTGGATATGAAAATAAAGAGAAACCATATGAAGTTATTATTTATATTAAGTATTGACTATAAAAGTACAGAGAACAGACAAATTCAACAATGACATTAAATTCTTACATGCCTGGGACATAATGAAATAAATATAAGAAAAATTTTATGTGAGATTAAGTTAAATCCCATTTTAATAAAATAATTAAAAGTTTCATACCTGGTCTTTAATCATAAGCTGATGACTTTCCATCATTAATTCAAATTTATCCCACTTGGCTTTCAGATTACTAATTATTTCTAACCCTCCACCTGCCACAGTTCTTAAAAGTTTGTTTTTATCTTCAGCTTCTTGAAATAAAGGCAAAATCTAAAGGTTAAAAAAGTATGACCAATTATTTTCCCAAATCTCTTTATGATTTTAATTTTTGCTTCATAATTTGCTTTCCCAAAATCAGGGTTTTTGCTTTTAAGTAATCTGTTAAAATCCTAGATATAAAATTTCTAACACTTATTTATACCAAATCTAAACTAAGGCAATCTAACATCAGAAGTAACAAGTGTACTAATAATACTAATACGAGTTGAGTAAATCCAAGAATCCATAGAGAGAGTAACTAGTTTTTAAAGTAAAATTCTCATTATAAATGCTCAATTCATCAGAAAATGCTAAAGAATCTCCTAAAAGAGTAGGATTATTGTTTTTAAGAGCATAAATTAAGAAAAATATCCTATTTTATAGAGAAAAAAATCATGAAAAAAGTATTCAAGAAAGGGAGATGAATTGTTTGCTCATATTCTAATACATCAAAAAACCGACTTCTAAAAACAATATGAAACATTACCATTAGTGTTTTCATTAAACTATCACATAATCAAGAGCCCAATCATGATCACGATTAAAAAGACATTCTTGGCCGGGGATTTAGCTCAGCCAAACAAGTGCTTGCCTGGCAAGTGTGAGGTTGTGAGTTCAATCCCCAGTACAAAAAAATTAAAAAGACATTCTTTTGGGTTCAGATTATGTATTTCTACATAATCACATAAAATTATCTAATTTAAATATCTCCAGTTCAATAAAAATAATAACAACCTCACTTTATGATTCTCACCTCTGGCTTCCGTTCTTGCAGCTTACCATACTGTAAATTTGCATCACCTATTTCTTCCACAGACTGGGGTATAATTGTTAAGACTTCCATAGCCTCAGTAACAAATGTATCAATCTCATGTAAATGAGCTAAATAGTAACATTAAAATATAAGACATACCATTATTATTATTATTATTACCCAAATATATTTATTCACATAATTTCTAAGTGGAACAGTTTTAGAAATAATTCCTGCATAAACTCCTAGATTATAATTCACTCTCATATAACAAAATTTCAAAATATTAAATAGTAAAATGAAAACGTAATCATTTCCCATTATGCTTAAATTTTTTTAGAAAAAAAGTAAAATGTAACCATTGTTAGTATGCTTTACTAAAAATCAGAAGTCTTTTCAGTTTTCTTGTGTCATTTGAAGAGATAAGGAGAAATGGAATATGCCAGAATTACCTACATTTCTCAGTAACATACAACAAAATGAAACCAGCTCAAACTTCAAATAATACAGGTATCAACAGATTTTAGAACTCATGAGAATGAATGAGAACTTTCTTACTTTTATAAATTATCATTTTGAACAAATTTTATTTCATAATGTTGCCTAGTTCAGTTTCACTTTTTAAGCATCACTGAAATTCATATTTTATACCCAAATTACATCCCTCTATATAGAAAATAAAATTAAAGTGTCTTTACCTTGGATGGACTTCTTCAAAGAAAGAACAAGCACATCAAATAACTTCTGTATGAGATCATCAATCACAGTCTTCACAGGGTTGCAATTAATATTTAAGCAATCCACTTTGACAGCACTAAAAAATGTCAACAACATATTTAACATGAATATTGTAATGGCTTTGTACAAAATCAAAATTTAAGTTAAATGTATTACTGTGATTTTTCTCTCTTTTTGATTTTTTGTTTGTTTGTTTGTTTTTGAAACACAGTCTTATTATGTAGTGCAGGCTGGCCTTGAACTCACTTTCGTAGCCCAGAATGGAACTTACAGCAATCCTCCTACCCTAACCTCCCAAATGCTAGGATTACAGCATGTGCTGCAACACCCAGCTTACCATGATCTTTAAACACATCTAGATTTTAGGTTCAATTTATACCTACTATTTCAAAGTTATTTTTGCTGAACAATGTAAATATATCACTAATTTTTGATCATCCCCCTATGTATTAGTTTTTTACAAAAGCATTATAAATTATTAAAGAATCAACAGAATACATTTAAATATTCATACATTTTGTCATAGCAGAGAATATACTTATTTAAATATCTGTAAAATAAATTCAGTATCCTGCAGACAAAATATAAACATTTGAGTAAGCAAATGAATTAAGGCAACATTGCCTTTTATAGATAATATACACACTGTTACACACAGCCTTTCATGGAAAGTTTTGCTAAGAGTGGCTCCAGAGGTAAGAATATCAAATAACAAGGAAGATAAATTCTCAAGTAGCTAGATTATGCAACACTCTTCAGAGGCCTTGGTCCACATGTAGAACAATACATAAATGCAACACTTCATTGTATGCCTCCCAGGGCATTCAGAAAGAAAGCAGTTGAATGTCATTAGCACTATATTCTCTGGTATGCTCTCACCAGTAATTTTAGACCATAATTAGACTGTGCTAATGCACAACGAATATTAGCTTCTCATACCAGTGGTGAAGAGAAGCCTCATCCTCCAATCTATTCTACCCAAATACATATCAGCCAGCACCTCTGTAAAGGAAATGTCTTTCATCCCTACCCAGATGATGCTCAGATGTCACAGCTGAGATCTATAGAAGTGAAGAATTTTATTTCAACACAATTAAGTGGAGAATACCCTCACTATCCATGTCAAAAACTGTGGTATTCTGGTATAGCAACGCTACATTAACTTTGAATACCTCGGAAGTCGCTCTACTTCTTTCCCTTTTACTTTCAATGCTTTAAAATTCTTCTCCCAATCATGTACAGTAAAAAGATGCTTTTCCGCCAGAGCTTCCATATCAACTTGTCCAATCATAATCCATTCCTATTTAAAGAATGAAAAGCATATTATTAGATAAATAGAATAAGTTGCTATTGAAAATATTAGGGTACAACTATTAAGACCGAAAAAAGAAAAAATGTACAGTATTCAAGTACATATTGATTTAAATAAGTAAAGGTACTTGTTAATGCATAGTCTAAGAATAGACCGGAAAAAAAAAAGCTTTAGTACGTAAATATAGTAATCACACTTTAAGAGAATAAAACTTTCTTTAGATTATCTTTTTGAAGCAGATGTTCATAAAATACAAAGACAGAATCACCTCTCCAAAGCCAAAACTCACTGTGATAAACTACAGATCTGGAAATATCCACATTTACCCAGTAGAGTCTAGAAATCTAAAATGTACAAGCACCGCAGTAAGGAAATGAACAAGTTTTCAGTCATACATCTCAGAACCAGTACAAATAAGCAATGAAACTGGGCTTTATACAGTATTTGGAACTACTTGCTATGATGCACTTAAAGCAGTAAGAAATGGTCTGCTCCACATAATGCCATATAAATGACACCACATACATACCACATAGCCCAAATGCATAGTAAGCTTACTATATGGGTTTGCATAAGGTCACTCTATGACAGTGGTGGCGAACCTATGGCACGTGCGCCACAGTGGTTTTTTTTGTTGTCACTGAAAGCTCTAAAAGGTTTACCCTCACACTCTATCATATTCACACAAAACAAAACATTTTTCAGGTTATAACTAACTCATTAAGCAACATGAGAATGTCTATATACTGTCCTGAATTGACTAAAATTTGAGCACTTCCCCTCAAAATACATTTTCTTTAGGAGAATTAAAACTGGTAACAATGGTCAGGCATGGTGGTGCACGCCTATAGTACAGCATTTGGGAGGCTGAGGCAAAAGGATCACCATAAATTTGAGGCCAGAATGGGCTATATCGTGAGTTCAAGACCATCTTGAACTTCATAGTGAGACTTTGTCTCAAAAACAAATGGCAAGTCATGTCACAATTTAACACAATAATAAAACAACTTTTATTCTTAATCTTCACAAAATAATCAAAGACAAAAAACATAATAATGTTTTTTTCATCTGCAGCATAAATTTAATTGTATGAGAATCCACAAATTGGGCTTTCTGGTTTATCAAGTTTTAATTGCATGCCACATAAGATAAACTATTAATGTGACATTTGGCATTGATTTAATCAGTTGAAATTTTATGAAAGAAAGGAAACTTATGTGTTCTGTACCTTATGCTGATGTAAAATAGCTGACAGTCTTCTAAACAAATCTTCTGCTTTGCTGTAAATAGTCAGAAATCCACTTGCATTTCTATCAATCATAATAGAAAAAATAGATTCATCTCCTGCCTCACCCACTCCCCTAAACTGATTTGGAATGCTGATGAATCTCTTCATTTCTCTGTAATATTTAGCCCGAATTTCTTCAAAAGGGGGTCTGAATTGTAACCGTCCCTGTCTGAAAATAAAATATAAATTTAATTACACATATTAATTTATAATTTAATTACCTATTTAATTTAAAATATACATTATTAGAAAATTGTGAATTGAAAATTAGATTGGTATATTAAAACACCTTACTTGTAAGTTAAGTCAATATTTATTTCTGGCAGATTCTCGTTAAGTGCCTCTAAACCCATCTGGTACTGATGCTCCAGAGCTTTGTACAGCTGATGATTCCAATGCTGTTTCCATGCACGCATATCACTTGCTTGGAACCCCTAACATGGTAGTCATATTTTTATTTAAAAATTAGATGGAGAATAGATTTTTCATTTAATAATTTCATGTCACATAAAGTATGCTTATAAGTAAAAGAGCTCATTTTAAATATCCTAAAACATGAAATTATCATTCTCAGTAAGTTCATATGTCAAACAGGAAAATAACAAATCATCTTGCTATGAATGGTACATAAAGCAATCAATAACATTAGAAAAGTAAACTACTATTAAATGGATTTTTATATTTGGACTTTAGAATGCAGTAACACAAAGAATGGTTTATTTTATAAATTTTTTAGTCATTTTTCAAAAATTCCCATGAGGCAGAGGACTCATATTCAACTAAGGTCCCATTATCACCCATCACATAGTAGGCTTTGTATTACTACCTCTATGTGTATCATGTTCTGTCAAAATATGAATAAAACTGAAATTTTACTGCCCTTCCAAAAAAAGGAAACAATTCTGACAGTTATTTTTATCATTAGTCTTCCTTTCCACTTCCTAAATGATTCACTAGGTATTTTAAAATGTAAGGACTTTAAAATATTAGAATGCTGTTATGACTTAAGATCTAAAATGTGCCCCAAAGCCTCATGCACTCATAAGTGAGGATTCCGAGAGGAGACAGGATCACGGGTGTGTGGTACTCACTGCTGGATTAGTCCACTGATGGATTTACAGTGGAGGAGACCTGGTAGGAAGAGGCAGGCCAATGAGGACATGGCCTAGAAAGGTGTGCACATGTACAAGACATCCTTCTTCCTCCCTTGTCTCTGCTTCCTGCCAGCCATGACATGAGCAGTTTCTTCTCTGCCATGCCCTGCTGCCATGTCACCCTGTCTTGGAGCCAACAGACTATAGAATGAAACCTTCACAAACTGTGAGCCAAAATAAACCTTTCCTCCTAAGAACTGTGGATTTTGGGCATTGTATCCTAGTGACAAGAAAGTATCTAAGACAAATGCTCAAGATAAGTTTACACACTTTTTTGGTTCTATATATTTTTGTTTTTGTCTTGAAGTTCCAAACTACATATTTAACTATGATTCCACAGCTAATACATATTCAACTATAATTCTATCACCACCTAATACATAGCAGACCATGTATTACCCCCTCAATGTAAATCATATCTTATGTCAAAATGTGAGTAAAAACTGAAATTTTAATGCCTTCTCTGAAAAAGGAAACAATTCTCACATAGTTATTTCTGTTACTAGTCATCTTCCTAAACTTTACTTTGTGTTCTATAGATGTCACAATTAAAGAGAATTAACAAACAACAGATATTTAAATACCAAAACAGAAACACCACAAACTCTAAATTGGGAAATTTAGCATTCTGTAAAACAAACAAAATTGTTTTAAATTTAAATTTAAATTTACTGCTAAGTTTTGGTCTTAATACATATAATTTTCTCAAAGAATTCTAAAGTCACTAAGAATTTATTGGCAAAGATTTAAAGATAGATATATTTCTTATCAACTCATATATTCATATCTGAAAAGATTATATTTCAAAATACAGACACAAAGTAAAATATACTCTACCTGTGCTTCTACACTTGCTAAACCAGTTCTCAATTCTTGTAACCCATCTTTCCAACGTTGCTGCTGCCGAAGCAGGTCAATATTCATAAGAATGACCACCTATTAAAAATTAGAACATAACAGTCTTAATGTATTGCTATTAATACAGTAATTTTCATTAGAGAAAACTGATAAATATCATTTTAACTAAGTGAACAAGTTCTATTCAACCTGTAAGAAATATCAAAACCTGCCTAATGTACTAAGGTCAAAACATCACCTCCTATGGTATTTCTGTCAAAGTTCCATAAGAAAATATCACATAAGGTCAAAATGAAAGACACTCCACAAAATAAGTGAGCACCACATTTTAAAGGTATCATAGTCATGAAAAACAAGAAAACACTGAAGAGTGAAAGACTATAGAGACTCAACAACTAAATGGGAAACAAAAAAATGAATTATATCCCAAAAAAGAAAAAGGATTTTAATAGAAACAATGATAATATTAAAAAAGATCTATCTCCCGATTTTGATGCCTATGTTACACTATCATAAATTGTTGACCTCAAAGGAAGCTGAGTGAAGGGTAAATATGATATTACTTTTGCACTTTAAGTTCCAAATTATTTTCAGATTAAGTTTTCTTTTAAATTATATCCTAATTACTTTTTAATAATTATATTAATCCTATTCAATTTTATAAACAGAGCATACCTTTTCACAAAATGTAGTGTGCCATTTCCGCAGTTTTCTATTTTCAGTGGCAAGTCGTTCAGCAGCATTTTGGAGTTTCTGGATATAACCTTCCAGTTCTTTTGGATTATCCCAAGTAATTTGTGTCTTTCCTCCACTTCCTGCTTTTGAATTCTATGACACAGCAAAACATACGTAGTATTTCCATTACTTGAAAAGATACACAAATTCAAATGACTTCTCAACTGAGGAAATAGAGACCAGCAGAAGTGAAAAGACACTTTTAAAGTGCTAACCAAAAAGAACTGTCAAATACGAATTGTGTATCTCGTAAAAACATCCTTCAGGGGAAATGAAATTATTTTCAAATAAAGGAAAACTAAGAGAATTTGTTACTACCCTACCCACTCTTAAACCATGGCTAGAGGAAACTCTCCGCATTACAAGGAAATAATAACAAAAGAAGCTTGGAACTTCAGAAAGGCAAGAGAACATTGGGATGAAGTTGCGTGTGTGTGTGTGTGTGTGTGTGTGTGTAAGAGACAGAGACAGACCTTAACATATACCTATAATAAACTTGCTAGGGTTTAGACCGCAAATGCTCATGTGTGTGGGAAGTGATCTGGACCCGGGTGTGCTATCCTCACCAGAGCATCACTATATGGATGAGCTGAATGTGCTATTAGGCAGTGGGGCCTGCTGGAGGCAGGTAACCAGGAGTGCGACCAGAAAGGGTGAGCCCAACTCCTCTCTTTTTTTCTGTTTCCTGGTTACCATCTTCCTGGTTACCACCCGGTTGAGCACCTTTCTTCCTCTGTGCCCCGTCATCCTGTTTCTGTCTCGGAGCAGCCTTTAAATTGCAAGTGTCAAGTATTATGTCTTGGAGGATGGGACAGTCACTAAGTCAAAGCTTTTCTCCTGCTCATGAGTTTCTTAAATCTCTTACTATTTCTGAAGAGACACAAATCTTATTTTGTAAAACTGTCTTAGGAGAAGAAATTACATTTAGTATATATTACATGAGATGTAACAGTAGATAAAAAATTAGGGTGAAACTTAACAATACCAAGGATCTTTGTAACTCTTCAGCCACTCACTGTATTACAGAACTTTTGGAGGGCAGGGACTCATTTATACATGATTCTGTCTTCAAAACTATACACAGAAAAAGTTTTAAAAGATATATATCTAACTGCAGTATCTTGGCAGCATTATAGGACTTTTTAAATTTTTTCATTATAAACCAGGCTATTCCAGTATAAATTAAATAACTTCTCATAAATTTTAAGCTCAATTACTAATGTGCAAAAAAGAATTAAGATAGTATGTCTATCAGTTGAAAAGGCTTCTTAAAGATTAACCCTGTGCTAGCGTCTAAAAACCTCAGTTTCTAAAAACCTGGTGAGAATGGCTCACTGTTTGTAAATGTACGGTTTGTGTTTAAACACTTGTTTTCTGTCTAAAACCGCAGAATTTGGGTACACACTAAACCAAAAATGCCTATGTGCCATCCCCTAATATAAAATTGAGTGTTGAGTCTCTAATCATTTTCCCTATAAGACAGCATTTCATGTACTACAGGGTATTGCTGAGAGAATTAAACAGGCCTCTGTGAACCTGCGTGAAGCTTACAACCTGGTTCCTTAGACTTAAGTCCATGCATCTTTCTCTTTCCTAATTTTGTTTTGTATCTGTTTACTGAAGCAAGTTATTGCTGTAAGTATGACTGAATTTCAAATCTTAGAAGTACAACTATACACTAAATTCTGTGACTTTTCCTAGTGAATAATAGAACAGGGGAGAGGTCTTGAGGTGCTTGAAACAACTAGCTACCCACTTTCAAACAAATAATTAAAGGGTATATTCCTCTTTTTATTTTTTTATGTCTATGAAGACTAAAAAATAGAAATTTCAAAAAGCTAGCAGTCAGATACTAAAATGTAGTTTAAACATTACTATGGGTTTTGCTAATTCCAGATATGTGAAAATTTAAATAAGCACAAATAAACATCAAACATGTTTTAGATAACAAAACTGAAAGTTGGCAGTAAACCACTAATGAACTTTGTATATATGAAGACCTCAAACATCAAGGAAAAATAAATATAATAGCATGTAAATTATACACAATCCACATTAATGCAATTACTCAAAACAAATTCCAAAATACGTAAAATACTAAAATTATTTAAATCTTCAGCTGGAAAAAATTTACTTGTCAACTGGAGGACAAAAGAAAGTCTTGCTCAATGGTTATACTAAGGTGAAGGGTTGCAGAAAAGCCAAATAATAAGAATCACTTCGTAAGAGACTATTTTTAGACAAGAGGTAGAGAATACAGATTCAAAGAAAGCATGTAAGGTAGAGTTGGGGGGCAATGAGTACAATACATACATATACACACATACATATATATACACACACACAGCATTTCTACAGAAGTTATTTTACATGTAAAACCTAATTATAAAAAATCCATTTACCTTAATTATCTGTTCAAATGCTAAGGCAGATTGTAACATCATTGGCCTCTGACTTTGAATCATTTGTTGATCAATAGAATTGTAAAAATGTGCCACCTACAAAGTAAAAGACAAGTTAGCAATAACTGATAACACATTTTTTTTTGTACTGGGAATCAAAATCAAGACCTCGCACAGGCAAATATAACACTGAGCTACATCCCTGACCCACATTCCATTTTTAAATTTTCATTTTTCCTCATTTTTAATTGTTTGAATGGCAGTTAACATTTCTCAATTCTAAGATTAAAAAAATAGTTTTCTATCTCAAATATAAGATGTCTTCATGAATTACTAAATACAATGAATACATACTAAATTCCTATATTTTGCCAAGTCACATCTGGAGGCTTATTAGACAAGAATAATAAAACTTAGTCCCTGGATCAAATTTACAGCCTCACAGGGGAAAAAAAAAAACAAAAACAAAGAAGCATGATAACTTCTATGAACCAGAATTCTTAGCTCTTGCATCTTTCGAAATCTGCTCCTTCATTCCTCTAGATATACCACAAGATTTATCCATTTCCTGAGCCAAAATTATTTGTCTTCAACTCTTCTCTAACATTTCACATCAGCAAAAACCTACTACCTATACTTTAAAAAGTATATATACATATAAAAAAATATATATTTTGAATTCAACCAGTTCACACCTTCTATAAATTTCACTGCAATTTATACATCCTCATCTCGTGGCAAGAAGAATAACACACACTGCTAATTAGTATCCCTGCTTCCAACCATGACACATATAATTTAAGAAACCAGAGTGGTATTTTTTATACATATATTACATCTCTTGCCTATTCAAAATATATGACCTCCCAATATACTTGAGAATAAAAACTAAATCCCAAAACTCTCAATATAATAAAGACTGAAATCCAAATATAAAACCCATGACCTTATCTCAGCACATACAATTCTACTTAAACTATACCTCAATCCCACCCACCACAAGCCTCTCCCTTATTGCACAGCAACCCAAATGACCTCCGTCTAGCCTATGACTGAGTGAGGCTTTCCTCAGGAAATTTGCATCTTATTATTCCCTCTGCAATGCAAATATCTAGATGGCTTTTTGCTCATCTCACATCATTTCTGTTCTCAAATAGTACCTTCTCCTCAAGGCCTGCTGAAATCACTCTTTGAAGTTTTTGTTACCATCTGTTTACTATGCTTTTTATTCAAAGTACTTTTCACTATCTAATGTATCCTAGGTCTATTTGTCTTTATTACTGGAAGGAGAGATCTGAAACAGTGCCAAGCAGATAGGATACACTCAGTGAATATTTATTAGTCTAAGAATCAATATGTAGAAATACTTCATAGGGTGGAGGGGTGGACAAAGGATATTGTCAACACAATGTCATTTGACATTGAGAATAAAAAAAAAAAAAGAAAGGTTCACATAAAAATATAAAGTAGATACTCTAGGATGACTCTGAGGACAAAAGAAATGAAGTTTGTATCCCCAGCACCTCAAACAATTCTTGGCACATAGTAATGTTTATAAAGTAAACAACTATACTGACTCTTCTTATTCCTAATATGTATGAAAATATAACTTATTCGGTGGAGAATAGCTACTCTTGTTCAGTATCACAAAAGTAGGCCCAGCCAGGAGAAACAGCTCAGTTGTAGAGCATGCGTAGGACCCTGGGTATGGTACTCAGGACCAAAAATAAAACAAAACAAATACAATAGGCAGAGAAAGCATAATCAGGAAAACTAGAAGCATCAGAAAATATACTATCACCCCAAGCTGGTCATGCTGCTCTCTCTCCAACGTTCTACTTCACACTCTCTACTCCAGCTATATGTGTTCATAAATAAAGCTGTCTATGTAAACTGATTTTCCCAGTTGCTCTTTCAGAGGTAAGTAAAAAGTATATGATCACTTCTTTACTTGTTGCATCCCTATTGTGATAAACTAAATACACGGGTTACAAAAGTGAGCAAATCTCTCTGCTTGAAATGATCACTCACCCCTCCTGGGCACCAGAGAGAATACACCCATACTCTTCCAGAGGTACATCAAACATCAATCCTCTGAAATGAATTATGTGATGCTACTTCTATGCTTGCCCTGGAAAACAAGTAAAAATCCCCATCCTCTATGCTTTCACAGGACTTTGGATATAACATAGTCCTTATAGTACATGAAACATTGTATCTGCTTGTTCACAACCTGTCAACCTATATAGACAATAATTAAATAAATATGGAGTCCAAGAGATTTGTATCAAATAATAGCTGCATAAATTACTAGCTATGTGACATTGGAAAAATGTAATGCACATGCTTTGCAATTAGATCAGTGCTAAGACACAAAGGATATATTTCAAGACCTACAGTGGATGCCTGAAACTGCAGATAGGGCTGAACCTCAAATTTAATGCCTTTTCTATCCTAAGCACCTATTGCATACTGTGGCTGTTACTTTTGTAGTTTGACATGTGATTGTGAAATTAGCATAAATTTATTTTTTGTCTTTTTCGAACTTTGCAGGTAGGAGATTCACTCTTAACACACATTAATAACATTCTTAGCACAGAATTGCTTTCTTTCCTTATTAAGTTGGGAATTTTTCCTCTTAATTAACTTAAAGGAACCACTTTACAACTACTTTTTGGCATAAATGAATTAATAACATCACTACTTTTGTGCTTTGGAACCACTATTAAATAAAATAAAAGTACTTAAACACATGGAATACTATGACAGTGATCAGATCTGTTAACCAAAATGGTTACTATCAAGGGTAGCATTCATAGCATATTGGACAAAAGTATGAAACACACACCAAAGGGGTGGCACAGTCTGAGCTTTTACCATACTATTCAGAATGTGTGCAATTTTAAAATTATAAATTGCTCATTTCTGGAATTTCCCATTTAAAATATTTAAACTCCAGTTGACCACAGGTATTAAAAAAAAAACTATAGGAAAGCAAAATAGTAGAAAAGGGAATATACTACCATAACTATCTACCACAAAGCCTGGTATTTAATAAATGTTCATAAGTTTATTCTCTCCCACTAGATCAGTGATTCTCACCCTAGGAACATCTAGAAATATCTTTTCTACAGGTATTTTTTATGATCAGTACCAGGTAGGTACTATTGGAATATACTAAGTATAGGCCAGGCATACTATAAAACATTGTGTATTACAGAAGTTCTCCCAATGGGGAAAAAATTGATACAAACTATCAAAACTGTAAGGGTAAGAATACCTGTACCAAATTACGAGAGTAATATTTTCATATCATTATATAATATCTAGCAAAACAGGTGCTCAATGAATTTTTGTTGAATGAAAGAATTAAAAGCCAAATACTATTCCTGCCTTCCAAACATGTAAATGAGAGAAAAGTTGAAAAAAAAAAATCCAGGGCTGGAGATTTAACTCAATGAGCCCTTGTCTAGCACATATGAGGTCCTGGATTTAGTTCCCAGTACTGAAAATAAAAAGAATACAATATGATAAGCTTTACAATGATTTTTGCACTGCACACAATATATGGACGAATCAACTAAAGAAACACACAATTGAAAAAATCACTTTGAGTTGGTAATTAAACAATAGCACTGAGTTTTCCAATGAAAGAGAAAAAATAGTACTGAATGGAGACATACTCAGAGAAAAGCCAACTTTCATACTACCAAAGTATAATGTTATAGTTTAGATCTTAAATGTCCCCCAACAACACATGTAGTAAAAGCTTGATCTCTAAAAAAGAACTACTTGAGCAGTAGGAACTCTAAGAGGTAGCGCCTAGTGGGAGGGCTTTAGATTATTACAGGCCTGCCCTTGAAGGGAATTCTAGGACCTCTCAACCCTTCTTCATTCTATTTTTCTTTTCTTCCCACTCATGAAGTGAGTAGTCATATACCACCACATGCTACCATGATATGCTGCCTTGACACAGTGCCAAATGCAAGGGAGAAAAATCAATCATGGGTTGGAACATTCAAAACTGTAAGGCAAAATAAATCTTTTCTCCACATCAATTGATTATCTCAGTTATTTTTTACACTGACACAATGCTAATACAACATAGGCACAGTATAAGGGCAAAGTATAGGCAGTGAAGGCCCAACAAGTAAGGTTAACAAGAAAATGATTTGAGGAGGATTCTATATGCCATGCTATGGAGATAGTGAGACGTAAGAACTGGTTTCAAGGGGCTGGGGATTTAGCTCAGCAGCATAAGCACCTGCCTTGCAAGTGTGTGGTCGTGAGTTCAATCCCTGGTACCGAAAAAGACAAAAAAAAAAAAAAAAAGAACTGGTTTCAAGCAGAGATTAGACGATGGCACTGTGCAAATACACAGATTGAAGAAAGGATCAAAAACAAAGGCCAACCAACTAGCTCAGCCATTCTCTATGGATCTGCCTAAATAGGTAGACGGATGACTTCAATTACAAAGTCTTTTAAAACTTTAGTAAGCAACATGAAAAAAAAAGTTCTCCTTTTCCAAATGTTAAAATGAAAACCAAGAATACTTCAAATTAATAAACTCCAGATAGTTTACAAAGTAAATTTTGTAATGTAGTCACTTAACAAACCATAATTTCACAAGTTAAAAACTCTATTCTATTTGCTTTAAAAAAAAAAAAGTAGCAAACAGACTCCTTAACACACTCTAGTTTAATGTAATGAATTCAGAATACATATTTTGAAAAATATAATTTCATACTTGTTTAAGAATAATTGCTTGCTTGCAGAATTTCTGTGCAATGTTTGCAACTTGCTGTATTTTGGCAGGAATAACAAAGCCCAGGGCCGAAAGCTGACGAACTTCTCTTAGAAGAACCACCAAGCGATCTGAATAATGCACTTTTAATGATCCATCATTAGGATCCAATTCCATAATTCGACTATTAGCCTCAATACTATTAAAAAAAAAAAAAGCTTTTTATTTCATGGTCTCACTCTTTTGAAGGATAAAAAACACAACAGCTTTTGTTTAAACTTTTCTATAAATCTAATATTAAAATATTTTTTATTTTCAGCTTTTAAATTGTATTTTTTCACACATTACCTCACAATGAAGAATTTGGAAACAAATGACAATATCCAAAAGATATCATCAACTTAATATTGCAACCAATTTTTGTGTTTCAATACAAGTCAGAAAAGTCAACTTAGATTCAAAACTAAGTCATAAAAAGAAAAGATCTGGATTCATTTCCTAAATATACTTCAGAATTTTTAAATTAACCTACTTGCTTCTTTAATACTTTCAGTAAACAATCAAAGATTTATAAAAATCTAAATGGTAAGAATACACAAGCTCAAATATTTTATTCTCTACATGTGTTTTGCCACCTACTGATTTCCTTTCTCTGGGCTTCTTTGAAAACATTAATAGCAACTATTATTTTGAGATATGCCAGTAAGCATGGATTATGAAAATGAGCTAAATTAAGTACAAAGTATTATGTTTTCATTACCTTCCTTTCAGAATTAGTTTTATATAATGCTTACTGTTTTTAATCATTTTGAAAAATTAAGAAGATTACAGATTTTAGAGAATAACCTACTGAAAAGCAAAAACAAATCTATTCAGTTGATTAATAGCAAATAAACAGAGCATAGTACGAAACAGATACTTTCAAATGGCTTTAAGTAACAATTTAGCCCAAACTTTGCTATATTCACATAGAGCATGTCAGAAAACTGTAATAATAACTTTTTGTTTATACTCAGAAGTGGCCTTCAAAATTAATGTGTGTATACCAGTATTTCCAAACCTGTGCTAAAAAAAATACACTTATGATTTTATCGGGCAATAATAGGTTTTATGACAAAATAAAAAGAAAGAAGAAGGTGATTTTTGAAAAATAGGAAACGCTAAATTGAACAAAGTTAAACAGGCTTCTTTAGAATAGATCTCAGCCCCTTGGCATGTTACCACATATAATGTTCACTCCTAGAGTAACAGTTATAAAGTACGCAAATATTTCAAAATTAGTTGACTAAAGAACTAATGGAGCGGGTAGGGTGGAACATCTCTGATGTTTTAGGCCCAAAGTAGGCAAGAAATAAGTTAATTTTCACAAAGTTATAATCAATATGTCCTAGAATCCTTTGGTTCTATTTTTCCACCAGAACCACAATTCTAGAAAAAATAAAATAGAAGTATTTTGTTGACTTTAGGAAGGAGCACTTTTGAATTCATTATCCTTTGTAGCCGTATGGGGAAAATAAACAGAACTTTATATTATGGACAAAATACAGAAACATGATTAGCCAAGAGCGTGAATGCTTTTGGTCCTAAAACTACTAAGAAGGCAGAGGTAGGAAGACTGTAACTTCAAGGGCAACCTAGCACCACAGCAAGATCCTCTGTCTGTAAGAAACATAAAGGGACACAGTAGTGTATCTCAGTGGTAGAGTGCATCCTCAGAGCTTGGATTTGATCTTAGCACCATAGGGGTGGGGCAGGGCAGGGTTGGGGAGGCATAGTAAATCTACAGACAGATACAACATTGGGGAAACTGAGCTTGTGTTACAGAGAAAATGTAGTTGTTTTTAACTGATAATTTTAAATCCCTATTACAATAAATAAATTAACCAATTAGTATAATCAATAAAACTTAATATTTACTAAAAGCCTATTATGTCAGGCACAATGAAAAAATACTCCCTGTTTCAAGGAAGTAGATCCAATGTAGTGTGAAGTATGTGTTTGTGTAAGATAAATGTAAAACAACATAAAATACATAAAAAGCCTAGTTCCCAAACAAGAATCTGCCATTCCAGGCAACAGACATTAGAAGTCAGGATGAGGCGGGCAGTCAACTACATCAAGAAAATTTCCAACTTTAATGACTTCAAAATGAAATATCAGCTAATAGAAAATATACGAGCAGCAACAAGTTTGGAAAAAGGAGAAAGATTAATTCCATCTTGAATTTGGATTAGTAACATACAGTTTTGTATTTTACAGTTTAGTATACTTATACTTACCACAAACCTGACCTGGAATCAGACAAACCTGACTGAATATCCCTGGACCAGTCATCAAATTGTTCCTGTTCATATAGTTTAAATTGATCTAAGAGGTCTTCAGCACTTCGGTGGAAAGATCGAAATCCTGACAGGTCAGACAAAAGAGCCTCCGCAATCTTGATAGTATCATCTACCTTAGGAAGTCAAATTTAAAAGATTCGCATTATATAAATTCAAACAAAATTAGCATAAAGTAAGGACCTCTTTTCTCTGATCTGTGATTCAGAAATATTTTCCCTTTCAGCTATAAACAGAAGAACACATATTTGAAAGAACATAACGAGGTAAGAGTATTAATCAGAAAAAGAATATTAATCTCTACTTCTGAATTCCACACACCAGAATAACAAAACACAATTAAAGCAAGACAAGGCATGAATTGAAGGGTAAAATACAGGAATAGTAAAGTCTCAAAATATTCGTGTCCCACTGACAACTTCAACAACTTCAGCATTAATTCTGAAAATGTTCATTAATAATTCTGGCCCTCAGCTAAAGGCTATAAATAACAACCAACAATTGTACCAATTTTAATGTCAAGAGAAAAAAGTATACATTTCCTCTATAATTGTATATTGTAGAATATTGTAGCAATCTGGAAAGGTGGTTGATAATTCCAGTAAATAAAAAATACAAACTTGATAAAGTAGAACTGTCAAACATGCTAGCTTTTGTAACACTAGAGTGTTAGAAACAGTCCTTTTACCCTTGATCATAGACCATATTCAAATACTTATTGTATGATTTAATGCAAGACACTAACTACTCACTAGGTCAATAAGAGTTCAACTTTAATATTAAAATAGCCTTTTAAATTTATACATTGCTAGTACTCTTAGATAATGCCATAATTATCTTCTACCTTTCCTTTAACTTCCTTTCCACCTAAAGATGAATTCAGTTAAAAAAAAAATTTAGATTGTTATATAAATGTATTTGCAAATAAACTTTGCAACAAGAATTTACAATTATGTTTTTTAAATGTAGTATAAATAATATATTCTTCTTGCATAATTTTAAGGCACTTTCCTAGAAAAAATACAATTGGAATGATAAATGACTTGAAAAGTATCTCTATATAAGCAAAAAACAGAACCTTCAGAATTTTCTCTACATAGTTTTACAGACTTCTATATATCTCATGAAAATTAGACAGAAATGCCACAAAAAAACACTGAATTCATTACTACAGTTTTAGAAGATCTACTAGTATTCTTCAACTTTTATTCAAAAAAAATACCTTCAATTCCAACTGGCGAATCCAAACAATATTATTGACAACTTCTGATAGATTTTTGCCTGCAAGTGGACCAGACACATCACCAGGAATTCCTCGGCATCGATTCTCAAAATCTAATCGAAAATCTATGAAATTTAAATTTAAAAAAATTATTAAATGCAGTTAACAAGGATTTCCTAAATGCCTTCCATGGACCAAACATGTCAAATATTGTAAATAAAAATAATGAGTTCATCCTTACCCTCAAAGACCTTACTATGTATCAATTGAAACAGAGAAAGAAAATAACCTAATTTAAAAAATCTGTCACTCAAAACACACAGAAATTAATTAACCTTCAATATAAAAATGTCAGAATATAGTCAATCAGAAATGATATGCCATAAAAAACTAATCTACAAAAATATTTTTTCAAACACTAATCACTAAATTTTTACCTTTAACTGAGTCCACAAGTCTTGCCAGTAAAGTTTCTCTTTCTAACATCAATTCTTTGCTTATAGTTGGACGCTTCACCAACTCTTTATATTTCAGAAATGCCTGAAGAAGCTAACATAAAATGAAAGAAGTACATGTTATCCCAATTGGCTTTATGCATAAACACACACACACACACACACACACACACACACACAAATAGCTTAAGGAAAATATTACAAGTGAAATGTTTCAATCTTTTACCTGCTGTGGACTGTCTTGAATTTCAGAAATATAATATTTCAACTTTCCTGCTATTTTTTGTTCCGCGGGTGCAATAATTCTTTCATATTGAGACACTGCAGCTTTCCATAACGGCTGAATAAATTAACAACTTGGTTAGACTTCCATACTTAAAAATCTATCTTTAAAAATAACAATGTAAACAAGAAATCATATAGACATAAAAACATATATTCAACCTCAGTATATGGATTATATTGCACAGGATTCAGGCCAGTAAACGGTTCAAATACTCGAGAGAGGCATACAATCTTCTCTTCACTGGTAGGCATAAAACAGAGAAGTTTCTCATGAATTGTCCTAACAGCCAAGACCTAGAACACAAAATATTAAATCAAAGAGAATTTATTTAAATAAAAAAATCTACATAGATAGGTTTAAAATTCAAAAATAGTAGGTAAGAATGTCTTTAAACCAGGGTCTCTGCAATGAATGAAACTGAAACTATAATCCTAAGAATTAACACCCATTGATAATCAAAGTATCATACTACCACTGATCAGGTTACTTAAGTCTAGTGAGAATGTGTAAACCTTGGATATTTTTATTTTTTAATTTTATTTAAAGAGAAAAAAAGCAAAACAAAAAAAGGGTGGAAATAATACAGAATTTCAAAAAAAAAAACACTAAGAAATTACTAGCTGATAAATTACATATTGTCATCTTAGAAATAGTTGTTCAATTTACAAAATTAAAGCATAAAAAGAGGACATTCAAACAGTGAGAGTGCAAACAGTTCTGTTCAATGAGCCAACAAAACAAAAAAAAAAGTAATATGGTTATCAATCTTACACACTTAAACATACATGCAGTTACATCCTTTAGAGCATTTTGTTTTCCTCTTTTTTACAATAGCAATTACACATTTTGGGTTTAATACTCCTACAGTTATTACTTTTTACACTAGAGACAAATGTGATATTTTTAAATATGATTCTTATTTACCTCACTTATGAGGATAGTCTCAAGTTACCTCCATTTATGGAAAAAGGCCTCAAAATCATCCTTTTTATAGCTGAGTAATATTCCACTGTATAAAAATACCACATTTTTTTTCATCCACTCTGTGATTGATGGGCATTTTGCTTGTTTCCAAGATTTAGCTATTACAAATTGTGCTGCTATGAACACGGGTGCATACATGTCACTGTGGCATGACCTTTTCAGTTTTTCTGGGAAAAACCCAGGAGGGGAATAGCTGGATTGAATGGAATTTTCAATCCTAGCGTTCTGAAAAATTTCCATACTGATTTCCATAGTGGCTGCACCAGTCTACACTCCCACAAACAGTGGAGAGGTGTTCCTTTTTCCCCACAGTCGCACCAACATTTGTTATCAGTTGATTTCTTATGGCAGCTATTCTTTCCAGGAGTGAGATGAAATCTGAATGCTGTTGATATTTTTATATTTAAGGCTCAGTTAAGCAAATTTTAGAGTCTTTCCTAAGTATAGCAACAACTAGCTTTCATTATTCTGCATTATATTGCACATCTAATAATGAAATTTATGTTAATGTCTCCACTATTTATAATTTATAAATGGTTAAAAAATAAGTATTGTTATTTTTAAAATGAAATTTTCTGCTAACAATCAAAAGGTAATCAGAAAGTTTAAGTGTTAACATTATAATCTTCCACTTAAGTTGGAAATATCAGGATAAACTCACGGTTTTTTTTTTTCTTGCTAAAAAAAAGAAAATCAAAAATTCTATCTATGTATGTCTCTGCCTAAAAGCATTAATACACAGGTAACAGTACTTTCTCAACCAGGTTGCTACTGAATAGCATTTCTCACCAAAAAAGAACCAAGATGGGGGCTGGGGATTTAACACAGCGGCATAAGCTCCTGCCTTGAAAGCAGGCAGTCGTGAGTTCGATCCCTGGTACCGATAAAAACAAAAAAGCCAAAAAAAAAAAGTAATATATATTGAAACTAATAACATAAATCAAGTGAATGTTTCAAATAGTTCATTCAATGCCCACTAAAAAGAAGTCTAGACAAAAACAAACTCAACAGCCGAATGCCTCTGAACTCCTACTCTGAATAAGTGAATGGATTATCATTTTTCCAATAAAGAAAAAACTAAAATTTCATAATTAATATGTTTACCAGTCACACCCCAAAAAAATAAGAGGAAGACAGGCCAGGTATATGGCATGCCTCTAATCCTAGCACTCAGGAGGCTGAGACAGAAAGATGAGAGCTAAAGGTCAACCTGGGCTACACAGTGAGTCTAAGGCCACCCTGAACTGCACAACGAGACCTTGTCTCAAAAAAAAAGCAAAAAACAAGAAGATAGTACTTTGCATCTAGCGCTATACCAGATGAAGGTCACAAATTTCACACAACATTAACTTATGTTGTCTCCCAAAATTATAAACTATTTCTATCAGATGTACAGTTAATTATGAAATGTGTTCACAAACAACGATAAAGATGTACTTCACTCTTAGAAATAAAGATATAGATAATCAAACTGATACCTCTTCAAGGCGTTTGCCAAGTTTGTCAAGTGTTTCAGGGAAATATTTTTCATTTTTCCATGGATGAGGAACAAAGCGCTGCCACACCTGACCAGTTAGATGACTACAGACTATTACCCACTGTTCACAAACTGAGATACCAGCTTTCAGATTTTCTTTCACAAGATAATAAGGATCTTCCCATAGGTTCAAAGTTCCCAGCTTCTTCTGAACAAACCTTCCAAATGAACCCCCTAGTAAAACAAAAAGCAAAGATTTTAATGGAAGTGTCTTTTTACAGACATAAATATATACTGATAAAAAAACTGAAAATAGGCCAGGGTTTTAGCTCAGCGGCATAAGTGCCTGCCTGGCAAGCTCGAGGTCGTGAGTTCAAACCCCAGTACCAAAAAAAAAAAAAGTGAAAATATTAATGTATGAAATACTGCATGCATGCCCTCACACAGCACTGTCAATAACATATTGCTAAAACACACACACCCACACACACACACATAGTTGCATTTTGTATCTTTCAATATATTGTACATATCTTGCAAGGGTAAAAATATATATACAATTTTTTCAAGGCTACAGAGCCTACCATAGGTTAGTAATATTATATAAATAATTCCCAATAAATATCGATATACATAAACTTTTATGTGCTTATCTGATATTCCTTAGGATAATTTTTAAAAAGTTATTTTCTGGATCAAAAATTCAATAGTGGCAGATAAACCAATATATTTTGGTAATTTTTCAGTTTAGAAAATATAAGTTAAATATATACATCCAAAATAATCCACATAAATTTAATTTTAGGTCAAAAATTCACATATGGTTGAAATTAACCCACTATATGCAAATACATATTATTACATTGTTACATATAATATTATATTAATATTATATTAAGTAACAACCTGAAGGACAAAGGGAAAAAAGATTAAGACAGACTTCCAAAAGTTTATGTCTTTGTTAATACCTATGATATCTAAGAGATGTAGCATCCGTGACTCAGGATAATGATCATGCTCTGTTTGTCTCCACACATCATCTACAACGTCTCGAGTAGTCTCCACCAAGTCAACAACTTCCAATAAGGATAGGCTATCCAAGTTATAGAACTCCTAAAATAAAAAAGCACTAATTTTCTAACATACTTATAAACATACTTTAAGTACTATAATTAAAATGTTCCCAGACTTTCAGTTGCCACAGCTCTCATATTTGCTATGCTATTTTCTTTCTTTTTCTAACAGATAACTACTTCTTTATGTAAATATCCTCCATAAACATACATCTCATGACAGCCAGAGGAAAAAATAATTGTTTTACAATGTATTCGTGGGGCTGGGGATTTAGCTCAGCAGCATAAGTGCCTGCCTTGCAAGCAGGCAGTCGTGAGTTCGATCCCTGGTAACAGTAAAAACGAAAAAGACAAAAAAAAAAAAAAAAATGCATTCATTTATTTATACCCTTAGCCTAATTTTCTTGATATTCAGATTCATCTACTTATTCTCTCAGTACAAGTGGTCCTAAATTCATATATACATTAATCTCTGTAATTGATATTTATTAATAATGTTGTGGTTACTAAGAATAGAACCACAGTATAAGTTCTATTATTCTGTATTTTACTGTTGTTACTAAAAAAAATTATTATAAATACACAATTAAAATTTTATTGAAACAATAGTGGAAACAAGCAGAAAATTACTGTATTTTTTAAAAGATTTTTATTTTATATGAATCAATCAATCTGAGAAAACATAAAAAAAAACTGTAAAAGATTTTATATTTCAAAGTGCTAATATGAGTAAACATCTCAAAAGAACATATTCTTTCAACATAGATAAACTTCTGTCAGTATTTTTATTTTTTTCTAAGCATCTGTAAAAAAAGTAAATTTATTTTTGACAAAAAAAAACTTCCTAGAGAAAAACTTATTTTAGTGTTTGGATTTCTAAATTTTATTCATTTCTAAATTCACATCCTAAGTAAAGTTTGCTACAGATGTAGTATGTATTTTGTTCTCAGTCATTAAGTAGATTTTAAGATGAGAAAAATACAGTATAAACTGAATCATAAGGAACTTTTATAAGTCTGATATATAACTATATACAAATCACATACTCGTGCAATTGTTTCAAATAATTCTTTAAAATAACTGGCTCTTTCTTTACTAATCTGTTTGTTTCCACGATGAGCTTGTTCTATCCAAAACTGGAACTCATCACTTGGTGTAAGTATACCTGTAAAAGCGAAAAATTGAAAAAGAAAAATTATCAATACAAAATGAAAAGCCAGAAAGTTATTTGGTTCATTTGACAATTTTAACTATGTCTGCATACATGAATATTTCTCATACTCTTGAAGAGGTATATGCAAGTACTTTTATAGTAATAAACTATCAACAGTAAGGTCTTACTTAAATTCACTAAAAACACTAAAAGCCCTAAATTCCTACTTCACAGCACATTTTGTGTTTGTTTCTTATTTTTTGAGATGGGGTCTTTCTATGCAGTTCACTCACTGTTGAGCCCAGGCTGGCCTCAAACTCATGGCTATCCTCCTGCCTCAGCTTCCCGAGTGCTGGGATTACATGTGTGTGCCACCACATCCAGCTTGTTGGGCTTTTTTGGGTTTTTGATCATACCACATTTGTTGAGTTTGTTATTCAGTATGATTCTCATGTGCTTTTTAACTCATTCCTTTCTACACAATCATTCCACTTCTTATGTCTGAGTTTGCTTCTCTAGCACTATTTTTATAAATCTAATTCCAATATCATTTATGCTCTTAAAATTCCATCCAAATGGAAATAATTACAATTTCATCAGTATGGTTTAATTTAATTTCTAAGTATGACAAATTAATTTTACTTTTAAATTTTCTTATAAATTTCTCAATAAACTGGATAATTTCAATTTGCCTAATAATATGCTGGAAATAAACATACTTTTCTTCTTGAGATTATGAGCTGTCAGCTTCTAGTTTATTTTCAAGCAAAATATAAAACTACAGCCAACATTTTAAAATAATTATTTGTATGTTATACATTTCACATTTATTTTTCATATGAATAGTAATTTCCCTATAATTACAACTAAGTTAAAATGACTGCTACAGGAAATCCATTTTAACATAAAAGTTAATGGTCTATCATCTTTGCATGGCATACAATTAGTCTGTCATTATTCACATATTCAATATTTAGAGCAGCAAAAATATTTGAGTGACCTGCTATGTATATTCCTAGCCGAGATTAAAGTAACACTGTACCTTTCTTAGTCCCTGTCTGTTTTGTAGTATATTTAATGCCATATTTGTTACTTTCTGTTGATGTCACTGCTTAAAATGACCCTTAAGTACAGTGCTAAAATGCTATCAAGTATTCCTAAAGCACAAGAAAACTGAGTGTTCCTTAAGGAAAATACGTTACAAAACCTTCCTATTACAGCACTGATGGCCATAATGACAACGTCAATTATTCAAAAATACACATTAATGAAAGTCTTTAAACACAAGCACACATAAAACAAAGTTATGTATTATCAGTCGGCAAAATGTTATGGCTGGAAGCTCGAAGGAACCTACCCTGTATTTCTCCTGGAAGCAACAGTTCAGTATTCACCAATTCAGCATTCATAGTGACCTTATAAGACCTAACTAATGTGAACAATGAAAATCAACTGTCCTTCTATTTCAAGAAATTGTACATTTGAAAAAATACATTTTGCATTCTGTGCAGAAAGATACAAATGTACTAATGAAATAATCATCTTTTACTTTCTTTGATTAAGCTACACAATTATATCACAAAGCTATTTTGATGCGATGCATGAACATGAAACATTATATATTGTTATATACCTCTAGTATCATCTTCCTTAAGTTTCAATTTTGATAAATTGGCATCTGATCTTCGTAGAACCACACCCAACCCAGCTTCTAGTTCACTCAAAAGATTTTGAAGTTTGGGATCCAAGTTACTACTCCATTCCTGATCCTAAATAAAAACATACAAGAGCAACCTCTGATCAGAGCATTGCCAATCAAACTGGCTTTCAAAGACACTGTCTAAAGAACTAAGTGAACGTACTCCTGCTTGGCTTAAAGTCACCACAGCCTCCATTTTAGAAGGATAAACTGTCCTCTGAACAGTTAAAACTTTATAAAGATCATTTACCACAGCAATGAACTGCACTGGATACCTTTCTCTAATTACTCTATTTGTCAGTAGAGCTTACTTTACAACTAGAATTTGAGAAATGTTATATGGGACCTGGTTCATTGCCCAGCACCTAAAAACAAGAAAATGTCTGGGTATGCCAGCCCACACCCATGATCCCGGCTACTGGGAAACTAAAACAGAAAGATCAATAAATAAACTAGTCTGGGTAATCTAGTGAGACCCTATCTCAAATAACAAAATAAAGGGGGCTAGGACCGCAGTTCACCATTTAAGTTATAGTTTCAATACCCAGTAATAACAAAAAGTGGTATTTCAATGCAAAAGTAAAACACCAATTACAATAATAAACAATGTATGAGTTCATATAACTATTCAAATACTTAAGTAAATATAAATTAAATATGCAGCTACTTACTCACCTTTAACAACACTGGTGCAAATACTTGCCGTACTGCATGGTAAAGGGAATTAATAGGCGACTCTAACATTGACGAAACAAGAATGTTATTATGTAGATTCTCATCTGTAATTACTTCAGGTCGCAACTTGAAAAACACCAGTACTTTATCTTTTGTATCACCGAACTCAACCTAAAGTAATAAATGATTTTTAATGTTATTTTCATACAGTTTAATACTTTAAAAATGTGGCTCTAAAATGTTGCATCAATGTAACTATATTTCCCAGGAAAACATACTTTTTTTTGTCTTTTTCCTTTTTATGTACCAGGGATCGAACTCACGACTGCCTGCTTGCAAGGCAGATGCTTATGCCGCTGAGCTCAATCCCCAGCCCCAAACATACTTATTTTTAAAATAAATATAGTAAAGCTAATATAGCTCTCTTCTTCTCCTAGGTTTAAAAATGTATCCCCACTCCTATGTGATTATACCATAAAGCTAACTATTCCATTCCAGTCTGATTCACAGGGTGGAAGCCTCAGGCACTTAACACTTCTCTAGTAGCCCAAGAAAGTCTGTAAAATGGTGTTTTGTTTATTACCCTATTGTTTGGAAAGGGCATTTTAAAGGACAGCTTTTAAATTTTATAGGCATATACTATAATGTATCACTTATATAATAAATTATATATGTAAATGTTCAAAACACCCAAATGAACCTAAACTGTATATCTCCTAGAATTATCTTCGCCAAAAATGTTTCCACAGAGTTGGAACATCAAAATTTTATTAAATTATCACATAATTTAAAATTGTGATCAGATGAACTCAATTGGGATTCACTAAAGTGATCATTTAAAAGAGATCGTCATAGTAAGTAGTTCATTAGCCCAGAAATACACTACTCAAAAGAAATTTCTGCATTCTATATTACTTTTCAGTTATTCTCATTTCTTCTTCCAGTCAATAAACAAGCCCATAAATGAAAAAGTATTCAAAGTTACTGTTGTCTGAAACTTCATAGACATTTCATGCTGTTGCTTTATCCTAAATATTTCAATTTTTATCAGTATATCTTTGTGATACATAGTGATTACATTTAGTGATGTACATAGTGATTACATTAAGGGTTTGATACATATACATATCACACCGTTATCATCTTTACTCACCTTGCCCGTCCTTTCCCCAGATTGCTTTCCCATCTCTTAAATAGCTCTTTTTATTCACTTTTTAAATTATTTATATTTTGGTTCTGTCACATTAGAGAAACCACGTGATATGTAACCTCCTGTGACTGGCTTATTTCATCTAATATTGTGGTCTCAAGATTCATCCACTTTCCTACAGAATTATAACAATTGTAGCCACTAGGATGGAACTACTCTGTGTTAATATTTCTCATGACACATGAAAATAATATGAAATTCAAGTATCAATGAATATCCATAAAGTTTTATTAGAACACAGCCATGCTTTCATTTACATGGCTTATTACATAGTTTATTGTGTAACTGTTTTTACACTACCATGGAACAGTTATAGTTGTCACAAAACCCTTCTCATCTGCAAAACCTAAAATATTATCTTGCTTTTTATGGAATATTTGCTAAGCCTAGTCCTAAAGCATAAAGCAGATCACATTTTTCTTTTGATTAACATTACCACTGACTTCCTATTTGATATCCAAGGTCCTACATGGTTAGCACATTCCTTACTCTCCCACCTGGTATTCCACACTGTCCTTCATACATTAAACTTCAGCAACCACACTGAATTTTCCTGCCTTGAAATTAAGCAAAGGCCCAGCTTCAGGAGTTAGGTACTTCACCCAGATCATATCTCAGCCCACAATTTATCATTCAATTATCACTTCAAAGGCCACTATTCCAGAGTGGTATTCCCTTCTTCCCTACTTTAATTGAAGTTTCCCCCATCATTGCTGTAATATTTTTTCCTTAACATCATTTATCAACATTAACAATTATGTTACACCTTTGTGTTTAGCATATCTTTGTGCATCCTAGTGTTTCTCCTGTAAGATGAAGAATCTACTGTGTTCATGACTTTATGCCGTGCACCTAGGAAAATTTCAAAAACTATTGTATGTATCCCATAAATATACGTTGACTAACATTAAATCATACTGACTTTTCCCATATTCCCACTGCATTGTATCCGAACTTTAAGTGGCATTTACTACACTGTGACCTAATTTTACAATTTGTTGAGAATGTGTCAACAAATCACTGTAGTGAAGCACTAGAAGACAGAAGCAGGGGCCCCATTTTGAATTATAGCATTAGAGAAATGGAACGGGTATCACTTAGAATGTAACATGCATGCCTTGCTTTCCTTAGCCATAAAATGGGGAATACAAGTAGTTTTTGTCTCATAGTTTTATGGATATTTAGTACAGTCATGCACATAAAATGCTTGAAACAACCTGTGACACAGGTAAACTGAAAATAAATGCTAGCTATATTCTATCCTTTTATATCTTTGTAAACCCAACAGATCTGGCAGTGTCTTGCATTAATACTGAGTTCAAAATAAATACTTATGAATAGAACTGAATTAAGCCAAAAAGAAAAAAGATTCATAATGAATGAAGATTCAGTGATATTACCAAAAAAAAAAAAAAAAAAAATGTGCAAATGTTCTGCCATACCTCAAGATATGAGTGACTACAAGAGGAAGAGGTTGAAAATGTCGATAATTAGTTAATTTTCGTCCATTCCCTGTCCCTTTTAGCATGTTAGGCAATTTTATTACATGGTTTACTTTGAAGTTAACATACACTGTATATGAGTCTTGATGGAAATAGAGGGTAACATTTTAAAACAATCTTGCCAGTCGAAGTAACAGTAGACTAAGCAAATCAATAAATGTCATGTTACACATCAAAAACGAACTCAAACTTCATTTTGGAATATATAAAATCATTTCCTGAAGACTTAAATTCCTAATTAATTTTTCTCTCAGGCTGTATTAAAACCCAAAGAAGATATACCAGAATTTGCTTCAAAGGGGAATGGTGGGGCTGGAGATTTAGCTCAGCAGCATAAGCGCCTGCCTTGCAAGCAGGCGGTCGTAAGTTCGATCCCCGGTATCGATAAAAAGGAAAAAGACAAAGGGAAAAAAAAAAAAACTAAAAACTAAAAAAAGGGGGGGGGGATGGTTACACGAAGGACAAAAATTAAATGCTTTCCTTTTAGTTCATAAAACATCTCTAGGCTTCCTTGAAAAATTAGAAGAGCTGCGCCCGAGGCACACCTGTAGTCCCAGTTACTGGGTAGCTGGGGCAGAATAGCTCAGGCACAGAAATTCGAGGCCAACCAGGGCGACTTTGAGAGCGTTTTACCAAAAAAAAAAAGGGGGGGGGGGTTATACTCCTAAAGTGCAAAGAAGCTCCAAGTAAGTGGGAAGCAAGCTTGGAAAACATGCTAAACACGAGGGAGGCGGAGAGTCAAGAGTCCTGAGGAGAATCAAGGATCTCAGGTCCAGCTGAAGAGGGGTCCGCATCCCTCGGGTCGGCCTGGGGAGCTTAAGGTAGGTCAGGCAGAGCTGCAAGGAACCCTACCGTGTTGGAAAAGTGGAGTCCGGCGTCGGATTGCTGTACCCTCAGCAGCATCTGGTTCCCATCATCCAAGAAGTTGTTGATTTCAAGACAGTTGTACAGGAGAGGCTGGTCCCAGGTATCGGACGCCAACCCGAAGTAATTCTGGGTAGTGGTGAGGATGAAGAGTTTCCGAATATCTCCAGTCCCGCCCGCCATGATTCCGAAGAGAGGGAGAGGGAAAGGGGGATGGGAAACCTTGAAAAGAACAAGATTACAGTCGCAGAGGAATCAAAGTTAATACAGCACAGCTTTGCTCAAACTCCCAGCAGGCCCGCAGGGCCGCAGAGCTTCGCGGTTGCCAAGGGCAGTCGCTATGGCGACAATGCGCTACTTCAGAAACCAGGCGCCACTCAGCAAACTTCATTGTATTGCGCATGCGCACGCAGAGCTCAGGAAGCGCTCGATCGCCTCGGAGTTCTTTAGCTGATCCCCGCAATCATCGATAATAAAAGATTCGGACGAGTTTATATTGAGTGAAAAACGTTTATTCCTACTGGTTTCTTTATCATCTATAAACAGTAAGGATAGTTTTCAAGTGCAGAACCGTGACCAGGATTTATAAGCACTGCTGAATTTTAGTATCCCCTTAGCAAATCACTTCCAGCCCCAAAATTACATATCTGTAAAATGGAGAAATACAATCCCACAACTAAGGGTATCATGAGGATTTTAAGAGACTGTTACTTAAAATCGCTTTTTAGAAAGGCTAGTAAAGTTCAAAACAATGTTAACTTATTTTCGTAATTCCTCTCTTCTGTGCTGGTTAATTTCTCACTTTTGATTTTTTAAATATTAACTTAAGGGGAGAAAACCCATATGCAATCATTACACGAACACAGCCATGTGTAAAATAGTCAAAATATACAATGATGGTTGTTAGTTTAATAACAAGGACACATACTGAATACAGAAATAAAGCAAGCTTCATCATTTTCCTCCCCACGGCATCATCAATTGTAATCAAGTAAACTGCTGGTCATTTATTCCAATATGTATTATAGACCATGTAAATTCAATAATTCTCTTCTAAAAGCAGTTACTACTTACTACCACATGCTAAGGACTGAACCAGAAATGAAGAACACAATAGAATCACAGAATTTGGGTCTAGTCATTCATCACCTCAGAACTGATTAGATAAAACATGCACAGATTTTGTAAATTTTCACAGTAATCAAAACTTTCCCCTAAAACCATATTCTTTTAGTGGTAGAAGAGTGTCCCTTTTATCTGCTGAACATCTTAAGATTCAATAGTAGAAACAAAAGGAAGCTGAACTGTTGTCAATGATCAAAGTAAATTAAAATTCTCATGAAATATCCAAGAGGTGGGATATGGGAGTCTGGCCATTCAGTGGGGGAAAATTCAATGAGATTAAATGGTAGCCACTGGTATTATAGGCAGCTAATTCAGTTAAAAATTAATAATCAGGGAAGGATTGGGCCTTGAGGAAGTCAATGCAAAAGATGAGACACACCAAGATTGGGGCTGGAGGTGAATCTAAAGAGGGTTGGCCCAAAATGGCCAGGCATGCAACCCTCTCTAGAGATAAAGAGCACCTGGAGATTATCCTGTAATTAACACAAGCTGACCCAGTGAGTGTAAAAAGGCATCAGATGCACAGGTGGGTAACCAGAACATCTGGGCCCATATTCCCAGCCTTTTCCAGGAATGCTTTTCTCCTGTCTTGTTTCCTACATCCCTCATTTCCCTACTGAATCAATATTAGCTAAGTGACTATACTTTTAATTGTATAGGTTGGTTATAGTTTGACCTACGTTGTACCCACACTGTGATTTTGCTGTCAAAATACTCTTAACAAAGAGCCTCAGTGGCCACCCAATCAGGACCCCTCCTGGAAATCCAAAACCTATTCTTATTTCCCATAAAACTCTCCAACCTCCTCCCTTGGTTCAGGAGTTCCTTACTTGATACTGTGAAACTCAGTACATCTGACATGTAATAGACTGGGAGTTATTTTTCCCATCACACTGATAAGAAAAAGAAGAGGAATAAAGATAGATAGATAGATAGATAGATAGATAGATAGATAGATAGATAGAACTAAATAAAAAGAAATTTGAAAGCAAAAGGGGCTGGTATAAATATAGACCTTCTTGCTCTGCAGTGGAAATTATGATCCTTCCTAAGCCTCCTGGCACTCCATTGCCCATAAGTCCTTGATCTGAGCAAGTTTTAATGTTTGTGAAGATTTCCAAGGCAATATAGTGAAGAAAGGCCTACACATATAAAATCATGACGCTGGAAAGCAGGTGAGATCATGACACTGTCATTCTCCCAATAATTCTTGAAACTCTTTAACAGGCTTTAGGCAAGCTACGAAATTTGAACTGTTGAATCAAGTTCGATTTAGATCTCAAGAAACATGGAAGTGCCACTTGACATGAAAACAAATATTTTATACATCTTTTCCATTGTTGTGTAGAATTAGGCCTATAGTACAAAATAAGACAGATAAGAACATTACAGTTAAAATTTTTACAATAAAGAAAAAAATCTCAGATGAATAACAGCAAGGCCACACAGATGCAACAAGATGCATACCAAATGTGAATATACTATATACAGTGGCAGACAAACACTCACCAAAACTCATTTTTTCTTTCCACAACTAAGACATGGCTACTAGCCAGTATGATCATTCTCACCAATGCAGTGTGAGAAGAAATCATATATGCCATTTTTAAGGCAAAGGTTTAAAGAAATGCATGTATCTTTAGGCTTTCTGCCAACAGGGTACGGCTAACAAAGCAACCAAGAATAGAGAACACTTTTAAAAGACCCTGGATTCCCGAATTGTGATGCCTGCAACTGTTAAATAAATGAGAAATAATCTTTGTTGTGTTTCAAATATTTTACATTAAACATGTGAATCTGTTTTCATAGTAATTTCATAGTAAATAAATAAATGTCCCTAATGTCATGCTACATAAATTTTTTTTTTTTTTTTTAGTGTAAGGCATTGCAACATATTGGCTGGTAGGTGGCATAGGAAGTTGGAGAACAAGAGGAAGGGAAACCTTTCTGAACCATTTTTCTTAACTTTGTTCTATTCTGATATTTCCTAAAATTTTTGATGTCAGGATTTCTTTATGCTGTAAAAATTTATTAGAACCAAAAAAAGATTTGTTTCTGTAGGTTATTTCTGTCAATATTACATTAGAAACAGGGCCTGGGGGTTTAGCTTAGTGGCATAAGTGTCTTCCTGGCAAGTGTGAGGTAGTGAGCGTGATCCCCAGTATAAAAAATAAAAAAAAAATAAAAAAAAGACATTACACCAGGCTGGGCATGGTGGCACATACCTGCAGTTCCAAACTCTGGTAGGCTAAGGCAGGATGATCACAAGTTTAATCCCACCCTAAGGCAATTTAGGAGCTTAGTGAGACCTTGTCTCAAAGTAAAATAATAACAGTAATAATGATAATAATAAGCTGGAGATTTACTCAGTACAAAGAAAAACTTTAAAGTAAAACTGAGACTTTAAAACACTTTGAAACACTAGTTACACTCCCAGGCGGGGCCTGAGCCAGGCTGGGCGAACGCAGGAACGCGCTGGCTTCTCGTCCTGTCCGGCTCCGGATCGGCTCCTCCACTCTGGCGCTAAGGGATGTTACTGGACCGCAAGCTGCGGCTCTGCGCGTCGCACCGACGCGGACGCCAGAGCCGACTGGTCCGGCCTCCTGCGCCCGACCCGGTCTGCCAGAGCCCGGGAGTTTGCGTGCCACACTCTGACCCCCCTAGTGCCCGCGCGGGCCGCAGTTTATGGGTCGGGAAAATGGCATTGCCCGGAGCAGGGCCAGTGATCTGCAGCCCACCGGGGTGCAGCGGTGCGGATGCTGCTCTAGTGTGGGGAGCTGGCGACCGCGCGTGGGATCGCTAGTGGGAAAGAGGGGACCCGGACTAGGTGGCTTCTGGGGCGCTGGCGGTGGCACGCCTACCTGCAGTGTTGCCAGGAAATGGCCAGGCCAAATGCGGATTCATTGATTGCAGGGATTGAGGGCTGGGATTGTGGCGCCTGGGCGGGCATGTGTTCATCTCTAGTAAGTGGAGAGGATAGAGATTCAGACGTACTTTCTCTGTACCCATGTGAGAGGAAATAAAGTACGATCAATGTATACAACAGAAATACATTTAGCTCCAGAAGGGCCAAGAAATGTTGAACGTGAAAAGTAACATGCATTCACACATTTACACCTGCCATTTGTGCCATTTAACTTTGCTGTTAAATTTGGTTTTAAAATTGTGGAGATGGTAGAATTCAATCACTGATGAGCACTGAGCATTTCAGTTTCCTTCATGGTGGTGGTTATTCAAGGAATGGAAAATTAGGGACCAATGTCAGTCGTTTTAATTGATGTGTTTATTTCCACCCCCCATTGCAGAGACCCAAGTCTGAAATCTCCGCACTGCGCTCCTGGGAAGCTAAAGAATAGAAACTCCGAGTTCCAGGCCAATCTAGGTGATTTAGGTACTTAAAGGGGCTGTGGTATTTGTCTTTCTGGTTCTGTTTCTGTTTTGTTTTAATAACTCTCTTGTCCAGGGCTGGCTTTCAATAGATCACAACAAGGCAGCTGCTTTGCTCCTTAGGAAACCCGCACCCAGAAGTAGATGGTCTCCTAATGTTTTAGTGCTAGGTTCCCCACCAACATGAGTTAAGCTAGGGGTGAGAGTGTGGCCCCTTTTCTGGCTGCAACCGTGTGGCCTCCCCCACCTGCTGTGCTGTTGTGAAGCTGCCAGGTTCTGAGCCACCTGCAGTGCAGATTTATAGATTGCAGCTTTAGGTGAGGGCTCAGGGCAGGGGCGGGGCGCCAGGCTCCTTCCCAGGACATCTGCATTTGGCCCCTGTCCATGTCTTCAAAATTGGGACAGAGAAGGAAATGTACAGGTCGAGTAAGAAAAGTTCTCCATCCGCATCTCAGGAAGACTCCTGACCTTACTGAAGTCTCACCAAGAGAGTTGGAGGGCATGACCTGACAGTGAACTCCTTTACTTTGAGGAACTTTTTCATCTGTGGGGCAAAACCCAAGCTTAGACATTTAGAAGTTTTTGGGTTGTTTCTGTTTTGTTTTTAGGCTTTGGTTTGTTTTGAGATAAACTGCCCTGCAGCATGGGATATGATTCAAGTAAACGCCACTTTGGCAACAAGTTAAGACAAGCATTTACTTGGCCTAGTAGATTGTGGTTTCCACAAGAGAAATCAGGGATGAGAGTTTGGAGTTTTCATAAAAGTTTAAGGATATGGGAAAAGGGACTGGGAAGCACCTATGAGTGGGTAAAGAATGTGTTTGCTGGAGCACATAGCAGTTTATGTATTCTGGGGAAAGTATGGGAGTTGGGGGGTAGT